CCTTTTCAATCACCCCAGCAGCACCGAACACCTGGGTAAATTCACCAAGAATAAACTCTATGCCTTTTCTACCCTTCTCTCAACTGACGCGTAATACATTCCCATTACCACTGAACCCAAATAAACTTTGATGTGAAGTATAAACTAACAATGCGCAAATATAACAATTTAAATTTAACACCAACCTTGAAAATAACAAATCACTTATTAGCCAACTCACAAATCTGCAAGTTTCAGTGACAAATATATTTTCATCATTAAGCTACAGTTTTTAAAATTACCATTACTGTATACAGCCATTGGTATAGCTGAGAACCACAACTTCGAATGCTTTGATAAATAATATACTGTACTGTAAACTGTATACTGTAATACTTATTTCACAATTTTCACATTTCAGGTTACCAATATAATGAAATTACCCAATTCATCATTTGAAAAAATTATCACATATACCTAGGAATTAGTCACCAGCAACACTAAGACATCTTTAAACTAGTTTGTGTCAAAATTTTCTTCACTACTATTTTATGCTGAAGATTATATACTGTAGGCCAGCCCAAACTATACTGTACACCCTATAATGAGTACATACTAAATACAGTACATCTTATTAACCTGATGACTTCTTACTCGAGGTGACCTGTGTCGGGTCCTTCCATTGTTCTTTATAGTCTTGTCTTGGCCCATTTTATAGTCCAGAGTACTGTTCTCTATTCCACAGAGCCGTTAGACTGTCCCATAGATCTACCACCCTGCATTGAAATTCATTCAGGTTATATTTTGGCTTCACCTCCTGAAGGACCCATCTTGCAGTAACCAAATTTTACCTCCAAGAATGACATTAATGATCTACTGTTCACATATGATAGTTACGGACTTATTATACAAATTACATTCCCGAAGACCAAGTAACTGAAGTAAGGGGAAGTTTATGATCAAGTAGATTTCTGGCAGGTTGTGGCATGAATTTATGGAGGAAATTATATTAAAGGGCTTTTATATACTAGCTAATGAAACTGTCGAAGCGAGAATAAACTCTGGCTGATTCTTATGTATTTAAGGTGATCTTTAAAATTGCTAAGTAAAAGTTTTGCAGAATCATAGCCCTATTACATAGTATAGTAATTGTACAATATTCTCCAAGCTGTGGCCGTTTTTCGTTTTAATGCGTTTTAACATTTAGGGTCCTCAAGGGCATAAGAAGGTTCGTAATAACATACGCCAACAATAATATTCAACAAATTGAGAACTTCAGAGATGGAAGCCATTTAAAGTACAGTTCTGGCTAACCTTTCAAAATCAAACCGATACTGGACAGTGAAAGACAACATAACAGACCAAACGTCAAGCAAACTATTAACGCACTAATTATAAATAACATTTCAGAATAATATTATGGACAATTAAAACTATGGTAATCATATTTAACTGCCATAAAATCACGAGCGGTGTGTCAATATTCGTCCAGAATTTTAAGTACCAGATACTGTAGCGATACCTTATATTATTTATCGTCAATAAAATGAACCACACTAAGTACTGAGGACAGAAGTCCACATTAGACTACAATTTCTTAAGATTTATATCACAGTTGCATAAACAAAATAATATAGTTACTCATATTATATTTACGCTTTTTATGATGCTGTCTCAAAGAAAATGGTCAATAATGTAAATGGACAATTCGTATATAATGTCTGGTAAAGGAGGAGCAGGAGGTTAATACAAGGAGTTGTTCAGTTTCACTCACTTTTCTCACAGATGTTCTTTGGATGATAAGTAATAAAACAAGATACGATAATGCACATAGCTTAATAGAACCTGATATTTCGCTGATGGCATGGACGAAGCAACTCAATTGTTGAGCTTATTAGCATTGTAAAGAGTTTCCTTTTGCCTGACATGACAAGGTGAATGTCTGGGGGAATTCTGGACAACAGGATATTACCTTACTATGTATACTTAAGAAAACAGAGCAAGTTTCTCTAAGTGTTAAGCATCACGACCGTCGCCGGTGAATTAAGTGATGTAACTATTTTTCTTCTATTTTGGACAATATTGTTGTTTTCTTTTGTTAGGCGTGGCAAAAACAATGCCTCTCGGTCTTTTGGGTGAACTGATATTGACTGACATTGCAAAATTAAAAAACTACATGGAATCTTCCCTCGCGTCTTGAAACAAGCGCGGTGTTGCCACCTGAAACCCACATACCGATGTACTTAACTTTAATTTTTTCAAGATTATTAAAAATGTTCAGATTTTTTTTCGGCCACATATAGCAAGATGAATGTCTCACCTTCCTATATATATCTGGATATCGACAAACTTTCCAGAATTAAGGAGATACATAAGAAATGTGAACTCTCTCCAAACTAGTTCTCGGTTAGCCTAGTACGAATCAGACATGACATCATATTTCCTGATTTTATATAACAAGAACTAGAATACTTGAACATTTCTAATAAATACATACTTGCATCTGATTTTGCCGTTGGAAGTTGTAGGGTCTAAGTCAACCAATGGGTGACACATCAGCACTCGCAACAAAAGCGTGGTCTACCTCTTCCCTTAGTTGCCCGGCGGGTCTGCAACTACACACGGGTCATTCATGCCGTCTTCACTTCTCTTGTCTGCCAGAGTCCGATAATTAAAAAATAGAAAATGCTTCTCCTCTCGAAACGTAAACTAGATATTATTGCCAGTAACTAAAAAACCTAAAGTCGTTAATTTTAGAGAATTTTCTAACCATTTATTTCATTAATCACAAATGAAATACGTTGTAGAAAATAGGAAATATGGCGTGACTCGGTCCCTCATGTACAGCAAACTATTGTGGAATGAGGATGGTTGTTACGGTTTATCTTTTCCCAACAAAACTCGAATTATTTTCATGACAAAGACAATTTTATTGATATGTACAGATTGTACTAAGATCCAAATTTTGTGTAAAGAATATTATTAAAATGATTTACATAAAACCACAATAAATTACAGTACACACCCAGGCCAATTACAGGCTTCCATGGTTAACAAATGTGAAATACTTCCTTCTTTTTTTATTATTGATAACTATTTGGGCAGTCAGACGTCAGTAAATGTTCGACTGATGAGTCGCCCTTTCCTCTTGAAGAATATCAAAACCAATCAATATTATTAACTTCATTTTCTTTTTAATCTGGTATTTATTTGATATAATTTGATATTACTAATTAATTATCAAAAGTGTGTGTTGCTAACATGTGTAAATATATATGTATCGTTATATAACTTAATTAATTTTTCTTTATTTATTGTAAAAATATATACCCGTATATAATGCTTGAAAAATAAATTTGGTCAAACTTTTTTCAACGAAACATCAATAAATTTAAAAAAAAATCAAATCTTGGGTCCTTTTGTGGACCTTGTCACATGCTGACTAAACCTATCAAGTTTTGTTCAAATTAGCTTACCCGTCCTCGAGTTATTTTGGGGACACAGACAGACATACAGGACTGATAACAACACCCTGGCAAGCAGTCACAGAGGACAAGGTAATAACAAAAGAAGTAACATGGCCGACAGGAGGTAGGTTGTGCCTATGGTGTTATCAACAGAGAAGTACAGTAACACAGAGATAAGAAGACGTACTGAGGTTGCACGTTATCTGCACTCCTGGATGATCGACAACACACCTACAAAGATAAAACATGTTTTTTGTTTGCTGTTGTCCGGGAATAAATTAAATCGTTGTCGGAAGATTAATATTACAAATTTCGCTAAAAAAAATTCACGTTTTTATTATAATTTTAACTCCGTACACGACGCCCCCTCCCTGGAGTAAAATTAATTAGCTTCTTTAAGTTAGGCATCTTAGTCCCTTAAGTACAATGATGTCAACTCTTTTGGTAAGATAACAATACAATGATATTGCACTAAAGGGGTAAAGTCATTGTACTCAAAGGGATAAGATATTTCGTGAAAGGCTGACTAGAACAAACATGATAAAACAAGATTCTCTTAGTTGGCCGTCTCTCTCTTCTGAGCTATGTCAATCATTTCTGAATCCTAAACGAGGATGTCAGTTGTGCACACACTTGGTACACAGTTACCGCATGGGTGAGTAACAGTCACCAATGTTCGTGTACACCTTATCGTCTGTGAAAGCAACACTGTGATAAATGATCTTATCAACTGAATTTGTCAATACATGCATACCCACAGGCACACCTGCGTACATATGCTCATAAACACACATATAACCCCTAAAATAATCATATACACATACTTTCAATTATCTCGACCATTATATCTGAGGGATGACGACCACAGCTAACTCATTCTAAACGTTTTCAGGCTTGATTTTGCATCTCTTTGGGGACAACAACTTTTAATTTAATTCACCCATTCCAGCCTCAACCTTATCTTGGCCCTCCTACCCTCAATTTTGCCCATTAATTTGATATTTCAGCTATTATTTCCTCATCCCCAATCACATGGCCAAAGCTTTTTATTTTCCCTGTTCTATAAACTTCAAGTATTTATTATAATCCCTTTGACCAATCTTAGGACTTTTTCATTTGTTTACCATCAATGTAACTTATTTTTAGTATTCTCCTGTAGCACCACATTTAAGGGCGTCTGACTTTCTTCTGGTGTCTGCGGAAAGTGTTCACGCTTGTGACCTATACGTAGCATTTCAGCAGACTTTTTTTTTCTCAAATTTAACTTAAATTCGCTTTTCATTAGGTCTCTCAGATTATTATCAAAAGTTGTTTTTGTTTGATATATTCGTATTTTGTCTTCACTGTCTGTAACAATAGCAGCATCATTTTCATAGCTTACATGTGATATCACTTTACCATAATCATAAAGATATGTCCTCCAATTCTCGATTTTTTTTTTTTTTTTATAGTCGGAGCTGCAATCCTCCTAAGATAACGTTTATCTCTGACCAATTGCGTCACAGGTTGAGGTAGATAAACAACAATATCACAGATCACTGGCCAGCGACTCAGAGGGACCTTAGTGTATAGAGTGTGACCGTGGGGGACACAGTAGCCGAGGTAATGACTAAGCACTGGTGGTGGTGTGGGTTGACGGTGCTCCTGGTGTGGATGTCCCGGGCGGCTTCACAGGACCTCCTACTTGATGTTCAAGACGATGATGATCCATACAAGAATCTGATTGTTAGAATGGACCCCGGCGTGAAAAACTGTAATATTCTCGTCTCCAATATGAGGGTATGCTTACAGTGTACGTCTTTCAGTGGAGGTCTGCCAGTGTAGGTCATACAGTGTAGGTCTTTCAGTGTAGGTCTTCCAGTGTAGGTCATGTCAACTCTCCACTCACATCCATCTTGTCATGTCATGTAGAGTAAGGCGTTTTAGGGTCAATTGCCCTTTTTACTTCATCGGGAACACTTTGTAGGTGTGTGGTAGTGTGTGGTAGTGTGTGGTGTGCATGGTAGTGTATGGTAGTGTGTGTAGTAGGTCTGTGTTAATGTTTGGTACGTCTGCAACAGTGTGTGGTCGTGTTTGGTAGCTCTGTGGTAGTATGTGGTAGCTTTGTGATAGTGGCTAGCAGGTGTTTGGTAATGTGTGATAGTGGCTAGCAGGTGTTTGGTAATGTGTGATAGTGGCTAGCAGGTGCTTGGTAATGTGTGATAGTGTATGATAGTGTATGTGGTAGTGTATGGTATTGTGAGGTAGTGTGGAAGATATGTGCTAAGTGCGTGGTAGTATTTGGTAGGTATGTAGTAGCATTTGGTATATGTGTGGTAGATGTGGGGGTGTGATAATTTTTCCCTCGTCTGGATTTAATAAAACACAATAATAAAACTAAAAAAAATAACAAACTTAAGACTATAATGTCACTTACTTTATCAGCAATTATATTTATATGTGCAATAAACTTTCCCCACCCGATGTGCCAACCTAAGCTATATAACTCAACACAGTAAATATAATAAACATAAAAATAAATAAATAAGTATTGGCTCTTTGAGTATTAAAAGTAACGATGCCAATTATACAACAAAAAATTCACTCATTTTGAAAAGGTCTTGTTTACAGATGAACGAATACATAGAATAAGTGATTAATAATAATAATAATAATAATAATAATAATAATAATAATAATAATAATAATAATAATAATAATAATAATAATAATAATAATAATAATAATAATAATAATAATAATAATAATAATAATAATAATAATACCCGGTAATACATGCATCTTTCGCGCTCTGTCTGTCTATCTGTCTGATAATACCGTGAGTGGCCAAGTAAAGGATCGCATTCTGAATACGTCCAGTTTACACGTCATCTCTAGTAGGGACGGACACAAACTCTCTCAATATTAATTTCTGAAACAGATTTAAGATGTTTATTAACGAAATTATTTCATAAACTGGTGGACCAAACTGTAATGTTAAACCCTTGAGTACGATGCTATAACCCCGAGTACATTAAATTAGCCCACTGAGTAAAGATTATGTTAGTCTTTTAAGCACGATATATAAATCCTTGACTACAGAAACTTTAAACCCTTAGTATGATATCTCAATGCCTTTGAATATGACGACGACTCCCAAGAGTACGATAATTATGTACTCAGAGGTTTGAGTCATTTAGCAACCAATGATAAATCAACATAACTGATGAATTACTATGAATATCCTAACTTACTCTTTAGATACTATGCACTTGGAAGCATGAATGACCTCAGTAACATTTTCGGTAATGCATGGAACTCTTTATACGTCTTCCAGTATCGCCAACCGTATCAAAAGTCAGGTAGGTAGATAACATGAGCGATTCTGATTACAGGGGATCGTGGTTGCCTGACTCAGTCGTACATTGTGCAGGCGTTATAGCTACCCTTCCTGTAATCTAATCCCTCGGTATTTTTATGGTGTTTTTTTAATTGTAAAATCAATATAATTCCCCGTACTGCACCCGAGGGCGTTCACGATAAGTATGTCGTATTTATTATTGTTCTGTCGATAACCTGGGTGTTCTTTTTTCCTAGTCAATGTTCGTTTATCAAGAGCAGGGTCACCAAACTTTTTTCACAGTGGGCCGGATAACTGAAAGAATGACGAGCGCGGGCCGCATAATCATTCTGTTCAATACTTGCAAGCCAGAACGAAAGCAAACATTACAATAAAGTACCGTCGGCTGGCCTGATGAACTGACGTCGCGGCCGGATCCGGCCCGCGGGCCGTAGTTTGGTGACCCCTGATCAAGAGGATAGGGGGTCGTTTTTATTGATTTATTTATCTCTCTATTTTTTTCCTCCCCTTCTCTTCCCTTCCCTTTCCTTGAGGAAGTTTTGGGACAGTATAGCTATCTGTCTAAATCATTGATAACTTAAGACACCATAACACTAAAATACATGGGCCCGTGACACTTACCTCCAAACAAAACAACGATACTCAATCTCTACTCCTGTTTTGCAGAAAATTTTGGAGTCGGCGTCGCAGCTGCTGTACAACGCCACGCAAGGCCGTCTCGCCTTCACCAAGTTCACGGTGTTAGTGCCAGAGAGCTTAAGTCAAGATTGTGGAACTGTAAGTTACTCTTCCTGCCGCCGTCCACTGCTCTTTCTTACCACTACTGAAACTATTCTTGAGTTGTCCTTCTTCACACTACTACCCCTTTTTGCACTTTGTCCCAATACTTTTCAGTTTATTTTGAACAGATTTCAGAACTCGAAACAATTAAATATCACTCGAATCAGTTTCATAAAAAAAAGGAATATCATTGAAACAATACTCGCGACACGCTTCATAACAGTCAGACACAGTGTGTCTAAACAGACATTTTATAAAAATATGTGCGCCAAAAGGCCAAATAATAATAACACTGATAATATTACAATATATACACGGTAACATTATCGAAAGCGGAATGCTGTACTGCTAGGAGACTGATTGAGTGCTTTATGGGTTCGAATACCGTAAGACACCCATATTCATACTTACAATACAGTTGACTATGTATTTTGGTGATCTGTCGGTGTAATATCTGCATATATGTCGAAGTAATCTGATGGAATGTCGATTATAATGAGATGGTGTCAAAGGTTGTGACGCAGTGGTACAATAAATATTGTCTATATATTATGAATTTCCGTGGGAGTAAAGTGCAAAAAGGTGTACTGGGTGGCCCCTTTTCAACTGCTACTTCTATTACTATTCTACTACTACTGTCACTACTACTACTACTGTACTACTGTTGACTGGCTTTTCTTCCCATTACTACTACTACTATCGTTGAGTGTGTGTATTTCCACTACTACTATTACTACAATTACTAAAATAGACAAGGAAGCAAGTGAATAGGAAATAAATATATAATTGGCTTGAACAAAACACAAACACTTGACAGTATTATAAAGGTGTGAATCCTTAACCCTGGAAACAAAAAGAAGAATCAGATTAGAGTCGACATGTAATGATGTGCTTGAAATGAATGTGTAAGGCGAATAGAATACAAGGAACAAGAAACATGGATATATAATTAGAAGATGTGGAATTGGAGGAAGAAGTGAAGAGAAAGTGACATTACGTACAATGATAAATATGATAAATCGGTAAAAGAATGAGAGAGAGAATGATTCAGACGTTGATATCAAGAAAGGTTATTCAGGTAGTACTGAGAGGCTTTACTGATGGGTGATGCTCGGATGTATGAAGGGAGAGTGAATGAATGAGACTGGATGAATGAGAGCGAATGAAGGGAATGTGATTTTAAATGAGTGTGTTTGTATGTGAAGGGAAAATCTGTCTCGGTCATCTAGGTGAGGTAGAGACATTGGTAGGTATAGTAGTGGTAATATGTACTAGTCCTGTCTTTAATTCTCCTCCTGTCGGTGCTGGTGCTGGCTACACTGTAGCCCGAAGAAACTCCAACGATATCCAAGTGGCCGAAGGTGCACGTGGCGGCAGGCAAGGAGCACCCGCTGTTCGGAGGGGAGCCATGGGTGCAACAAACTCAAGGGTGTGGCAAGCCTGGGGACTTATTTTATCTCTCCCAGTCCTTCCTCAGGCAAGATATGTCGTCTTCGTCCTTCCTGATGAGAGGTGAGGGACTGCTGCTGACCACCTCACGTGTCTGTCACCTATAACGTTGTCCCAGACGCCTTGGTCGTTTTCCTTTGCCTCCCCCTCTTCCCCGTGACGTTGTCCGTGATTGATAAATATGTTGAAACAGTTTTCATCATAATAACCGAACACTAAACACAGTTTACCTTATCTCTTGGTAAAAATAAATTGTTTGCATTTCATGATGGGGGCAGTAAAGAATGCTGGTCAGATATTTCGTAAATAATATTCCTTCCTTCCTTGGGATTTAATAAACCCCTTTATATTATTTAATTTGTATGTAAAGTACTTGATACTCGTGCCAGATGCTGCTGGTAACATTGTACAGGAGTACCTAGTGACAGCACTAGGACCCTGTTTCCTATAATGTGGAATAAACTGTCGAAATTTAAAAATATATATATATATATATATATGAACATTAATCACACGTTCAGCTACGAGTGTCTTATATATATATATATCAATTCGAAATATATTTGCATCAACCACCATTTGTCCTTAATAACGAAATTATCAGTAACCAGTGAACGTTATTCTCATTGCTGTAGTAAAATTCTGAATTGGTTTTAACTCATAATAATGTACCATAATTCTCCCTATCTCAGTGGTAATACTCTCATTAATATATTAGTTGAGACAGTATCAGGTGATCCAACAAATACTCACTATTCGCCTCCTCTTGGTGGCGGGCAGGAAGGCGTGTGGTTCACGAGTGGGCTAAGCTCAGGTGGGGCGTGTTTGAGGAGCTGGGTATAGCAGGCGACGAAGTGTTTCCTTTGGCCTACACCAAGACGGCCACCCTCCCTGATAATGTGGACGGTTGGCTCCCCAATTACTGCTCTGACGTAAACCTCCTTGGTACTTTCAAGTAAGGAAACATTGGTTCTAATTTTGTCATAGTCATGACTATCCTCAGTGGTTACAAACACAATATTCTTTCTTGGGGGGGGGGGGTCAAATTCTGGAAACAGCCAAATATAATTCAGGGCCAAGTGTGGTTTCTACATAACTAGCCTGATTGACTGTTTGGTCTTGTGGGAAGAATTTTGCTGTTTCCAAAAATCAATTAACACCTTAAAGGAAGATTTGTCACCATTGACACAATCACAACCACGTAGAAAAAAAGAAAACACGAAGTTCCCAAGTGCTTTCGTGTAAGTCACATCTTCAGTGGTGAGTCTGTACTCACCCCTGAAGATGTGATTTACACGAAAGCACTTGGAAACTTCGTGTTTTCTTGTTTCCTTTGTGATTATCAGCAGTGATTTATTTGCATATATATATATATATATATATATATATATATATATATATATATATATATATATATATATATTAATTCTGTGCTTCTTGGTTTAGTGAAAAGAAAATATAAACAACATATTAAGCTGTATCCTCTGTGAGCACCCAAGAGTAATAGTGAGTTGTTCCTCAACCATAGTGAGTCATGCCAGCTTCCAGACTGTCCATTCTATCTGGCAGAGGAGCAGGAAGCGACGTCCTCCCTACTGGCCCTGCCCACCGTCGCATCCGTAAGTACAGTAAGGTTATTGTTGCTACCACCTGCTGGATGGCCCTCAAGAAATAACTTCCCTTGTGGTCCCATCACATGCTACTGACTTTTATGAGTAAAACTCATTTATTGTACCTATGAAATGATATCCTTTTATGTCTTATAACAGCAAAGTTTCCTTAAATCATATTCATATAAACTCTTGCTTCTCTGAATAAGACACTCAACCTTTTCTCGCCATTCTTTCTGTACACAACATGAAGTTTTGTGCGCCTCACACCTAGGACATATACACACACAGTCTAACAGGATTTAATGTTCTCGTCTCTCCGAGGTGTGGAACAATCATCTGTTTCAAGCAGACACCACTGCCTGGTGTCCCTGTTGTCTTTTATGCTGCTAAAATAAAAATAAACAGCAAAATGTTACGGCCAATACCATGACATAATGTATGTATACGAGGGAGTAATGGTAATATATGCTCTTGATGAAATACCCCGAGTGTGTGTATGACGTGTAGGTTGTGTGTCCCGTCAGGTTACCAACTTCTGCGACAACGAGACCCACCTGCCGTTGACACCGACCAAACACAATGCTCAGTGTGGCGGCATGAGTGTCATGGAGATTTACGCTCGTCATCAAGACTCCTGGCGATAGTCAGTTCCCTCGAAATCATTGTTTCATTTCTGTTTGTTTATCCGTCAACCTTATGCATTTCAATCTACTTGGGACGTTATAAATTACATAGTTCTTCTCTGTCCTTCACATCTTTTACGTTATTGCAATACTTATTGAGTAACCTATTCTACTATTTGAGAGAGATACTACTTAAACTTTTATGAGAATGTTAAGTCGTGTGATCCGTCTGGTCTATCTTCCAGTCCTGCTGACAACGACGGCGCCACCTTAAGAATGGCGATTGCCAAATACGACATAAATTCCTTGGCCAAATATGTCATGCTGATGGAGGCAACACAAGTCATGAGCAACACCCAAATGTCGGTAAGTGTAAAGAAGCCATTAGGCTAACCCGCCTTTACCCTCATTTATTAAGTCTGTAAATATGCAAGTACAGTTGCAGACTAGGAACATTTTACTGGTATCGATTTTTTTCTCATTATAGGATATTTTGGTCAAGTTTTTATTCTGACAAATTTCGTAATACAACGTCCACCAGTTATAAACTAATCACTCATGTCTAGCCAATAGGTATTAGATCCGCAGTTGTTCATGCGGTAACAGGGCTATTATTGACCCACTAGCTCTTAAATATGACCCACTAGTTGCATTCTATTGGCCCACTAGTCACTTGCTATATCACAGCTAAAGTAACTCTCTCTTACTCTTACTATGTTTTAAGAATTACCAAACAGATCGCACGTGGCTTTCAAGCGGGGGCCCGCTAAACCATATATCCCCAACAAGAATATATATATATATATATATATATATATATATATATATATATATATATATATATATATATATATATATATATATATATATATATATATATATATATATATATATGTATATATATATTTTTATATATATATATAGTTATATACTGTATATATATATATATTTTTTTTTAATGCAGATATAAACGATATTTTGTCCTGAAGTTACTCCACCATCATCTTACGACAGAGTAGCAGTTACTCCATTGTATAAAGATTTCCTTAAAAGTGTAGCATTAGTGGTCGTCTGCTGGTGAAATCTTCCCCACAGACTAATTAGACATGGCCTCACTTAATTCCCCTTATATCATATAAACAAATCAAAGGTGGAATTTTTACGTGGAATTTCATTTTATTTCAATAGCATTAATTTGGGGGTCATTTTGTTTAGTCTACTTATTGCTTGTTCAGTCATTTCTCATTGACTGGCCAAACTATGTAAGAATAATAATAATAATAATAATAATAATAATAATAATAATAATAATAATAATAGTAATAATAATAATAATAATAATAATAATAATAATATTAATAATAATAATAATAATAATAATAATAATAATAATAATAATAATAATAATAATAATAATAATAATAATAATAATAATAATAATAATAATAATAATAATAATAATAATAATAGTAATAATAATAATAATAATAATAATAATAATAATAATAATAATAATAATAATAATAATAATAAATAATAATAATAATAATAATAATAATAATAATAATAATAATAATAATAATAATAATAATAATAATAATAATAATAATAATAATAATAATAATAATAATAATAATAATAATAATAATAATAATAATAATAATAATAATAATAATAATAATAATAATAATAATAATAATAATTATAATAATAATAATAATAATAATAATAAAAGGTTCAACACCAGATATATTCCGTCCATCAGATTCAACATCATTTTCAGGCCTCATACAGACATATTCGGTGTACTGCCCGACCATCAGCTTGTGTAGCCCGACAAACATAAACATCCTGTATCTGTATTCATGTATCTATTTAAAGCCTTATTAGCAGTTAAAGGCCGAGAATGTGTAGGACTAGAGGCACGCAAATGGGTCTTAATTTTTCGAATGATGGACTGAGGTGCATAGGAAACTCGCTTATGTGGCCCGCTCTTTTGTTTCCGCAGGAGAGATGGAATATGCTGAAGAAAGCTGTGATGCATTGGGTGTTGGAGGACATCAGTGATGCCTCTATGCTCGGTGTTGCTACATTTGATACCTCATTTCATCTGCAGAATTCTATGACCACAATATCCAACACCACCCGCCAAAAAATTGCGGAGTCTGTGTCAAGCACCCTCCCTGGCATCTTATATTCTAAGAGCATCACACCGGCTTTACAAAATGTGAGCCAGTCTATGGTGAGTTGGTAATGCATCGCCTCTCTTAATTAATAAATGTATATAAAATAATATTAGTTCAGACACATATAAACTCGCCTATTATATTCTCAGCTGGGTAAAGGCGGCAACATCATCTTGATAGTATCACCTGAAAGCATTACGACCTCAGACTCGCTTGAAGCCATGGTCAACGCTGCCAATGGTAACGCTGTCTGGCCAATCCTGTTCCCTTTCATGGTTGAAAATTCAGCTAGTTCTGTCACTCTTTTCAAGGTGAGTTACAAAGACCTATATTACGTCCTCAAGAGCTGAGAGTATTATTTTCTGCTTCGTGCTTATATCTAGCAGGTGTTTTATACATATCTGGCAGATGTTTTTATACCTATCTGTCGGGTTTCTTTACACATATCTCGCAGGTGTTTCTCATCAGTACAAAAAAAATCTGTCGCCTAAAGTCTCTCATTTGTTATATCACGAGTCAATTCGATTTAAAACATACTGCATTAGACCTGAAACACTCTAATTCAGACAGTATAAATTAGTGCTTCTTGTGAATAGATTAAGGGAGAATAATCCTGGTTTTTATTTATCCCGCTAAAGGACCTGGCAGACAAGACAAGAGGGCGGGTGTTGATGGTGGAAGACATGACTAATGGGATACAACAGTCGGTAAAGGTGCAGAGAAACTTGATACAACAACTACGTACTATCCAGGACACCGCTCTTCGCTACACCTCCTACATCCCGACGCTGCAGGCGAGTTCATGTACAGGGTATATATCTCTCTCACACTGCTGTAAATGAATCATCCATGACCCTCAACTATAACACTTTCCGGTTTGTGTTTACTAATCTCGGAGACTTTATATATATATTATGAAAAGGAGAATATTGAAGATGACATGGAAAATATCTCAATTAAAAATAACATCAACAGATATATATATATATATATAAACAAATTTTCAGATAAATATACAAGTCAAAATATATTTCTTGTATACAGTAGTGAAAACAGGTTCTATGTGTCTCACTGCCCATTAGGGATACCTTACACTGAATACTAAACCTTCATCATACAAGCAGGATGTTTAGGCAGATTTTAATGAAGGTTAATAGGTTCAAGGTGATTTTAGTAAATCTTGCAGAGTTAAGATTAGTTTTAGAGAAGCTTATCGAATTTTAGCGATTGCCTCAGCGACTTTTAGGTTGTGAGAGATGGCACTCCTTGCTTCTTCAATCATTCTCAGAGGAAGGGAGAAACAATGCAGTGTCCGTTTGGTGTAACTTTCAAAACTGCATTGTTAGCAGGTTGAAGGAGAGAGCCTTGTGCTGTTGATTGTTTGTACTGGAATTGTAGTTTGTAGTAGGGGCCTAACAAATGGTGTCGTCTCCTTTCCTCCTCGACACAGATGAATCAGGGGCAGCTGAATAAAGACTCGAGCACCTTCAACCTGAGCCTTAACTCCTTCGCTAACACACAGTCGGCCGCCCTCTTCATATATTCGTCAACGATTCCCAGCTACGTGACGGTGAACGGACATGAAGCAAATACTCAGATGGTCACCAACACGTCCTTCAAGGTGCCTCTTTCCAGAGGCCAGGTAAGGGGCTAATGGTCAATCAGAAATTTTCAAGAAAAAGAAAACATAGAAGTTATCGCTAGTCGCAATTATTCCTATCTTGAGTTGTATACATAATATATATATATATATATATATATATATATATATATATATATATATATATATATATATATATATATTTATTTATTTATTTATTTATTTATTGATCCACACTGGTAACGTGGAGGAAATAAATCTTGATAAAAACTCCCATATTTACTAACTGAGATGAATATTTTTTTCACTCGCCTAAACACAGAATGGTAGCTACAGTATTAACATCGTGTTCCCGCAAACACTAGAGTCCCATCAGTTGGAGGTGATGGTAAAGTCACTGAAGGACGACCTGAAGGTGGAGTTGTGGTCCTCGCACGACCTGTCTACCCTTAACCTCGGAAATGGAAGCGACCCAGTTGTTCTCTTTGTCAAGGTTAGTAGGAGGCGAAGTTTACGTGTGTGGAACAGATGGTTGGGAAGTGTGACTGACCCAAGGAGCGTTGCAGAGGTAATGGCAAACCTGACTTATATTAAGACAAGAAACGTTGACTAGGTAGTTGGTGGCTTGCTTGCTGCGGATGTTATAAGAGTGTCTGGCTCCCTATATAGTACTGCCATGGAAGATGTTTGGTACTACAGTTGTCACGGACGGGGGGAGGTGGGCGACCAAGGTGCCATCTGTACGCATCAGCTGTAGTACAAAATGTGTGTCGTCTCCAGGTCTTGTTGCACCCTAATTCTTCACAATACTTCATTCACGCCAGTTGTAAATTTTGTGTACGAAATTTTCAGTATTGAAGTTTTCATTAATATACTAATTATTTCAAATTGAGAACGATAGCCTTAACATCTTCAGTGTTTCTGAGAACAAATATAAGGGAGAAATAGACAACAAAAAGATTAAATGATAAATAATACTAAGATAATTAATTCGTTGTCCTGTAAAAATCTTGACCGTATAAGAGTTTCAACACTTCGCTGTCAGAGGAATGAATATAGTGTTGAGTATGTACTGGCGGAGTATATATCTACCTGTTTAAATTTATGAAATAATGAATATGTGTATGCGTGTGGATACAGGTGACTAAGGCGCAGCGTCCGGTCGTGGGCGCCAAGGTAGTGGTCGTCATGCAGGTGGGGAGCAGCGCATACGACCTTCCCCTGTACGACAACGGCGGTGGAAGTGAGTGTTCTGTTCCTCCCTCACGTCTACACATTATTCATAAATTAACAGAATTGTGTAATGTGACATTTATATTAAAATTTGGAAAGATAATATCAAAGTTGTATATAATTATTTTGGTTTCCCTAGTGTGAGAATTTTTGTTTGGGTTATTTGCTTACAGACATGCATGGTGTTCGTCCTCTGATAAATTTACAACTTGAAAATGAAGAACTATATTCCTTAAGACTTATGACATTAATAGTAGACTCGTTCATCAACGTCATATATTTTCATCTTTCTAAATATAAGACATAGTTTTAATAAATTTCTACATGTTAATACCTGGGTGTTGTGGTGGACAGACCCGGACGTGACTGGTGATGACGGGGTGTATTCACGCTACTGGGTGTTTGCCCCCGAAGGTGTTAAAATCTACACCCTAGTAGTGAAGGTGTCGCCTACGTCGTCATCCCAAGTAGTGGGTTACACCAACAGTCAGGTCGAAACAGGTGAGTATCTACCAGGGATGACTCTCCTCGGGTAGCTTTTACAAGTACAACTCGGTGTTCAAACAAAGATGACCAGGAACTATATGATATTAGCCGCATTAAGCCACAATTGGAAGAATAACCCTTGAGCGTAGAGACAGTTTTACATGAGCTTATAGGTGAATTCGTGAATCAGCTGTAATGCTTTGATTTACTAGACAAGGTTATGAAGGAGGCCAAAAATTCTCCATAACAATTTCCAAAATTTTCCGTAAAAATTTACAAGACTGTTTCAATGTCACAAAAAGGTACAGTACTTTTATTTTACTAACATTTATAGACAACTCACGTAATTGTAGTTTTCAGACATTTTTTAAAGCTTTATTGGGTTTTTTTTTTCACCCACTGAAATATTTGCAAGATTATTTAAACATTTGTATAGTACAAACGTTTTGCTGTTTTGGTGTGACCTACTGGCGAGATAATGTATTGTTGCTGCAGGACTGAAGTGCTGTGGGAATGTACTCGTCCTCAACCACCTGCCTGCAGAAGACTTCGTTGACACCTTTACCCAAGTGGTTAGTCTCCTGTCGTGTGGATACTTTCCAACATTGTGTCTTACTGTATGGGAACTTTTCCACTGTGTAAATACGTCACTATACAGCCCCCCCCCCCACTTTTTTTTGTTTTCTTCAACATACGGTGTGGCCACTACACTGTCCTGAGTACAGTATCTTTGTACACGTGGCCCTGATGAGATCCTCCGTGATTTCAAACGCTCCGTGTACATCAGCTCTGGATCCATGGGGTTGCTGACCCTACTTCCTTGACTTATACAACTAGAAAGTATTACACAACTTTTGAACGTGTGTCTTCGTCTCTAAAGAGTTAATAAAAAAGGTGTTTCGTGCCGCCAGGTGGGTACAGCCGTAGTGGCGAGTGAGGCAGGTAAGGAAGACGTCTTCCCTCCAGCCCGGGTCACGGATCTTCGAGGTCAACCATCCAGCGACAAGGTCACCCTCACATTCACCGCTCCTGGCGACGACCTCGACCGAGGCTATGGTAGGTTTTTTGTGACCTGACAATGTCCTACAACTATAAAATGTTGCGCATAAGCAGAGACCAACTGATAGTATACCAGTAGCACAAGAAAGACCCATCTGACAGTACTGTAGATATCACCACAAGCAATGACCACTGACAGTAGGTAATAGCACAGTGACCATTTGACAGAAGGTAACACCAAAAGTTGCTGTTTCTTACATTTAACTCACACAATAGAATTATAAGTAATAATCTAAATTTAGTTATAGATTAAAATCATTCAAATGGAAAACGAAAATGATTTTTCTTTTACAAATTAGCGTTAGAAAGTAATACAGGAAATGCCAGTACAGGCATACAAAAAAACATATGCAATATAAATTAATTATCCCATATTGAAGACGTTGGTAGAGTACCTCCTCCCACTCGTTTCATTAGGTAACAGAGGCCAACCCTCCTCCAAGCTAGAAACTTCAGCATTAAGAAAAATAGGACATCTTCACTGGTGTTAGGATTTAAGACAATAAAAAAAGTACATTTCAAGCTTTCGTCTTGAAGTAGAGGTGTTTAATCTAAACTACCAGCAGCAAGTGACTGAGTGATAAGAAGACTTAGTCACACAAGGGGAGCATAGTTACCGTTAATATGAATAATATGATCATTGAATCCAGGTTTAGTCTTAAATTACTATCACATTTATTGAACCTCGGTTTCATTTATTCATGGTATGTTAACGACTTCATAGACCCGTTTGTATACACAAGGGATTAAGAAACATAGTCTTATCCACTCCAAACATTTCTGTTTGGAGGCTTTATATGAGATTTATTTAGTGAGGACTGAGTATGGGGACTTGTAAGTTATAGATAGTATTGTAAATTGTCGAACTGACACACACACACACACACACACACACACACACACACACACACACACACTGCTCCAATAATCTCCGGGTTACCTTTTTCTTTTATTTCAATTTATTATGTTCACGATTTTAATAAGAAAGAGATAAGACAACTAACTGATCTTGTTGCCCGCAGCGCTGGAGTACCGAGTATTCTGGAGTGACCCGAGTCAGCAGGTCCAGGAGTGGAAGCGGTTGGAGGACCTCACCTACGTGGTGGTGGAGGGTGGCACTCTTGCCCAGGTACAGCTGGTACCGCCAAAATGTGATCAAGAATTTTACTACAGTGTGAAGGCGTACGACACCATTTTACAGGATGGTGGAAACTCTAACGTGGCCTCCATCAGCGTGGCCTGTGGCATTGTGACGACGCCCATTCCAACACCCCCTTCGCCCGGTGGTTGTCCCTCTGCTGCGGGGGCCATATGCGGGGCGTTCTTCGGTGGGTTAGCCGCCGGGCTTCTCATTGCAGCTTTGGGTTATTTCGTTTATCAGAAGTATTACAAGCCATTACGTGGAAGTGAGAATGCGAGCTCACACACTCATGAAATGCAGCATCGTAGACAGAACAACCGACCACATGCTGGGTACAAGAACAACGCCTTCACCCCTGACAACCCAGCGACCCAATCTGAGAGGTATACCGCCAGTCCCCTTGACTTGATCAGGCGAAGAATTAATCCCAAGCCTTCATCATCACCCAACCAGGAAAGATCACTCCCTCAGCCACCCACCCAGGAACGATCACTCCCTCAGCCACCCACCCAGGAACGATCACTCCCTCGGCCACCCAACCAGGAACGATCACTCCCTCAGCCACCCACTCAGGAAAGATCACTCCCTCAGCCACCCACTCAGGAAAGATCACTCCCTCAGCCACCCACACAGGAAAGATCACTCCCTCAGCCACCCATCCAGGAACGATCACTCCCTCAGCCACCCACCCAGGAACAATCGCAACGACCGCTCCCTCCTCCACTCACTGCACGATCCATTCCACCTGCCCCAAGCAACAGCGACCAATGGCTGCATCAGATAGTACCACTACCTGCTCGTATCAATGTCGCAGCCACAAATAATAGCCAAATGCCAAGAAGGTCTCATCAGTTCCCAGGCCAGCAGCGTAGGGGTCCTAGCGTGGATAATGGAAGTTTATACGAGTCCATGGGGGACAATGTGTCTCAAACCTCGGATGAAGTTTACGACACTGCTTATTCCTAAGTCAGCTGTGGATGCTCTGGTGTAGTACGAGAACATTAAAGAGTCAGTGTGTGTGTGTGTGTGTGTGTGTGTGTAACCTCTCAAGAAGTTGTAAGTCAAAACACCTTTTGTATAGAACGATCATACTTTTTATTTACCTGAGGGAATAAATTAATTTAAACTGATTTTGCTGAGGTTTGTTAAAAATCCTTCAAATGTTATTTTCTATGGTATAAAACAAAGGTCTTTCCTGGTACTGTACTAAACACATTAAGTCGAGACATGCAGAGTACCAAGGAGCCGCTCGTTGCAAATCGGGAACACCAAGTTTTCAGTGATCCAGAGATAACCTGTGTGTTCACTCCTTATCTTCCCTTTGTATTAAAAGCTTAAGATGAACAAGTAGGAACAAGGATTACTTATATAAGCCTGAGTTATAAAAAGGATTTATATAATATAATTGACGATATGAAATAATTTAATGCGGCGGGAATTATTATCTCCTAAGTATTTGAACAATATATCTTATAAAATGTGTTAACATGTATGTTACCAAGTGTATGATAACATTGTAACAGATGCCAGATAGCAAAATAATAGGTGTTAGATAACACCATAACATGTATAAGTTAAAATCATAACATGTGTTAGATAACAAAACAACAGGTGTTAAATAACATGACAGGTGTAAGATAACCATAATAGCAGTTGTTAGATAACGTGACAACTGGTGTAAGATAACAAGATACAGTGATATTAATGTTCCAGTATTACACAAGTGAAGCTTTTCTAAGAATTATCTGACATACGAGGTCGAGAATCCTAATTGATAACCCAGTACTTATTATCAATTCACATTAGTTGTCAAGTCTTTAACTATGACCATATAATTATCATCAATTCATATTTTGCTTTTCTTTGAATAAATTGTTCTAAGATATCCCTAAAATTACCTTTAATCCAGCCAGCCGGGTATGGATGTGTCATCAAAACCTTTCGAAGTCATCCTGAAAATAGTGTTGGCTTCACTATGGAGAGGTCCCTTGTATGCTCTACATTCCTCTACTGTTTAATAAGGTTTCTAAGTCTCATTGTTGTCCTGATGCTCCTGCTGTTGCCGATTCTGGACATCCTGTATCTTCTCGTTCAGGTCTTCCTTAACATGGGCGAGTGCCTCGAGCTCCGCCGTTAGGGTTGTCTCCCAGATATCGTTGGCATGTTTACTCTGTGGAGACAAAAATAAAGGTGTACAGAATGGTAACGGACTTATTAAGAATGGATAGGAGGACCTTATTATTATTATTATTATTATTATTATTATTATTATTATTATTATTATTATGGATACTTTATTAAAGAGAGGAAGAACAGGTAGTAAGGGGTAGCCCAGGTACTGACGTCACTAATGGCGCGGTGAATTTGATCCATCTTGGCGGTCGTCAATTGCTGAAGCAGCTGGTCCAAGGTGGCAGATTCCTCTCTACTCAGTACCTCCGACCCTCGTATTAACTGTGAACAGAGGCGTTACCGGTTGGTTAAATGTTCAGCCTGAGACAGATTGTCCTCAAACTAACACACAAGGAGAGAAAGGGGGGGTGAGATAGGCAAAGAAAAATAAACAAAACATGAAGTACTGCTAACTTAAACAAATCCAACCTAACCTAACCTAACCTAACCTAACCTAACCTAACCTAATCTAACCAAATTTAATATAACATAATCATCTACAGTCAACATACCGCAGTGAAGGTGTTGACGAGGTGCCGAGTGGCACATATGGTGTTGTCTTGCAGTTGGTGTTGTGTGGGGTCGCTGGCCATCTCCCTGGCGGCCCTCATCATCTCCTCCAGAGCTTCCACAACCTTCTCGCTCCTCATCCCACATTCCACTGCATCACGGGACACAGATGTTAGAAAGTGCTTCTGTTATCCGAGCATTTATAATAGACATTCATAATTTCATTGATACTTTAACCTAATTAACTAAATAAACAAAATCCAGCACCTGCACGGATTAGTAATAAGAGCTTAGTTTAAACACTTAAGGGAGATTCCAACCTACCTTCTCTTACTAACCATGGCTAGTCATAACGATGGTACAGTACATAAGAAGAGAACTATCACAAGACTTAAGGTACGTAAGTGTTGCAGGTTACATGAAGCATTTACTCACAAACACGTATCAAGGAATTCTTCCTCAGAAAAGTTTTATAAGGAGAACACCAAAGCAGAACACGATCATCACACACACACTCAAATTACACTGTACGTGTACTCCTCACAGTCAACCCACCCTCGTACGTTTCTCACACCCTTACAGTGCTCACCCAATCCACACATTCGCATATTGAATTATTTTTATAGGTATATAAACGTGAATTTACTCTTACCTTCGGCCATGCCACTTAAGCTCCTCTGCAAAAGCGATCGCTCAATTGACCCGCAAGCATCATTGTATCTGCTCCTCTGAGGTAAGGTCTGGTACTGCTGGAGCCTGACGAAGACCTCCTTCAGCCTTAACACCAGGTCACGTAGGGTATTAGTAAGCGTTATGGCACGATCGAGAATAGTGGCGTTGTTCATACACTCCACCAGTTCCTGAGTCACCAGGGATATTTTAGTCTGTATCAGAGACATGTTCTCCTTGAGGGATGCAATTTCCTGCTGAACTTCAGGGGGCATAGTCAGGCAGCAAGGAGGTGATGTTTCTGGGAGTGTTGTAGTCGTTGTAGATGATTCAGTTGACAGTGTTGTAGTCGTTGTAGATGATTCAGTTGACAGTGTTGTAGTCGTTGTAGATGATTCAGTTGACAGTGTTGTAGTCGTTGTAGATGATTCAGTTGAGTGTTGTAGTCGTTGTAGATGATTCAGTTGACGGTGTTGTAGTCGTTATTGATGATACAGTTGACAGTGTTGTAGACTAAATAATACCATAACAAAAAATTAACCCAAAAATTCACTGAAAGGGTCCTGAAATTTGCTTAGACTCTGGGACTTTTTTTTTTCCCGCCGAGCTGGGACGTTTTGCTTCCGGGAAGCTTAATTGACAGGTAGATGGAATACTATCTCTCAGTGATAAAAGACATCACCTGTCACTATGGACGGAGACTTATTAATCTCACCAAATCTACCATTATCCCTTACCTGTTATAATACTCGTATGCTAATGAGAGTAATGCTGTTGTTGCTGTTGTTTTATTAGAGTTAACGCTCCTTTACTTTTTGTTGTTAACCCTGCGGTAGTTGCCTGTTAGAGTTACCGATACCGTTCAACATTTTATCTCTTCTCCATCCATATATAACTTTTACTATTACTATATATAGTTAACCTTTACAGCAGTAACTCTGGCGTATTCTCTTCCATTTCAGATCAAACTGTTTTTATTTCCAGAAGTATTGACAAAATGTGTGTGTGTGTGTGTGTGTGTGTGTGTGTGTGCTAGTGGAGTCTTGTGAAAAACGTTATGTATAAAGTACATGAAATGGTTTTTATGGCTCTCTCTCTCTCTCTCTCTCTGCGTTAATGGAGTGTACATATTGACTTGACGGGATAATGCAAGAGTTCTTTTCCTTTTGACGCCCCACTGAATATCTCCATGACAAGAACTCACACACACACACACACACACACACACACACACACACACACATTTTTTTATGGGGAATAGCCCACCCGGCCACAGGTCATCGACCCAAAACGGGGCCTGGAGGGGGAGACATGAGAAAATAATACGTTAATCTACACCACGAATATGCCGGAAAACCAGTTTTTCGAAGCGAGGCAGATTGTAAGAGGATGGAAACACAGAAGAAGGCAAAGCATTCCACAGTTTGGCTGTGTGAGGAATGAAGGATGTATTATAACGGGCCACCCTAGTGTGCCCGACAACCACAGTACCTGTAAATGAGAGGTGAGTGAAGCAACAATGCAGCAAACAGAGATTATTTACTAAATACTCAAACACACACTCGCACACACATACACATATACACACTCAACACACAAGTTAATGACTTAAGTCACTTAACCATGAGAGTACCACACACTGATCAGATGACTAACAGAAAATGGGTCATATTCTGATAATTCTGTGCACTTGTAACTGTCATCGCATACAAGTTTGCCCAGAGAGTCAATTATATAACATTGCCTCAACACTTCCCAGGTGCTCTGAGGGACTCGAACTGTTTGTTTCAGCCGTCATACTGTAATTGGAGGGCGTGAATACACAAACCAAATGAACTAGTTAGAATGCGAGGAAAATTTTGTAGGAGGGGTTAGAACTTCGTACACACTTATTTGTCTCATCTCCTTGGTGATCTAACACGCAAAAGGCATTGGTGGTCAATCAGTCAGGAGAGGCGGGCATTGGGTCGACTGATTCAACCAATAAAATTAAAGCAGTATAATCTGAAAATATTCAAGTGATCTTTACACTGTTCCTCTAACAGTATGACAACATATCCATTGTCTCTAATCTAGACATTTCAGATACTATAATGATAATTATTTGGGGAAGTTCACAATACCTGGTGGCAGCGGGTGTAGCTACAAACAGCAACCTCCAAAACGGGTCTACCCAAATTATTTTATGTTCATGAGTAATTTGGATCAGTATTCCGACTGGTAAAAAAAAAATTCATTCAACCAATAGTAACCCAAAGAACCTATTAAAAGTCTATTTCCATTGAGATTCTTAAGACCAATTCTACTGCCGCGCTCCTGAACTTAGATCATTTAGGAGTCATCAAAGAATAGTATCCTCACTAGGCGTTTATTTCCTCACGACACATACAGGAAATGCTGTAAAACAAACTCAACAATTCTTTAAGAATCATCTAATTAAATTTGTTGATGAAATAACCAAACTCACTTAAGTTACAGTTCTGACTATATAATGTAGGCGGCAGCCCCTGTTGTAGCAATGTGCAGTCACCAACAAAATTCCTTTACACGTCGGAAACTTCTAACTGTTGGAACGAATTTTTAAACTATTGGAACGAGTCACTAAATTATTGGAACGAGTCACTAAACTATTAGAACGAGACCCTAAACAATTGGAACGAGTCCCTAAATTATTGGAACGAGTTTCAAATCAGAATATAAAGTAATTATTGTCCTTAACTGTCCATTACTTACTTGAGTCAGCGTAAGAAAAGACGATCTAAAATGTTATCAAATTCCCCTTGGCTAGAGGAGGAAGAAAAAAGATCATAGTACAAAATTAGTTAACCTTCACACAAAGAAATTATATATTGAGCCATAAAGACAATGACAAAACCATTTTAGAAAACTTCGTGGATGAGCGACATTTGGTATAGGTTACAGAAGTTCACGTTAATAAGGGGTCGTAGTGATAAGACAGATAACAGGTTGTGCTAGTGAATCGTAAGAAGCTGGGCATAATAACACCATGTTGAGAAGATCACTATGGTTCCTGTTGATAACGGGTGGTGGTGTTATGTTTATGTTTGTGGTAGCCGTCGTGGCCCTGTTATAAACTAGTGCCAAACATCTTGGTTGTGGTAATATAGTAGTAGTAGTAGTAGTAGATATTGTGACAGAGTGACGATGCTGGACGTCATCTTCATTCCGGTAGATGACGTTAGTTGTAGAAAGCATCTTGGAAGCGGCAGAGTGATTGTAAAAAGCATCTTGGAAGCAGCAGAGTGGTATCGCTAAGCACCATGGTCTTGCGAGAAGCCATCTTGTCGACGATGACGGGAGCTACCTCACATCTTAGTGGGTTCCTCAGTCTTGCGGATGGGGACGTCGCGCTGTGCTGGTTGGGGAGGCTCCACGGGCTGGGGATATGGAATGTTTACAACAGCAATACTACAAATTTGTTTACTGGAGGTCAAATTCCACCTCAGGTTAACATTATTAACCATGAACTTTGACCTTGACTTCTGATCCACCTCCTACAAAGTAAATGGATTCTTTCTCGGTCACAACAATTCACTTGCCAAATTTGTTTCTGAAATAAATGCTGTTTAATGTGAAAACTTTTTTCTAGCCACCTTGTACATACATACATACATACATACATACATACATACATTCACATGTCTACAGTCCCCAAGGGACGAGGGCATACTACTAGGCACTGCTGATGCAGGTGCCAGGCCCAGTCTGCTGGGCCCCCTATCCCCACCTCCTTCTCCCCACCTGCATTTATCAACATCCTCCCGCCAACATTACAGGGCAAAGATTGACGATCAATCCACAACTGATATACAAAAGTGACAATTCCAATTCGAAAATAATGGAAACAAGTGTTAAGGACAGTGCCTGGCGGTCTGTCCCATAAAACCAGACCTCATCACCTACCAACACCAGATGATAAATGAAGATTCCCAGCTACACAAAGAGAGAAATGAGAGCCCCAACTACATCAAATGAGAAACAAGAACTCTCCCCAACACCAACTCCCTGTGTAAGCTCAGAGACCTACAGTAAACTGGTCGGGGAAATGTTAAGTGGTTGCATCTGTATATTTAAACCACCTTGGCTCAGTCCCTTGGGTGGTCTGGTTACACAGGTTTTACTGTATTTTCATACACATACACATACATAGACACAATGTATATACACATGTACATGTGTACACAAACGAGTATTATTCACGAGTATGCATATACACGGAAGTATGTGTACGTACAAACTTTGACTTACATGAATATACAATATACATACAAGTAAAATTAATATCCATATCCTCACATATATTTTTCACATATTACGATCAGCATGTTAATGATAAAGTGACTACTTGTTGGCTCTTGCTACACCTGGTACAGTACAGTACAGTACAGTACAGTACAGTACAGTACAGTACAGTACTGCACCACCTTCATGTCTGGTTAGGATGCTTTGCCTAGCACACTGACCAGATTACAGTTGTCAGAGCAATATAACTGTTAATGATACTTAAGGCAATCATCTAGGAACTTAGAACCTTCTTTGGGGCCTCGATGGTTAGGACGCCGTCAGGAGAGAGAGAAGAACCCACCATATCTGTGAGGACATCTTCCGGCAGTGTGTACTTCCTGAAGAGAGATAAGAACACCACTCAACAAACTTACATTGTGTGTGTGTGTGTGTGTTAATCTGCCGACAAAGCCTTAAAAAGCAAATGACTCTGCCAAATAGGGACATTTAAAATACCGTTGACTATCATAATGTAACCAAACTATGGCTAAAGTGGCATATGTAAGATATGCTTAGATTGCTAATGACGTTTTTTGCCTGTAGTTTGTAGTATGATTATCTACATGATCGTCCCTAAATACAGATCAATTTAAATGTTCTAAAAGTATTAAGATTATCGTTCTTTCGCAATTAAAACACATGATATATATAAACAAGTTGTCCCAGTTCATGTCGGGGGTTGTATGACTAGAAAAGGTCGATATAGACGGAATCTTTTCTATGGTTTCATGATTGATAAAGAATAAGATATTATGGATCAAATGGCAAACGGGTCCTCACCATTTTAGCTCAACCTTATGAGTGATTTAGCAGGTCAATAGAGGCTGAAAATGTATCCTAAAGACCTAGATAAGGTGCCACAGATGTCACTCACCTGACAAAGTGCCTAGAGATGGTGCCATGTTCGTCAGGGCGTTGCTCGTGTTTACCCTCCACCTCAACGACGCCCTCCACCACACGAACCTTCAGCTCCTCTGGCTTGAACTGTTGCACGTCCAGGGACATCTGTCGTGAAATAAAAGGAAGAGCAGAAATGAATACCCCCAAAAAATGAAGTGAAATCTATTGTTATACTTATGGGAACAGGTGATAATTATAGCAGGTGATCTGTTAACTGGAGTATCAAATGAACCACTTACTGTGAACTTGTTCTTCTCTTGACACATCGTGGAGATACCTGATCGCTCTTTGGGGGGACGACGACAACGGGTGTAGAGAGAGGCGCTGGGTGCAGACACATCCTCCTCCGCCATCACTGACCCGAAGTGCTGTGTGTAAAGTGTCGTCAACCTTACCCACATTCCCTCTGTCTACCAGTTTGCTTATACATATATATCTGTCTATTCAACCGTCTGTCTATATGTTTCCTTGTATGTCAATCTACCAAAGTAATCTATTTACCTGTCAATCTACCTATTGCATTTACCTGTCAGAGAATATGCTAATTCAATCTATTGAGCTGTTTACTATGTGTTTATCTATTAACTTAAATATCTGTCAATCTACCTATTTATCCAATAATGTCAATATTCATCAATTTACATGTTAAAATTAAGATATCGTTTACCATAATAAAATAGGTAAGTTTATACCTAAAGTATGTAAGGTAAAGTTAAGTTACGTTATAATGTCATAGTTGGTAGAAAGATCTTAAAGTAGAGGGCTTGGTCGAATCACTTCAGCTTTTGGTCTTTACCTGGTCGAAAACCTTGGACGGTCGGTCGAAGACTTGTTCCCGCCGGTCGGTGAAGAAGTCTCCTCGATCGCCCCAAAAGTCACGGAAGAAGGGATCTCGGTACATCATGGGAATCTGACGAGACATAACTGAAAGAGAGACACAGGGAGAGACACCTTTGTCTTATTCGTTCCACTACAATGTCTGAATAATTTAAAATATAGTGACTCCAGTGTAGTCTCTAGTATATATACATATCGTCTCCCGTACACACATACACTAAAATGACATCGTCTCCTATACACACATAAACACTATCAACGTCTCTTGTATACATATATAGAATCCTACTTAACGTCACCTTTACGAACATAAACTCACAATTGACGTCTCCTTAACGAACATAAACTCACTATTGACGTCTCCTTTATACCCTTAACTCACTAATAACGTTTCAGATACACACATAGATCAGTATTATCGTCTTCTATGCATTTAGGTCTCCTATATATACTACTGTACACACCATTAATGTCTCTATACATATGTAAAAGAAAGTGCGGTGTTCAAGTGGATACAGTGCTCAGTGTTCGCCTCCTGTCCTATGGGCCAGTGGTTCGATCCCCAGGCACGCCTAGTCCACCCAGCTACCTAACTTTACAAGTTTAGGAAGTGAAGGTGATAGAGTACTGTGCCGGCCAGCCTGCTTCCTTGCGAACAGATGAGTTACTACAGTGTGTTGTATCCACATTGTCCCTAACGAACAGTCATGCCTGTGGGACTCACTTTCACACAAACACACACGCTATCAACAAATGCTACACACATAAAGCTTTCAAAAACAGCACTTCCGGTCACTCAAATTACTCCTCTTTACAGGTAAATTAATATCCATGTTGTAATTATGAGTTACCTGGAGGAAGAGGGAGGGTGACAGTGTGTGTCCCGGGATAGAGGGAGGGTGTGTGCTGGTGTGTTCCGAGGACGAGACTAACACGTAAATATCTCTCACCCCCCAATCCCCATGCCAATATACTCCGCCCACTGGTGGGGTGGGTGGTGGTGGGTGGTGGTTGGTGTGGTGAGTGGTGGTGGTGGGGGGTGAAGTGGTGAGTGGTGGTTGGAGTGGTGAGTGGTGGTGGGTGGTGGTTGGTGTGGTGAGTGGTGGTGAGTAGTGGTGGTGGCGAGTGTGGTGAGTGGCGGTGGGTGTGGTGAGTGGTGGTGGGTGTGGTGACCAGTGTTGATGTTCGTGGTGAGTGTTCCCGCTTCCACAGTCTGACCTGGCAGACTGTTCCATAAAGTGCCTCGCCATCGCACAGAGAATATGCTTCGACCTAACCCTAAAAGGATGTAGTTTTTCAATGACTAGGACGTAGAGGGTCTGGGTGGGTAACGTGACTATTGTTATTACCATGTGATTCTATAAATATTTAATGACTTCCCAAGAATTCCAGGACCTATTTGAACTCCTTTTATTTCATTAAAAAAGAAGTATATTACAAAACTTTGGAAAATCATAGAAACTGCTGACAACTGCACCAAGACTTGTCAAACTAGGGACACCCACATTAAGAAAAAATTCATGGAGAATCATAACAAAGGTGACCAATCCCTCAAGCTCAAAACAAAAATCCATCAGCCAGGTCATGAAAGGTGGGCATTGGCTGACTAAACACCTACAGTGATGAAGACTGATAGTAATGAAGACCTCCGTGCACTGACTTACTGATTATTACCTACTGACCTAATGACCTTTGACTCGGGTGGAGAAAGAAGAGAGGAAGGAAAGAGGAAGAGAATAAAGGAGAGAAAGGGGGGGAAACTGATAGGCAGACTGACACAATGACAAGAGATGCAGAAAAGCTAATAAAATTTAACTTCTGCCCAAAAGACAATTCACAAAATTTCTCTTTAAGGAATAATGGGAAGTGGATCCCATAGGATTAACATAGACATTTAAGGCCATTTAAGGCCAATATAGAGCCCGCGAAATTATAAACTTTTAACCGTCAATACTCGAGGAGGTAACGTGACTGGCAGTGCACTCAACCGCTTCCACTTCCCCAACTGTGAAATCAGGTACCCAATTTACAGCTGGGTGAACTAGGGCAGCGGTCCTTAAGTGTTAACAAACAACACCTATGACAAGAGGCAAGCGCTTTACCTACTCAGTAATAATAAACATGTGAAATCATAACTTCACAAAACCACTAACATAATAAGGAAGGTGTCAGTGCTAAAATATGGCTTTCTGGCTTTCTCCCACACTCTCAACTCCTCCCAGGCCAAGTACAGCTGACTGACTCACTCTCCCCCGTGTGCCTGAAATACCCGCCGACTCCACGCACCTGGCATCTACCACACCACATTTGGTCAACTTCCATACATCCGCTTCTGCTACGGAAATAGGTGGTGATGTGAGGGGAGGGAGAGAGAATGTTCACGTCGGTGTATTTATTGGATAGTGATGGTTAGTGTGTGGTGATGGTTAGTAATAGTGGTGATGGTTATTGTTAGTGGTGATGGTTAGTGTGTGGTGATGGTTAGTAATAGTGGTGATGGTTAGTGTTAGTGGTGATGGTTAGTGTTAGTGGTGATGGTTAGTGTTAGTGGTGATGGTTAGTGTTAGTGGTGATGGTTAGTAATAGTGGTGATGGTTATTGTTAGTGGTGATGGTTATTGTTAGTGGTGATGGTTATTGTTAGTGGTGATGGTTAGTGTTAGTGGTGATGGTTAGTAATAGTGGTGATGGTTATTGTTAGTGGTGATGGTTAGTGTTAGTGGTGATGGTTAGTGTGTGGTGATGTGTGGTGATGGTTAGTAATAGTGATGGTTAGTGTTAGTGGTGATGGTTAGTGTTAGTGGCAATGGTTAATGTTAGTGGTGATGGTTAGTGTGTGGTGATGGTTAGTAATAGTGGTGATGGTTATTGTTAGTGGTGATGGTTAGTGTTAGTGGTGATGGTTAGTAATAGTGGTGATGGTTAGTAATAGTGGTGATGGTTAGTGTTAGTGGTGATGGTTAGTATAGTGATCATGGTTAGTGATAGTGGTGATGGTTAATGTTAGTGATGATGGTTAGTGTTAGTGATGATGGTTAATGTTAGTGATGATGGTTAATGTTAGTGATGATGGTTAGTGTTAGTGATGATGGTTAGTGTTAGTGGTGATGGTTAATGTTAGTGATGATGGTTAATGTTAGTGATGATGGTTAGTGTTAGTGATGATGGTTAGTGATGATGGTTAATGTTAGTGATGATGGTTAGTGTTAGTGATGATGGTTAATGTTAGTGATGATGGTTAGTGTTAGTGATGATGGTTAGTGTTAGAGGTGATGGTTAGTGATACTGGTGATGGTTAGTAACAGTGGTGATGGTTAGTGTCAGTGGTGATTGTTAGTGTCAGTAGTGATGGTTAGTGTCAGTGGTGTAATGAATGATATAACTCAACATGAACATAGTGAGAATTTATTGTAGTACTGTAGTATGCAAGTGAGAAAAATAGCATGACTCGATGATGTAAAGATACCGTAGTATCATATATAATGTATGTATATGTATATATATATATATATATATACTGTATATATATATATATATATATATATATATATATATATATATATATATATATATATATATATATATATATATATATATATATATATATATATATATATATATATATATATATATATATATATATATATATATATATATATATATATATATATATATATATATATATATATATATATATATATATATATATATATATATATATATATATACTGTATATTATCACAGGCTAAGTACAAGTTTAGTATAGAATGTACCTGTAAAACACCAACGTGCATTACAACTTTATTTTACCAGTTCAATGGAGAGAGGGAGGAGGGTTATGTGGGACTCTTACACTATAAATTGCAGATTAAACAAATCAGCCCACCGTCAAGTTTTGGATCAACCCACTTAACTCAAGCGACATCCAACAGGACCACACTCGTCCGATTGGAAACTGATGTCCTTATGTCTCACAGGAGTGTTCAGCAAAGTAGAAACACTGCACCCCCCCTCCCCCTCTATGGAGGCCGAATTTGAAATACATTAACCAATTGTGCATGGGTAAGAAATGATTTTATAGTGACAGCGATAGGTCATAAATAAAATAAAAATGGTGTGGGAGGAGTTTAATTAAGCCTTTTAAAAATTTATGATAATGAAAGATCCATGGATTTGGTATTTTGGTTTTGAAACTGCATGCAGATTCTGAGATGCAGAATAAACTTCATATTTGTCCAATAGTTTTTCTTTCCCCATCTCCTAGTACTAGAGCATAACCTAACCGCAATGTGTGAAAAGAGAACATTGTAACACAAACACATGACAAGCTCATCCAGCAGGGGAACTTTCAGAGGTGCACAGCAAGCCACCAAGAAAATTATTGAAATATGACCAATTTCGGAGGCATTTTGAGGCCATATGCACTGGGTATGAGGGCATATTCTAAGGTCAATTGAGTTTGTCATCTAATGACCAGAGACAGTCTGTCTGGAAAGGCCATGAGGGACGGGATCACATTTTGCCCGAATCTGTGATATCTTTACTTGAACTTTCAAGCTACCCTGATATTTTGGGGATCTGTGATGTACAGTATATACTGTACAATACTGTATAGGTAGCAAAAAAAATAAAAAAAGGGGGTACCTCTGTGAACATAAGGGGTACACCATTTAATTCCAACCTCACCTATGCCAGTAAAACAGAACTCCTCATCCGTCATCCCTATCCCACATACATAAAGTGATGTAGACTTTTCTCTCGAGTTCTCCTCACTGAAAAGAGTGAAGGCAGAGACACATGTATTACACTTGGTGAGTTTCAATAGATTGATTATATTCACAGGGCAGTCTCAAAATCATAAATCCTCATGGAGGCTGAATAACAACATCTAATCTCAAATAATACCTCCATCTCTTCAAATGCTTTTCATTTACCTCGGCAAATTACACGCAATGGAACCCAAAGACAAATTTCCATTTTTATCCTAAAATAAAAAAATACATACTTTTGGAAGTTTACACTTGTTTAATAGAAAATGTTTTCTTCTTATTTCACTTTAAATGCTGTACATATAATAATGTATAAAATAACATCTTTGAGCATTACCTTTTTACTGAATGCCAAAGCCAAAAGTTATCCTTTTGTGGTCAGCGGCATCCCAGTTCCCAAGGACTCTGTCTGGATCCACTGTCAAATTTCTGTTAACATGCAGCATGGCAAGTCCTGAGTTTCTCATTTGACATGCTTCCTCTGAATCAATTCTTCAATCTGTGCAAGGCAGAGAATGATCTGTCACAGCAGCATGAGGTCACAAGACCATTTTGAGAATGCAGAGAATGTTTGGGAATTAGATCATTTGGGTAATCTTCAGTCTCCATGGGTGATGCTGGCAGGGAATCTGCAGTGTAATCTTTAAACTTGTGCCTGTATCTCTGAATCTCCTGCTTAATTGTGTCTGGATGAGGAAGGTCTCCTTTCTACCAATCTATTGTCTTTTCCTCTTTCTCCTCGGTTAGTTTTGACAATGATTTTGGTACTAATTAGGATGCTAACATGCAACATGGCTGGTTCATCTCTCTCTAGAAATATCTACTCTAGTTGGTTCGTAATGTGGTCAATGAATGGGTAGAACAGGTTCAACCGAAAGTGTTCGTTAATTGTCTGGGGAGTACATTGTCTTTGTGCTTTTGTTTCATTGTCATCCTCTTCTTGGCAGGCACCACACCAATAGAACTAGTTGGTTCAGTTGACTTGTAAAGTTAGTTAGGTACTGTAGTTAGTTAAAATAGATATAACTTTATGCAGCAGTGAAAGCAGTCAATGAGGTGAGATCTGGCGGGATCAAAGAGAAAGGAGTTAAAGTCTAAAGTTCACAATATGATCATATTTAGTTTTTAATGTTTTTATTCACTTTAAAAAATTAAATAATGGGGGAAAAAATTGCTGAGGTCCGGACTTCGGTGACCATCATATGTACTTACGGACCTGCCTAAGAATGCACTCATAATTAACCACACACTTATTCTCCCTGAGGTTCTAAGAACACACTCTTAATTAACCACACAATTACTGGTATTCTCCTTGTGGCCTTAGAACACACTCTTCACTATCTACATACTTGTTCTCCCTGTGGCACTACTAGACCATCCATACTTACACTATAACCTACACACCTCTCCAAACCTTTCAAAGCTAGATACCAACTACTGTACTGTACTAATACTGTACTTCAACAAATTTCTTGGGGAATTCTACAGGGCATTGATTACTGGATCATGTAAATGTATCAGGGACACACAATATTTTTATTCATCTGAGGAAAAACAAAACTAATTTTGTGGATTCAAATTTTATTTTTGCCAAAAGTTTTTATCTCAAAAGAGTTTTTATGAGGCTTGCAAGGGTCTGGTTTCACCAATGTTTATACGATGAATATCCCTTGTTACTTAAGATATAATAATGTACTCGACTGTTGGACTTAGGCTAAAACACTAACCCCTTCACTACTGGGACTCTACTTTTAATATTTTATTTGGCTCATGCCAGACAATTTTATTCAACTCAGAGGTGGCCCAGTACACGAGGGGTATAATAACAGAGATATATCATCAAAATTATACTCCGACTCTACCTTATCTAGATATTTTAACTTAACACCAGATAAAGTTCCAGTAAAATTCTTCACAAAGAACTTTATACAGGATGTAATCCTCTTAATCTATGGTCAGTAAAATATTAAAGTACCGGGTATTAAGTTAAAATGAAGTCTCTATATAATTCTTCAGTAATATCCCTGAAAGCTGGAACAAATAGTTCAGTGCATTTCTGGGTTTGAGAGATTTCCAGGTACAGGTATTGAGATGAATGATCTTATCCCTGGAAAAATTCATCTATCGACAGAATTTTTCCGGGTACTGGTGAATGTTTTCACGTCTAAATTATGCATCATTGCTACAAAAGCTTAACTATAATTAGCCAGACACAAAGGTGTATTTATTTATGCAAACATTACTGTACACGACTACACTACTACACGTACAATAAATTGTAAATTAACAAAATACTGTAAACTACTGGATACACAATATGTACACCGCACTGCACTCACCAGCAGATGCTGTCGTCTTGAGCTTGTGATGCAGGCAGGCCAAATGATTATATCAGATAAAGGATGGCCTGTTTTGTCCTGTACCATTTACTGTGGCAAATTAGTGCCACAAGATTTGTCTGTAGCTTTTGACATTGTACACATGCTGTGCATTGTAACGTAAACACACCCTCTACACATTAGGCTACAGTAGGCATAGTACTGTATGTACAGTACTTTCACACTTACTGAATGTACTGTACAGGTTACAAGTTACTGTAATCATTTTTTATGTCTTAACACTGCCTTTAACTGTATTCTTGGCTGGTTCTATCCTGGTACAGTCATGGACAGTACTGTACTGCATAACACAGACCTTATGCAACAACAACAGAGTGAGTGAACAAGCTTGTAATGTACAATGGCAGCAGACTATGAACTAAGTAGTATATCATAATGCTAGGGTTTGAGGAGATAGGCTGGGAGATGCATCAGCCAATCACAAGTATCCCATTTAGTCACATGACAGTACAGTAGCCAATCACAGCACACAAGCCTAAGGCCTAAGTTCCCCATGCAGCTAGCCCACCCACATGCCAGAAACCTGTACACACGTTGAAGCATAATGCAATCTCAGAAATTTGTTTAAATGCCCGGAATGGAGAGATTTTTCTCGGAATGCTCCAATCTTTTTCTGGGTAATGGAAAGTTCTATGGATTGAAATTTCCAACTAACGGGGATACCGTACTGTAATATCCTTTATCTTATTTTTGTACAGGAGTATTTTAGCTAAAGTCACCCAGTCAGGATCATTCTTACATCGTCATTCATGAGAAGTATACATCATAGAAACCTCTGTGAATGAGGCCCCTGGACAGTAAGTAGGTCATAATACCAGTAATAAGTCATGGATAATGGGAATTAGTGGATTTTAAACCAATTTTATATTAGGCAGTTGTAAGTGGCACTATATGAGTTTCATATCTTAATTTTCTATACACAATACGTATTGTACAATAATCTACTGTATAAGTCTGATTCAATAATAAAGTACTGTTTAGTGCTGTACTTTGAGATACCAAGTTGCAACCAACAATGACTTTTGTGCAATGAGAAATCCAAAATTCAGCTTCATATTATTTAATGCCTCATTATACAAGATTAAAAGAGGAGTTGTAACAACATACATCAACTTCAACATTATATAAACTCTGAAAAAAATTATTATTTCAACCACTGGGGAGATATAGAGTAGGTACATTACACCATGAGAGGCAAACAGTGGGAAGGACGCTAGGTGAAGAGAAGCAAATGACGGGGAGAGGCAGATTGGAACATCAGACGAGGAAAAGCAGAGAGGAACGCCGGACGAGGCAATGTTGACCAACAAGCACCTGCAGACCAAAGAAGACCACCACTTGTGAGGCCTGCCGCTACTTAACCACAGGTGGTTCTGCAAATCTACAACAAATTTTGTGTCACATGTTATGAACAAGTGATCAGTAGTTGTACAATACAGGTACAGGTACATTAAAAATCTTTTAGAGCAAGTTAAGCATTTTGATGAATGAACAAATTCTGTGCTGTACTGTACTTGAATTACATAATTCATTTTGACTTAAATCACTTGAACATTCTTTTCTCATCTATCTTTTGGAGTTATTTTGCAGAATGTTATACACAAAGTACTGTACTGTACTGAGTAGTGTACTGTGCAAATTCATTGCACTAGTACTTAATATTTATTGAGATCTCTCGACCATATTACAAATTATTGGACTTATTTAATGATTTTTCATGACAAGTAAATTATAAGTGAAAAAGGAATGGTAAATGTTAAAAGGGATCTCACTATTGACTCATTATAGTGAGTAAATTGAATAGGGTGAACCAATCAAGGAATGTGAATGTCTTAATTTACCTACTTTTATTAAATATGAATTAAACTTGGAGTAAGGAAAAAGCCAATTGCTTCTAGTAAGGATCACTTACCTTATTGTAAATGAGGGTGGGTCAAAGATAGAGAACTCTCTCTTTTCAGACACAACTACTGTATCTCATCATCATCATCAACGTTTTACGGCCATTTTCCACACTTGCGTGAGTTAGTCATGATTATCTGGTGGCAGTTGATAGGTAAAACCATTACAGGATGTTCCTCTCTACTCATCGCTGCAAACTCAGGGTACCTGCCCAGAAAGTGCAGCAGAGACCAGGGTAAGCGCACAGCTCTGATGACCCAATTTGCCATCAGGTATGTTGAAGCAAAGTTTTACGGCTGGATGCTCTTCTTAACACCAACCCACAGGGTGGGAATAGCTGGCAAGGCAGGGTCGCAACTCCGAGGTAATCAAAGACTACCCGCCTACCTCATTTTAATATGTAATATTACTGCATGTCCTTCTGAAGCCTCGAAATTAAATTCTACTGTATAGTATATTAGATTTTATATTGGAGATGGATTACTTACACATTATCAAAAAATAAACAGATACTGTAATTACTTTTCTGTATTCCAGTTCATCATGAGTAAAGGTCAAACACATAAAATCATATTGCTGAAAAATTTTCAGAACCAGGAGTCCTTCTTCAATGGTTAAATAATTATCAAAATTTTAACTACTTGGTAACTATTTATTTCTTTATTTCAATTATGTATAAGCATTCTAAACATTAATTTCTTTTCAATAATCTAAAAAAGAATTGGAATTAGAATTACAACTACGCATGTTTCATATACATTCCGAGAGATTTTCTATTTACACGTTCCAGAAATCACAGTCCACTGATAAGGCTTCTGTCCATTTAATATTATGTACCAGGTATAAAGAAAATTCTTGTTATCTTCACTATTTCATAAATATATAATGTTCCACCAGTTGCTGGTCATTTCTTCATGCATTCATTAAGCTCTATATTATGAAGGGATAAAGTGCTTGGATAGCCTCATGCATACCGAATTTGAATTTGCTCAAATCAAATCTCACCTCCAGGTTTTCAAAAACAACGAAAATCTAACGTCTTGCGAGCAATCAAATGGAGTTAAAAATCTTAAATACGTGAACGATTTTCTGCTGTACACCTGACTTTACTGTACATACTAAGCACAATTGCAGGGATAATTTACATCACTGGATACTATTACCATAAAAGGTTCTTGCACAAATAGAGGATTCACTGGTCACGCACTTGAGCTCAACCTGGCTCACATTAGCTATACTAACACCATAATACTGTAGCCTTCACTTGATTATTTTTTTTTTCACTTAGAAATCTTGCATGTTTCATTTTTTTTTTTTATAATTATACATCCATGATTAGTGATACAGCATGCCCTGACAATTCGCGGATCTTTAATTCACGGTCCTCAATTACCCTGGATGTACCCAAAAATGTCTGCGGGTAGTTTTAAAGTTTCCGGCATTTTCGCATCCGGGACAGAGAGCCATTCGTTCTTTCACCTGTATTGTATACTGTATGTATGAGTGTGTGTGTGTGTGTGTGTGTGTGTGTGTGTGTGTGTGTGTGTGTGTCGACACACACACACACACACATATATACAATACATGTAAAAGAAATAATTGTCCTAAAGGCAAACACAAAGGAAATACCCATGTATACATTTCTTTGTACAAGAGTAAAAATGCACCTCCCCTCCCCCCACCCCTGGTCAGCAAATAATATTCACGGATGTGGCTATTCGCGGTCATTTTGAGACACCATATCCCTGCGAACTTTAAGGGCATGCTGTACTTTAACTTCTATCATTTGGGTTCATAGATAAAATTCATATTTTAAAAATAATGAAAATTATTATGCAAAATATCAGGGCAAACTTGTAAGTTATGAAACAACCATTCAGAAAATACAGAGGTCTTCAAGTTTATTTTTTAAACTCTTCTGATCATGATTGGCTTATCATAGTTTTCTGTGAAGTTGGGTGCAGCTGTACCACCTCATGAATTAAGAAAGCAATGAAGAATTAATGAAGATGATTTACCATGAACCAACATGGTACGTAATTTCATTTCAACATATTAATTAAGTCACACTTAACCTTATCCACTTTAAGCATCACTCTTTTCATTACATCATAAATACAGACATTTACTGTTTATATTTCTATGAAAACATTCATTTCATAATACAGTATTATTAGTTGGTGCATAATCTGTATTTAACATATTACTTTTAAAAATTTTGGCCTCGTGGGTATTTGGGAAGAAAAAAGCAAAAAATTGAACAGAAAGAAAAAAAATCATTGTACAGGGCAGGTCAGCTTCAACTTTTTGAGCTACATCTCTAAATAATTTTCACGAACTTTCACATCAACTGAGCTATCACTGGTGTCTTTATACCTAGCACATATGATCTGCATACAAGCTCAGATTTTAAACTTCTGACAATAGCTAGCACCTACTAAGTGTCCCAAAATATACATTACCCACCAAAAAACATTGCATCCCAAAGAACAGTGTCCCCTGAAGAACAATATGCCCCTGTACTATAGAGTAAGCTTTGAATTGAGTATGGGCTGTGTATAATGTGTGAGTGCAGATTGTTTGCAAACTCTAAGAGTAGGTCTGGGTTTCCTCCCATCCCACTGCTGGTACTAAACTAAAATAGTGTTGACTTCTTTGGTACAGTCTCTAAATTTGTATTAAGAGATGAATTCTTGTATCAATTTTTATGTTGTTTCTCAAATCACCAACACTAAAACAGACACTGTAACAAAAAAATAATCACAAAAAACATGTCCCCTAAAGAACTATGTCCCCTGAAGAACAGTAGCCCCTTAAGAACAGTGTATCCCCTGAAGAACAGTATCCCTAGAAGAACTATGTCCTCTGAAGAACCATGTCTCCCTGAAGAAACATGTAAAAGAACCTCAAAGGGCATTACTCAGTCAAATATTCTTATCTGGAGCTAGCAAATGGCTGCCCCATTAAAGGTTACAGCCTCAAGCTTAAGTACAAAAACTGTCAGAACTAATGTTTGTGGAGTAATAGTAGTGAACTTTTGGAATATCCTGCCAAAGAAGATTGTAACGGCACCGCACTTGACCAACACTGTCGCATAAAGAGTGTAGGGGTCAGTTTACTCTATAATTGTCACATAAACAAAGTAGGGGTCAGTGTAGGATCACTAATGAAAAATCAGTCAGTTGGAAAAGAGTACACATTATATACCCGGTAATTGTATAAAACTGATCACTATTTCATATCAAACTGTCTAATTCAGTCATTGTACTCCTACAAAGCCACTTTTTCCATTAGTTGCTAGTTGTGATACAATATTCTTAATAATATTTACATACTGTAGTATAGTTTCACATCTGACAGATGAAAAGGAGTTTCACTGAAATAAAGTCTTATGCAGTGTAAAAATATCTCGCTAAAATCTTTTTCACAGTGTACCTGTAAGTATCAATGTATTAGTATGAGTTATATTTACGAAATATATACATCATCTACCAACATAGAATATAAAATATTCAGGTACAATGCTGAAAGAAGCTCAGCATAAAGCTACCAGTATTTAAATGATGACTAAACAAGCCAGTATTTTATGACAAAGATTTTGAGCACAGCAGGAAGGTATCCCCCGATTCTCCAATTTACAATAATCTGCATTAATGTTAGTCAGGTTTTAACACCCTCTTAAGAGTTATGTTCGGCAAATTCCAAGTTAACGATAGCTATCGGGAGGCTAAATTCGTTGACGCAGAATGTAAACACTGGGGCAACACATCCCTCCCTTTACTGGTCAAATCCAAGATGGCTGCTATGTGCAGGAACTGATTTTCCACCCTATACGCAGTTCACCGAAATGCACGCTGCTTTCGGCCACCCTTTGTTCCAATGTGATCGCACTTGCCCTCGTAAGTGTAACCAACTTTATCGTTATTTATTGTTGCATAACCTTGTGATCGCTGTGATATTTGCTGTTAATGGTGAGAGGAAAACAATATCATTCAGATTTTGCTCTGCTTTGGTGACTGTGAAGTAATTAATATCTTTGATAATGGCGAGCAAGTATCCTACGGAGTCTCCCACTTCTGGTAAAGTCAAGGTTTTGAGTAGACCATGTCTCTGGAGACAATGTTAGACATTGTTAAGTGGCAGGCTTGTTATTATTAATGTGGTGAGTGTTGTTTATGTTTTTTTTTGTTTTTTTAATTAGTGTAGGATAGCTTTTTCTGCGATACATGTCTGTGTCAGACAAGCCAGGAACGTATCCCATTTAAACCCACATTAAAAGTCTCCTGATTTACGTTAATTCAATTTACGTTAGGGTTTCCAGGAAAGCAACCCTATCGTAAATTGGGGGATACCTGTATAAACATGACATTGGCTCTGACCAACACTGTTATCGGCAGGTCATGAAAGGGTTAAAATTATCCGAAAAACAACAAAATATAGTACAAATTAATACAAAAATATAATGCATTATCATATAAGCCTATTGTAACAGAAATAAATATTTACACTATTATATCTGTAAGTAGTTATTAGGGATGGAATAAACATTAAACTTGATCTGATACACTCAGCTCACCACAGAAATGTCATTTATCCTTTTCTTCTTCTTCTGTGACATAAACATGAGCTCCTCATGTGCCTGTTGTAAAAGAGCCATCAATTCTTCTTTGTATGTTGGATGTGATGTCCCATGGCTTACTCGTAATACGGGCTCCGCTTGCTTCAGATACTGCAATGCTTCCTGTGTTCGATACACGTGAAGGCAAATCTTGCCTAGTTTCAGCAGCATTAAGCCAATGTTTGGATGATCTTCTCCATAGCAAAATCTGGAATTCAATTTCAAAATTAAACAAACCCTTTGAAGGCATTGCAAGAAGCAACAAAAGATTTGGAACAAATGAGAATAAAACTGAACTGTACAGTCAGACCATAAATTACTTTTACCCCTCGGTGCAATGGGTTTCAAATTGAACAATACCTCTCATGTTGTCTCGACAAGGTTGGTAAGTGTGGTTGCTATGTCATTTCCCTTATCCTTATTTTTCAAAATACTTTAATCATATTTCAGGGCATATCATGAGGTCAACTCCAGCTCAGACGAATTCCACTTTTAAAGTGAACAAAAAATGGAGAAAAAATATTCAAATAGTCATTGTACAGTATTGTAAAATTATTAGAATTGAAGTTTGTCTTTTGTAATAAATTTTGTTTTGCAAGCCAACAATAATAGTTAATGACAAACTCATGCCATACCTGGCTACTTATTATGAAGGCAGTTATGGTCTCAGCAACTGTGAAATCACTAGGCAGGTAGTTGTGTCTAAGCCTATGGTAGCCATGTGAATTAGGCATTATAAAGATGGTAGCGCCAATGTGATTGAGGGTGGAAGCCCTTACACAAAATATCAGTTAAATATAACTGATGTTTGAATATTGTCATCCTATCCAAGAAATAAGTGAAAATCTATCAAAAGAAAAATGGAAATAATATTCTTTGTTGCTTTTATTTTTCATTTTTAAATGAACCATAAATGAACAATGTTGTCATCAGGTCTCAAAAATTTAATTTTGACTATTTTCATTCCATTTCATCTCACTATAATCACACCAATATATATCATAAATTGGGGCTATTGGGCCCATTTCTTTATATGATTGTAAATTACCCCCAAAAGATGATGCATATTTCTGAGTTTTATAACACCATTAGGTAGGATCGTACTGGGACAGGGCATTATATAAAAGAAATTAAAATATCTTTCACAGGATAACTTAATTAGTAATACATGGTTGACAGCACCAACCAAACCCATTTAACCTAAACTAACTTCCCAACCAGGGGCTCCGACCCCCAGACCCCCAGCATATTAAATACCTTGGTTCTACGTCATTTGCAAAGGAAACATCACAGAAGAAAAGTGTTTGAAGATTGTCTAAGCTATTATTTACAAAAAAAAAAAAATTATGAGATTTGGTTGGTGGCAACAAATACAATGCAATAGTATACTATACTGTAATAGCTTTTCTAGTAGTTTTCTGATTTTCAACTCCCGATATCTTGTTTACAAGTAAAATGCGCCAAAAGTTCCATGGATGAAAATCATCTTGTTTTTGTCAGAACTTATCATTAGTAAAAAATAAATAAAATAAAAATAAAATAAAATAAAATAAATATCGAATTACCATACACACTGTACAGTACTATAAATTGACCCTTATTTGTATCCAAATTTGGGGAGATCATTTTGAAAAAACTTCGGTATATTACGTAGTCAGAATTTCATGTTTATGAGTTTACCATAGTGTTCTGTGACCCAAATACACCTGGAAATGACACCCAGTTTCTTAAAATATGTAAACAAATATACAGCTAGACCCCGACTTACGACTGCTTCAACTTACGACCGTCCGGACTTACGACCGCCGCAGTTGTGACCATTTTTTTTTTTCAATTAATTTTTTTCCAAATGACACATGCATTTTCTATACCGAAAAGTTTCCAGTTAATGTAGTCTCCATGTATAATTAGAAAATTATGGGGGCCCCATGTGCATTCAGCTGACTACATTAAAGGTAAGTGCTCAGTCACACTGTATCCATTCCTCATTATTTATTACTTTCACTGTACTGTATCCATTCCTCATTATTTATTACTTTTACTGTACTGTATTTCATTGTAGATTTTTTTTTTTAATCCATGTCGAACTTACGACCATTCGGACTTACGACCTGGATTTGGGTCCCTAACCCCATCGTAAGTCGGGGTCTAGCTGTATACTGTACAGAGAAACTGTGGGGAGACATGTCTCCTATGTTCTTCACCAATAAAAGCCCATATACAGTACAGTGGTCCCTCGGTTAACGAACGCCTCGGTTAACGAATTACCTTCCATAAGAATCTTCAATTCAGTTAATGAAATTCTTATGAAAACATGTCAACATGTTTTGGCTTGCTCACCAGCTGGAAGATTAGTCTGCCAATACAGTAATCGGTTCTAGGGCTTATATTCGTTTCCATTGGAGTAAATATTAAGAAGGTTGTGTTATTCAATATTTTTCCAAGTTTTATATTAAAATTATTAGTCGTTTTAACACTTATTTAATATAATTGCAGTACAGGGAACTCGTTTTTGGTGCGCCCATCAGCCACTTCATTCACCCACCAAGGCGTCAGTTTGTGTCTCTGTTCAGTGGAGGAAACATCTTGCTTGTGGGTCTCTTGAACACAGAGTATTTTTACGTTTTTACAGTACAATTATTGGTCATTCTGAAATTTATTTAACATATTGACAATATATAGTGCAGTGCAGTGTTGATTTACAGAAAATAATCTTGAATTACATCTAGTGAACTTAAAATTTTATTGGTGAAATGACGGCATCAAGCATGGGGTGATTTCTCTTCCACCCCCACTTCCTTCTCTTCTCCCTTCTCCTCCTCCACCTCCCACTTCAAATTCACATCAGCATCATCAACCAGGAGCCTTCTACATACACACCTCAAAGTAAGTGTACTTTACTGCACCTTCTTTTTTACTTTATATGTAATTTTCGGTGAGCTGAAACCAATTCCCCAAAATTCCATTGAAACAATGGTTTCGGTTAACGAACGACCCTCTGGAACGAATTGAGTTCGTTAACCGAGGGACCACTGTACTGTATTCAAAGCATCAAAATAAATTATTTCAAGTATTTTACAAAGAACATTTTCTGCAACTTACTTCACTCCTTCAATATTCTGCATGCCATATTTTATTGCAGTGTCCCAGTTCTCCACACAAATAGCAGCTTCAAAAGCAGCATCTAGAAACTTGACACGTAGTAAATTCAGTTTGTAAAAGAGATCTCCTTGCATCTCTAGTCCTCTCTGAGATAGGTCAAGATCTTTTAAAGAGTTAAGGAATAACAAGTTATGCATTAATTACCTAAGCTTTTCATAAAGAGACACTGGATATTATGACATTGAAAAGAGTGATCACATTTTAATTCAAAGAAGTAGCTGATATAATTGTGCGTCTTCAAGAGAGTTGCTACATGAGCACACACACACACACAAAAAACATCTCACTGGTCAGATTGGGTAACAATAATTTTATGACTTCTATTCCATAATGGTTGCATTTGCTCACTATACCTCAACAGAGTAGCTTCAGTACACCTTGAGTTGAATTTTTTTTTACTGATTATTCATGATTACACCAATTAATTGTAATTGTACAAGTATGGTATTACACAGCACTGTAACTCCTAGGTACAGTGCTGTCTATGATATAGCAATATTCTTCCACTGATTATCAATTTCTCTGTTTGCATTCATAGGGCAGTCAACTGGATGGAATGCTTATTTCAGTATATCCCATGTAATATTTCAAAATTTAACATATGTATACAGACAATACAGTATTTGCACTCTTCAATAATATTTCTTATTTCTAACTTATATTAATTTATTCTAGGATTTCTGCATCAACTAGTTCCATACTTCAACAAAAGGATACAATAACTGTCTTTCATTACTTCCATTTGTTCTCTACAATACTTGGCAATGCTGCAGTATTTTTTTCTTGTGTCAGAGCTCAGTTCGTTGAAGCCACACACAGTACATGGTCCCACAGGTGCATCCATGTCATCGTCTTCATCAATATGCACTGGGGCAGTGCATTTTGGATTACCTGAAAAGATGGTGAGACTGAAAGTGGGTCCAATAGGTTACAGGCAGTGCAGATACAGCTCACTAGATACTAAACTTTCAATAAACAAGTAAGGAGTGTGGCTGACACTACACACAAGTATATAACCACCTTCACTCCCACAACTATACAGTCAGGTGAACCGAGTGAACTGCGGTGCCCTCGGCTCAAACCAGAGACCCTAAGGACAGGAAGCGAGCACTGTATCCACTCACTACTGCATAACAAAGATAGGGTTTAGTCAAGAAATACTTTAAACATATTAACCAGGGTTACTATGGAAGTATACTGTAGTAGTGTACATGGATTATCACAATGCTTTCCCTGGTATCTGTCTATACACTCTATCATTACTCCTCTCCCATCTTTTGGTCAGGCTGACTAAGGGTAATGGTGGACAAATTTCAAGAAACAGTTACTCAAGTAAAAGTGTAAGTACTCTTGTCTACAAGTTGCTTCATCAACAAGTGAAAAAAAAAGTCTGATGTTGTTTTTAATTATGAAACTTTTTCTTGGAATAAGAGCCCCTGACTCAGTATCAGTGGCAAGGAGGATCAATAAAAGGTCTTAGCAGTTAATAAGAAAGGTTATAAAGTGCCTCCCTCCTTCCTCTTTATAAAGAAACAAACAAGTATCCATCACGCTATAAATCTTCCATTTACTCATAAGGATGTCAACACTAACCACAGTTGATGGAAGACATGAGCTTGTCTCGTTCAGGGTTATGGCAAGCACGGCAATCACACCAGAAGTAGTAGCGTCTGTGTAGCTCATTTCTACGGTCCATGGTGGTATTCATCACATCAATATAACTTATTCTAAGCTGGAAAGTGGAATACAAGGATTATGAATAACACACACTGATCACTTATTCTAATGATACAATTGACCTTTGCTATTTGTATATAGGTATGTGCAGCCCAACAGTGCCAGGTGGGCAGATGTAACTCAAACTCAGAAAGAGAGAGAGAGAGAGACACTAGCAGCTACATCTGGTTAAAGTAAAGGTTTTCATAAATGCTTCATGTACTTAAAGCAAGCACTGACTCTACAGATTTCCTTCTTTCTATAAAATATATGCATTTCTGAAAAGCTTAATGCATCTCAAAATTGTATACAGTATAAAGAAACTTATTATACAACTGGATATAAATTCCTGCAAGGAAAATTATAGCCCCAAGATATGATAAAACTACACTAAAAAATTCATCAAACATTCTCTTTATTATTTTTCATACAGATGTAATAGTATAATAGAGGATGTCCAAAATAATGAGCAACACAAACTCTCCCTTTTTTCACTACCACTCATCTTGTTTTATTACTGGAACAGATCTTTTTTATATGGTATTTCCATTCCCCATCACAAACTCAGTTATGTCAGTTATGTCAAAAAATATATTGGCAATAGGAGTTTGTAGAAAGTTTGTAGTATTAATGTGGAAGAGTGGATAAAGGAGTAGGCTGAGAGATGACATTTACTGAGGTGTTATGGCCTAGAAAATATATCAGTCACTTAAGTCCCAGGAATAACATGAGACCTTGCACAATGTAAGATGTAACTAAAAAGTTATGTTAAATTTCATCTCACTGGCAATATCAATAAAGGAAACACAGTACAGTAATATAACATTTAAGTCCCATATCAAATACACTAACCTTGGACCAATCTAGACTTGGCATATCTACCAATGCACGGCACATGAGGCGTTTACCATCAAATGTCACATATGAATTGGGTTGACAAGAATGATCAAACACTGAGGCTGCCAGATAGACCCCAGTGCCAGCTGTGTTCATGTCTTGGTCAGTAATACTGAAACTATTAACACATATCTGGAAACAGAAATGGCAATTAAAATTAGCCAATAAATAAGACATACAGTAGCATAATTCTGTAAGCATATACAACTAAAGTAAATTGCTTCTAGATGGCAATGTTTTCTACATGCTTCAAGGTAAAAGTTGTAAGAACCACAACAAGAGAAAAAGAAAAAATGTACACAAATAACTATACAGTGAAGATGTTTGTCAGCACACAGTGGAAGGGCAGTGAAATCAGTTTAACAGGGACCATAGGACATGATGCCTCTTTAAGCCATTAAATCAAGTTATGAAAGTTGTGAAAAGAGTGACCAAGAAACTGATGAGGGAGAAAGTGGACATGAAAGAAGCTTACTTTATCCAGACAAAAATCGGCAACTTCCTGGACACAAAATAAATAAAAATACCGACTCCAAGAGCGGGAGAATTGAACTGATCCTTTATCCAATATCATTCTGGTAATGTGATTAAACCCAGTTGAATATAATAACAATCCGGTTGCCAAACGGCTTTTATTAATGTCTGATCATGTTATTTCATGAAAATTTACAGTATTTCCCTAATAAGTTGGCAAATTATTGGTCAGGTTCACGCCAAAATGACCTAACCACTTCATACCGCCTTGCAGTACAGTATAAGGAAGTGGGTGACCATGTCATCTAAGTTCTACATTGTTGCACACATTAGTAAGGTATGGGTCATAGATAAACATAAACATCACATTTCAGATCCACGGCAAGATAATAACAGAACAAATATCTTATGGAAGATAATATCATTATTCCAACAAAGAAATTTTCTATCTGAAATAAAAGTATGAGAGAAAATACAAGATACTAACCCGGCCAAATATGCCCTGCAGATCAACTTCATTAGGAAGATTGTTTGATCCAATGTACTTACGCAGGACCACTATGAGTGAAGTCAAGTGCTCCTGCCGATTTTTGTCGTCCTTTAAATCTGTGTAGTCTAAAAGATAGAAGAAAATGAGAGAAAATCAATGAGGTTCTCTTCATTTATCAGTCAAAAAAATAAAATACAGTGTTAAGACAGAATTACCATGAAAAGAGCCATGTGCTCTCACAATCATTTTGTCTCTATCTTCATGTAGTAAAAGAAAAAACAGTGCTTGCCATACAGTAGTGCCATTCAAACAAGTGTTTATGCAGTAGACCCTCATTATTTCCCAGTTTGATACTTTGCTTTTGCTATTTCACTGCACCTTAAATTACTCTCATTTACCTTTATTGCATACCGATAATCAAACTCTTTTATTTCATGATGTAGTACTCATAAAGCCAGAAAATTTAAATACAATTTAAAATGGGCCCCAAAATTCATCAGCCGAGGATAAGTGATCAGCTTACAACAAGATAGTGAAAGTTTCCCCTATATCTCACTGGATGGCAGTACAGGCTTCTAATGTGTGACTCACCCGGCACCTAACAACTAGATATGATGAGCCATGACCAGAAACAAAGGATGATCCTCTCCTTCTCCATGTCCATTTCTCCAGGTTAATTAAAATAGTGTTTTTAGATTAAAACTGAATGCACAAGCTCATCTCCACTTAGTTACAAAGAATGGAATATTTAGTTTTACCTAGTGTTTATTGGTAAATGCCTCCTCATGAAAATATACAATAATAACAACAGTAACCACAGCCATCACCCAATAACAAAGTGGAATACTGTACTTACGGTTCATCAAGTCCTTGAATTTTCTTGATTTCCGTTCTGATAATTTTTCCTCTATCTGGTCACCTCCATTCTACAAGAGAATCAAAGATATCTAATAATCTTTTTATAAATTACATTTTTATTAAATGACATTTAAGAAACATAAGGAATTAAGAAGAGAGTAAATGATACAGTATAAAAAACTGAGATGGTATGAAATCACAGAGAATATGATAGGAAGTAAAAAGACTAAAAGTTTATGCAGGTACTGTACAGTATTTATGCACAAGACTATACAGTTGTACTGTAGTACAAGAGACCATTTACAACACTGATGGATGCCACGTCAACATATAAAGCATTCCCATATTATTTACGAGTTCATGTAATGTGATATCCAAAAATATGGTTTAGTATGGTCAAGTAACCATCCCTGTATTGTATATGGTTAACATGAGTTCACACAATACAATTTTGGTTTTATAGTACCTGTATTATAAAAATATTTTTAATGTAATTTTGTTAACACTTACAGGGAGAGACTTAGGCTAATCTTGCCTTTGCTTTTTATGGGTACTGTAAACAATAACAGGTGATAAAACACAACCAGAATAAATTATGCTTCGACTTTGGCAGCAGAGCTACACAATTTATAGTCATTCATAATTTTACTTTACTTCACTGAGGTGGAGCCAATATTAACATGATACTGTATTTGAAGTTTTTATTTATTCTTATTCCATTAGACTTGACATGTATTGCTACAAGAATTATTTGTTACCTTACCTTAAGCTTGAAGATGACTTTTGCCATTAGCTTGGCAGTGTCCGGGGGAATCAGGGGATGTATGCGTTGAAGATTTTTACATTCATATCGGTGGATATCCCAGGCCCCACGCTGACAGTCTCTGTCACAATAACATTCTGCCTTGCAGCCCGAGCAGCGTTGCAGGGTACATATTCTCTTCCTGTCCCAGACATGATACAAATTATGAAGACTTAACAAACACTGCAGATGGTAAATGTTAGAATGTGGCTGACTACATTATAAAGTATAGTTACAGTGTATAAGGGTAAGAATACAGTAGAATGTAACTAACTACATTATAGTCACAGTGTACAAGGGTGAGAGGACTGTGGAAGGTGGCTAACTACATTATACAATTATTGTGTAAAAGGGTTAGAGGGCTGTGGAATGACGGAATTTCTAGTGACAAAAATATCTCATCTGATTGAGTACATTGAGATGTGCGGTAGCAAATATACAGTAGATTTAAAAAAGGACGGTGCTGTACTAATAAGGAGCAGATCATTTATTACTCTTCCCATTTAGGCAGAGAGAGTTCTCATTAAGCAAGAAATTACAGTATTAGTATTGTAAACTGAACTTTAAAATAAAAACAGTTTCTTGCTGGTATGCTAAACTACACAGCAGAAAAGAACTCATGCACGCACACACACAGAATTACACCTTTCTGAGGTATACAGCTACTACTAATGCAAATACTGTACTGTACTGTATTACAATACACTGTCAACACACTGAGCAAACAAAATTATTTATAGGTGCATATTTCAGTTTCAATGTGTTGTTTTCCTTTTCCTTCTTCACCTGTTGTACTTCCATTAAAAACCTCTTTCATCCCTAATATCATTGTGTATAAACCCTTTCCAAAAAGAGACAAAATATATACAGGTATATATAACAGCTTGACCCTGCCATGAGTGTGTATGTTGTGAATAATGTGTCAGATCTAAGAAACAAACAACTGAAGCACGATATCACATTTTATGAACCGAGTACTTTACTGTCGTATGAATGACCAGTGAGAGCCTTACTGTTAAATACCCCTGGCAGTGCCCACCTCTTGTCATAACACCTAATTGAGTTTTAACCCTTTGTGTAAGGGATTCATTTGTTCTGAGCACCTATAGTTAAAACCCCAAGGACGTACAGTATTTTCTTTATTTAACGAACTACAGTAATTCGAGCCACCCCTTTCCATTAAATTTTAATTTCCGCTAAATCAAATTTCCGTTATTTTCGCTCGATTTAGCAAACTAATTCAATAAATCGGGCATGAGTCTGTTAAATTCCACGCCAAATACGCCGCTTGGCATGTGGGGTTTGTTTACATGTGCTGAGTCTGTGTTGCCGCCACCGTGTGTATTGTTCACTGCTACCTCTCAGTCTGCATCTCATTCAACTAACTACTGTGCATAGACATCATCCCAAAAGTCTCTCAGAAGTCTCAGAAAGGAAGTGGTGTGGGGAAGAAAGTCAAAAGAGTGTGGCTATCAATTAGAAAAAAGTTTGGAAATCATAGAAAAAAATTAAAACAAACACCGAACCCTACAGTTTAAGGTAAGCCAGGAATAATATTTCAAATATTTCTACATACCGGCACATATCATGTGTCTGAGGTGTTTCTGTAGTTGTGAGTGTATTAATGGAATTAATCCTGAATTAGCGAACTAGTTCACTAAATCAAGTGAAAACGGAAAAAATTCCTTCTGCTAAATCGAGAGTTCGTTATAGTCTCAGATTCCGTTAAATCGAGAGTATACTGTATTCAATTTTTTATAAAAAGAACAAGGAACCGATAACATGTATAATTACCTCCATTTATTATGGGTACAGTGTCTGGCGTGTTTTGTGAGATGTGGCACCACTGTTTGTTTACATAGTCGTAAAACTAGCAGAATGAGCAGAACTACCCTCGTTTTAGTAACCAGACCAAGGATGCTAAATAAGCAGTCCCTCCTCTATCTGTGTACAGTATATGTGCATTTACTACATGGTTAGAGTTTTAATTTAAATTACCAAGTAGAACGTCATTAGCTCCTATCTGTTGTCTGGTGAGCAGTGGTGCCACATCTCGCTAAACGCGCCAGCCACTGTATCCGTTATAAATGGAGACAACTTTAACTTCTACAGCCGGGCAAGGAGTACAGATTCACTATTCTAGCTGGCACTATCTTACCAGCCACTCATTAATGATCAATAGGAAGTACTGTAAAACTAAAAGGAAGAGAGCAAACCCAAGTAATTCACAAGCGTATACTTCAGATTAAAGGTTTCAACACCTTACTGAATATAAACTATAATCTAAGTTTCCACCACAATGAAGAAGCTTGTTTAAGAAAGGAAACCTCCTGTATTGTATTTGGGCAACAATCACAAAGTATACGGTACAACTCTTTGCTTGTGTCATTTTCCATAAGTTTCATCCGAAAAATTTATACATTCTTCATTTGAAAAAGGTACTATGGGTACTTATAAGCCCTTCCCAAATAAACACAAATATGGCACTGCCTGTAATGAACTAACAGTAATGAAGCAGGACAACATCCATGGCACTCTGTCCTCACCTAAATCATATCTAAACTAAGATCCTCTCTACTGATCATCTTGGCCCCTCATGTTATACAATGAGATAAAATAAGCAAATTTTTCTACCTAAAGATGCAAGATAAACAAATGTATCTCTTCTCTACATACCAGCTATAAGGGAGAGGGAAGTTGTGGAGGTAGAGCCCCTGAACCATAACTCCTATGTATTAGGATCACTACAACTAATAGTAAGTATCTGTACAGTATGCCTAAATATCAGCCTGTTGAGTTGATACTACCTATACTACCCACAGTCTAAATCTTTAAGTTATCCTCACAAATGAACATAAAGCCTCTTTTAAAACATACTTTTTTAGGCAGTAATCACAATAAAGCCCTTTGAGAGATCCATTCACAAGATATACAAAAGGCTTTGAAGTTAGTAGAACATTCCCTTTGGCCACCTTTTGCTGTTCCAACACCTGCAAAATTAAACAGAATTACCTGTAAATATCAGTACAGTATAGTTTATTTAGTCTTTAAATTAATTTTTAACTTAAGATATTATTTCAAGCCAAAGGTGTTCGTTAACTCATAATGTCAATTTTCAATAAAGGTAAAAAATAAACAGAATTTAGGAAACATAAAGCACAATGAAACCCTATCCTGAAGTGAAAAAAGTTAGTCAGACATCCTACATAAAGCTACACAACTCAGCCTTGCTCAGGTATGTGTTAACTGTTAAGAAGCACCAATTAAAATTAAAACTCTATCATATCCAAACAACACAAAGGTCCACATAAGCCTACGTTTATGTCAGCTATTGTGTGATTATTACAGCATTTCTAAAAGAAAGCGACAATTAGATATATTAACAGTAAGTAATTTGCCTTCTTCATTACAAACATTTGCCTTTGCCTAACAGTACATATTGTATTATGTACTCAATTATTAAACAGGAAAAAAAAAGAGATTTGGGCAAAAATAGGATTGCATGGCCAAATGTCAACTTGACCTGTACATAAGAAGAATAGAGAGACAGGGGGTAAATCATTGCATCTAAGTTGAGTAGAACGGTCCATTTAAATGAGTTGACTGGTAAGGATAGTTAATTTCATTTGACTGAGCATTTATTCTGTCCAAACTTAGATGGACCTAACTGACCTGACCCCCCAACATACATGGATCTAACTGACCTGACCCCCCAACATACATGGATCTAACTGACCTGACCCACCAACATTCAAGGACCTAACTGACCTGACCCACCATCACACATGGATCTAACTGACCTGACCCACCAACATACAAGGACCTATATGACCTGACCCACCAACATTCATGGACCTAACTGACCTGACCAAGCCAAACCTAACATGGACACACAAACAGATGTGCAGATGAACAAATAGAAAAGGTAAACACTTATTGCCTTCAGCAGATGGTTGCAGGGACATAAAAATCTGATTTGATTTGATTTGATTTTTTTTAATATTGAAGATGCATAAGCGATGTGAAATAACATGTGGTGATTAAACTACTGTACTATATAACAGAAAGAATTAACCCTTAACACTGGGAGTGGGTCGCACCATATTCCCCCCAGCTAGGTATACAAATATACAGTAGAGTAATCGATAAAAGATATAAGAAACACGCTGATCTTGTAAATCAACATATATATGGTAAACAGGCGTAAAAAAAAAAAACAATTAAACAAACCTTCACTGTAGTAGTAATCCCACTATGATTTCCACTGTCATATGACAGGTTGGGCAAAGGAGGAAGAGGCTGGTACCCCAAGTGGCAGACTGAGGATTTGTTGCTCCCCTCCCCCACACTTCTCTCTCTAATATGAAGAACACTTGTTGGGTAAACAGATCACTAGAGGCAGAACTTTGTGTCACCCTGACTCACACTATCAATGTCATTATCACCACTTTCCACTGCTTGTGCATGTGTTTTCCCATACATATACTGCAATTAGCATCTGAATCACTGTTTTTATTTCCTTAGAAGTTCTCATCCTTAAAATTATTATAGTATTACCATGCTTGCACAATAACACTTCCACTTTTTCCTCTATGGTCAGTGGGCACTTGCAATTGCCAAGGGCAGATGCACAACCAACCCCCCAGCTACCAGATGCGTGGTCAGATCTATATCCTTCTGCCATTTTGTTCAAGAGTGAGTGATGCTTGTGGAAATTTACACGAGTAAAATATTACAAATTATGTTTTTCAATTATGTATACATACAGAGACCATTCAAGCACTTACACTTGGATGGGTGAACAGAGGACATATGCAATACATACATGCTTCGGCTGTATGTTAGGACACGGGTGAAGTACCCTTTGGATTTAAAAGGTTAAATGTGAGAACAAAAAGGGGGAGATTACAGTAGAATTTCAAAGATCCAAAATGCTTGAGAGCCAAGCCTAACCTCACTCATACATCCCATGGGCCAGGGCATCATTCTGGCCTGCAAACACCACAATAGGCACCTCCTTTCAAATGATATTTTGGTGGTGGAATCAGTGCCAGAGGGGGAAAAGACACTCGGAAGCCAGGACATTGAAGAACATCAAGGACTACAACATTTGGGATGTAGTGTTCAACCTCAAGGCAGTGTGGGAAAAGATTAGGGAAACTACACTGAGGAATGGTGTGGAAGAAGTTCCTGAATGGTGGTGGCGGTGCTGCTGCAGAAGCTGTGTAGCAGATGGATGCAGATTTTAAGAGTTTCAAAGTGGAAGGAAACCAATGTCTTTTTCATGACAGTGGTGACACTGCTGTGACCGAAGAGGACGTGGATGAGTGTTTGTAAGTGGACATCAATAATCGTGGCTAAGATGCTCTCACCCCAGAGAAATAGCAGCTGGTGTCGTCAGGGCCTATGAAGAATGACAGGATGAGATGATGACAGAGACCAAGAACTGGAGGAAATTCCCACCACCAGTCTCAGAAAGGTGAGGGCACACCTAGACGACGACCTGAATTTTACAGCCACCACTGACATCCTCCGCTTCCTCCCCTTTTACCAGAACCTTCAGATGAGAACAGTTGCTGCTGATGAACTGCAGAAAAGGACCTAGATGAAACAGCGTAAGATTGGGGACTAGTTGCCCAAGGTCCCCGCTCCAGTCCTCAGGTGTTAAGAGATTTTTTTCGTAAGGCGGATTGCCTCGTACCAGTGGTGACAGTGTGTCTGGCTCCAGCCTACAGCCCTCAACTTCAGATATTTAACATCTACCACCTTAACATTACCACCACCACATGGTTCGTCATCATCCTGTCCATCATCATGACTCAGCACTTCATTGGTGATGGATATCTCTCATGTCACTCCTGAAGTGCCTCTCTCCTTCATGGAGGGAGAGGACAGTTAGACCAGCTGCCACAGTAGATGCTATAAGACAAAGCAGGCCATTCTGTATCATATCACCATTTGGTCCACCTGCATCACAAGCTCAAGACGACGGTATCTGTTGGTTTCTTTTGCACATCTACCATCACAGCTAATGTTACTTCCCAAATATATATACAGTACCCAAAATTTTCCACTACCATAACTTTTATTTAAGAATTTATTCCCAGTTTGGAAACAACAAGTTATATAACATTAGAGAAATACAATTTCTTACCAAATATTCCTCATGAATCAGAGAGGAATGTAACCATTGTTAACATTCTCCATCTGTAAGGGACATAAACCAAACTATGCTAAACTATTTAAAAAAATAATAATTAATAAATTAATAGATTGGTTTGGTACTGTAAATGTAGTTTACATTATCTTTCAAATTTGATTTAATGCCAGAGGCTTGACTGGTAGCTAAATGTCAAGGATAGTCAAACACCACTACTGTACTGTATTCCCATGCAGTCATTGGGAATAAAAGTTATTTCAAATCCTCACTTTCATTAGAAATGGATTTTTTTTTTATCATTTCACCACTTACTGTAAGAATTTATCTGAATTTACTTGCAAGTGGTAATTTAGGCTGTTTCCTCCACCTTTACCCTTACAGTGGGGTATGCTATAACGAATCTAATTGGTTCTAGAACCTTGTTCGTTATAGCATTCGTTCGTTATAGGATTAATCCGTTCCAGGCCCCCAAATACAACCACTTAACACTGAAAAATATAATATTAAATTGTAAAAATTGTAAAAAAAGTGCATAAATATGCATCTAAACCCTTGAGTAAAAAAAAAAAAAAATTATAATGTTCGTTGTACAAGTTTCGTTCGTTATAGCATTATCAATTTTATAGGTAAAACCGTTCTTTATAGGAATATTCGTAGTAGGATCCATTCGTTATAGCATACCCCACTGTATTTACTTTTCTTTTTATTTACAGTATTTATTTATTTAATTATTGCTATACAAGTATCTTCCTATATAAAAATCAAGACAGAGTTCTGTGTATGGTCACTAACGTATATTGACAAAAATCTCTGTAGAAGATTCCTTGGTAATATTTGGAGCAGATGGCTAACACCAGAAGGACTTGTTCGATTTTTTTTCCACAGATTTTTTTAGTTTTCTCTATGATCATAAATCACCTGTAGTGAATAAGGTATGAAGGAAGAGGGAAATTGCAGGGTTCAACACACTGAAAAGCAGATTATATCACATTAAAATGATATCTCTATGTGCTTTGTACGTGAAGAAATTTATCATTTACCGTAAATATTCTTCCGAAAAATCTGCAGTTCTAGGAGCGTTGTTATCTGCTCTTTGTTTTACATACAACAACTGACTAGCTCGGTTCAAGGGCACTGTCACATCCACAAAAAAGTAAAATTAAGTCATGACGCTTCAACAAAGTTGACTTAATTGGTACCAAATATAAAAATAAGTTCTTTCTGTTTAATATGGCGGGGGTCAGACTTCCCAGCTAGGATGTTAGATAAGGTTAGGTAGGTTTCTTTGGTTTGTGAGGTCAAGTTCTACTGTATTAGATTTTGTGGATTGCTGTATCGTTTTAATTTCTTAATATCACCCAAAGAACATGTGTACAAAATGAACGAAATCAAACAACGCGTTCTGGTGTTAGCCATCTGCTCCAAGATACAGATTCCTTCTTCAATTTGTTTATGTACTGAAGGTATACAGGCCACAGCCTACTTGCCACTACTATATCCATTAAATCAAGTCATTAAATAAGAACTCCTAATAAAGTAAACCATTACTGCGGTAATTGTGCGAGTCTAAAGGGCACAATTACCGAGCTAGAGGCTCAAAAACACATGTAAGTGTTATTTTGGGAAGTCATTTTGTTCTTGTTATTAATATGGTGGCTACTGAAGTATACCATTATCAATAAAATAAAAGGTAAATTTATAGTCGTGAGCCGGTCTTCGTAATGTTTACACAATTCTAAGACATTTTTCTTCTATGATATTTCCACAGGAAATTAAGAATAAACGAGATATTAATTTTTCAATATGATTACATTCGCTTAGTCACAAGACTATAAATTCACCAAAAAAAACACATTCAAAATATAACTGTACAAGACATCATAAAAAATTTGTCTGGATCTTGATAACTTGAAAAACAATTCTTGGATAAGGAATATGAGTACAGTACTGTATAACACTGTTTTACATGAACAGTAAGGCCTCTGTAAAGTAGGCTCAACAAGTCACCTCCTTGGCCAGGTACTTATATCTGGGCATCTTGCTTCTCTCACCAAGGTTCACTCACCACTGAAGCCATGTCACGTAGTCTTGTAGAGGCCAGTTGTCACAGTGCCAGAGGATGCCAGTCTTGTGTTCTACCTCAGTATATATAAACGGTGACGATCACCTCAATTCATCTCAAGGTCTGTGAATGTGTGGGTCTCACTGGTCACCATCTGTAGTTATGTACCTCCTCAGCTTACACTCAATAAAATTCCATTAAACTTTACTTTAATGCCTTAATTAAACCTCAATTATGTTCCAGTACAAGATTCGGTCCAGCCTAAAGCAAATGATAATCCCAGTTCAATGTTTACATTTTTGCGACAGGATTCATTTACACAAGGGCAGAGCTCGGGTCCGGGCTGTCCGAACCTTCTACAATCTACTCTAACGATCACGTCGACCAATATTTGGTAATTTGGGTTTCCTACAAGTAGTTAACGTTAGAATAATCACCATGTTTGTATGTACTGCTGGGTTTAAAGTGCATTGGAACGCTCGGTAAGGCAGCGGTGGTTCTCTTGTTTGTGACTCGCCTGTTGTTATGTTCCTCAGGTTAGAGTCTGTGCCAGGGTCTCAGATGTGCTGGATCCTCAAATTATTGTTTTATTATTAAAACTATCGTACATTTGCTTTATTTATTGGAAAGTTACCTTTTGATTGACGTTGTTAACACTTTTTGTGACACTGCAGCCCAGAAACTATCGTGGCTCAGTTTCACCATCAATTAATTTATCCTGATACAGTGGCAATATTCTCCATTGGTCATCAACTTCCGCATTAATGAGCTATCGGTAATGTTGGTAGGAAAAATAAGACACTCATTGAAAATTTTAGTACTTTAGGAGGCAGACTAAGACAGCCATAATGATACTGGTAATTTGGGTATGCAATAACCGTGCTCTTAGATTTTTACCTAAATTATTATCGTACAAATCGCACGACAAGAGAAAAAGGTATCTTGTCCAGGGTAAAATATCGTAAGCTTGGCAATACAGTAGTTTAAAGCCCAAAAGCTTATCGCTACTTAAGTAATAAAATTAAATGTCCTTTTTCGTCTGTCAGTACACTGCATCGTTGAATTTCCAAGCCCATATATGCAGCTTGCTTTTTGAGGTCAGTGCGTTTGAGGAAAACTTGAAATATACACAACTTGAACTACCGAAAGTCTGACTTGTAAGAATGGAGTAATATCAACATTACAACTGCCATGTTCAAAAGGTAAGCCTATATTTTTTTTCAGCTACAAGATAAAAATTGGAGTGTTATAACATAATATTACCTACTGTGTGTTAGAAAATAAGCTTACAAAAAACAAATTAGATTAACTTTTATATATTTCAAAGATGGAGCAAAATACTATACGCAGCTTCTTTTTTAATGGGTGTCAGTTTTACTTTATTCATTCAGTTTTTTTTAATGACCATTATCATCAGATAAGAACACTTTGTAGTTGAATGTTTGAGGGAGGTGTGGACCCGATAAATATGTAAGCTGCCGCTCGGGAAAGCAACAAATATTATTCAGCATTGTCTTGAAGATCCCTAGGTATTAAGAACTGTGAAAAGGTGTTTGGGTGGAGAAAAAGGGTTACTAGATTGGTGAGGTTGAAGACTTAGGGTTTTCACAAATAAAGGTGATATATAGGGTTTCTTCATTAGTGAGAGGGAGGCAGCAACAACTCGAAGCCGAAGGAAACAGTAGAGAGGAAGGCGCCACCACCCAGCAGGAGGAACACCGCCTGATGGAAGATAACAAGCCAGAAATATGTAGAAGAAATCACATCATAAATGGATAAATAGTTAACATTGAAGAATTTGAAGCTAAAAAACATATATAAATTCAATTTAGGCATCCGCTTCCCCGCCCACTCCAGCATAGGTCCACCCAAAAGGAATACAGACAGAGAGAGGGGAAGGAGAGAGGCACATAGAGAAAGACAGAGGTAAAAACAAGTAGACAGGCAGAATGAGATACAAACATAGGGAGGGCGATAGAGATACACATAGAGCGAAAGCAACAGACAGACAGACAAAGATATACACCAAGAGAGAGACAGACAGACAGAGAAATTAAGTCACCAATCAACTAGCAGTTCTACCTACCAATAGCCCAATTTACTTGTCAGTGGGTCTTTCTTCCTCACTCACAATTTGTGCGTTTGGTCTTGCTTATTGTCTCCTCTTGTTAAATTTTTCACATAGTCTTATCATCTGTTGTATCTCTAGAAGAACAACTATTCTAACGAGTCACAGAATTACCCCCGTGAGCTTGAACCATTCATCTAGGTAAAGGTTCGTCAGTCGGGACCCACTCCGTTGGATCAATTATTCAGTCAAGGTTAATCAGTATATCAAGCGAGTGTAACACCTGTGAATACTTAGCATCTAACCCTGATTCTTCTCTATACAAGTTAACCAGGCAGTAATGCTCACCTATCCAAATAATTCCTTTACCTTACCTCACAGTCTTTTATAAATCAACGAAAAATGTATTTATAGATTATTGATTCAATGTGTGATTCCTGTCAGCCAGTGTTCCTACCTAAGGATCGGTCACTCATGTCCCTCACTCACCCAGAGGTCAACTAAGGAGTAAGGTTCCTGGAGCTTGATCTTCTTGGGTGTCTTGAGACAATGGGTCATGTTAGGCATTTGGTTCGTCGCCCATCGGTCGTAGATCCCGAACTCTCGTAGTGCCAGGATCCTGCAATAACCGGGGTGCTATTTAGAGCCTGGGGCGTTACTTAGTGCCAACAATAATTTACTCAGTGGATGGCACTTATGGTAGTGAGGGTTTTGGAAGTAGCTCACCTTGCATTCAGTAGCTGGCGTAGGGGGCTGTTTCGCTGCACCACCATTGCGTAGATCAGACGCCAGAAGTTACCAGTCGACATGTAGAAGTCACACCGACCTGGGGGAGTACATGGCACTTTTATGATGAGTAAGTAGGTTTCTCTGTTTGTGTCTCTTATCTCTACTCTTCTTCTTTACCTTCAGTCCTCTGTAAACCCCTGCCTCAAACTCCATCCCTCCTAACCTCCTCCTCCTCCTTCTTGGTGCCCTCCTTACACTCTTCACCTTCCCCCACTGACCTGTGAGACTGAAGTGGTCGGAGTATATCTTCCTGCAGACGACGTTCTCTACAAGCATGGCGTGGCGGCCGTCCGGGATGAGACTGTAGGCGGCCCCGTAAGTCTCGCTGGCTCGGACGTACTTAGCCCGGGAACGACTCTCCCGCGCCAGCTCCCCGTACACGCCTCCCGTAACTGTCTGAATTGTGAAAGGAATTAAGGCGTGGGACGAGTTGTGAAGTTATCAGCGAATGATTGAATAATCCTAAGCCATATATTGTATTAAGTTCGGTAACGTTGTTTAAACTGAAACATTTATTTAACCAAATACTTAAAAACTCAGCTTGTGATGTATTGATTTATGTCCTTATCACTTTGCTTTACCCTCTTAGCCACTGATCGGCCTGTTAGCCACTTCAGCGGTCGGTTATGTGACTTATGTCTCTATTTTGCACTAATGGCAAGTACTGGGCATGTACTACCTCCAGAATGTATCTGAACCTGCGTCAGTATTGGTCAGATCTGGACTTAAATAAGCTCACACTTGGTGCAGTCTGGTAGGTGTTTCCAGGAGTTTACAATCCTTACTCGAAAAAATAACTGACAAGTGTCTGTACTTATAGCTTCTGCGACCTCTGGTGGCGTGGGCATCCGCTAGCTCCAGATATGGACACTTGACTGAGTAATGTCCTCTGAGGTGGTTATAAACTTCTATTAAATCATCCCATGTCCGTCTATACTATCAGCTGCAGATGTTCTAATCCCCCCTTGATACCTGAGGTGCTGGTGTGCACGCAATACCTAACCACCAAAGTTACAGGTGGCCTTGACGGTGTGATACCTGAAAAGTTCATCATGAAGGATATACTGTACGTGGAGGAAGTACCTAAAGGGCAGGGGAGGTACAGTACGTCTAGGTGGGCGAGACTATAGGTGGGCGGTGAAGGCGGGGGAGTACAGTACCTCTAAGTGGGCGGTGAGGGCGGTGGACCCCTCCATTAGAAGCGTGAGGCCAGGATCATCCAGAACGTCCCTCAGGGAGTCATACTTCATCGTTACCGTCTTTACCGCCAGCAGTGACGTCAGGGCCCCACTGAGGACCAGAATAAAGTTGGTGTTATTGTCAGGGTGTGTCGGGGACTTCCTGGGGACTAGGGGGGTCTGTTGTTAAAGTGTGTCAGGGTCTCGACAGGAGTGCGGTGGAAGTTGTGTGAGAGTCAGGATATGTTAGAGCCAAGCTGAGGAACACTGTGGGGGTTGTTTTAGTGTCAGAGTTTGTAAGCTCCTGAAGTCAACTGTAGAAGTACTACACCATGAGCATCATAACTACACACTTTCATTGTCACAACAGCACACATTCACTACCACAGTAACACACCATCATACTATCACCATCTTAGTACAACATCATTATCACAATCATCACCATCACAGCACCATCGTATCATATTATCACCATCACCATCATCATCATTACCTGTAGCTTCGGACGACGATCAGTACTATGAAGAGCCACATGCAGAAGATAAACCGGAGTGAGGCGGTGGTTGGTAGCCAAGTGACATCTGCCAATATAAAGCGTTGTCATGAGAATGAAGATGTGTCATAAGCGTAAGGGCTGTGTCACGAGAATAAATGTGTCATAAGTATAGGGATGTGTCATAAGTATAGGGAGGTGTCATAAGTATAGGGAGGTGTTATAAGTATATGGGATGTGTCACGAATATAAGTATAAACTGTTACAAATATAAGGAAGAATTTTGAAACTAAGAAACTTTATATTAGCAGAATATTAAGACTTGAAGAATCTTGAAACTCCTAGAATTTTCGAACCCTCACAATATTCAAACCCAGGCCACCACACCAACCACTGGCACCTTGCCATCCCGGGGCACCACGCCACGTAAACAAATATTGTTCTTCCATTATAGGACACGTGCTAACAAAAACAGGCTCCTCCTCCCTAGAAATGTGTTATTCATCCCACGGTGTCAGACTACTATTACACACTGAATGGCACAATATTGACAGGTGAATTTGAATACAACCAACCTGTCCCTTTTGTTTAAACTGTCTAAACAACCTTATTGACAATAAATGGTTGTGATATTGCCTAGTCTTAATAGTTGTCAGGCTTTTGCACTGAGGATGTTGTCATCGTTTAATGTAGTGATGGGAAGCTCCACCACAGACGGGTCATAGTAATACTTACTCTGCGTGAAGGAAATGCTGTAGAACGCCCACACATATCGCCACGTAGACTTGGGTCCTCCGAAGCCCAGAAGGTTGACGAAGATGACAGCAGTGAGCACCATCCCCAGCAGCGCCGCCAGAAGACCCACCCACACGTACCACCTGCCGCCCCAGTAACGCCATGTTATCTTACTTGTTTATTACTATTTCACTATATGACTGAGGCAAAAGTAGGATGACCGGACAGTGAAACAACTCTCACAAGGGCTGAGGAAAACAGACCATAGTGTACGACATACTAGCTTTACGGGGTAAGATATAAGTCACACAGTCCTGGGGGAGGAGAGGTAAGTCACACAAGCCTTTAAGGAGGACAAATTACAGTACTCACGTGAAGGGCGCAAGGAAGCCCCAGGGGTCTGGCTGCGGTAAGGGGCGGGTCACCAGGACGTGAAGCATCTCCAGGAACACAGGGATGGTAAAGTCTACCACCTGACTCCTGCTGTACGACATGCCGAAAGGTCCCAGTCCGAGATCCGCCTCCTGGCACACACACACACACACACCAAGCAGTTATATATATACCTGTCTTGACAGTGAGTGTGGTTTTAATGATAATAATGACAGTTGTAATGTTTATCCTTATAATAAAAATAATAATAATAATAATAATAATAATAATAATGGGCATATGAAATCAGGCTTCGATATGCAAGGAAGTAGCGGACCAGCACTACACTAATCACTTTCATTCCCGCAACCGTAAAAAGTGATATCCATTTACAACTGAATGGAATGGAAGTGTCCTGGAATCGAATCATTGACCCTTGAAACAAGAGGAGAGGACTGTTTCCACTCGGCCTCCGTACACTTAATATTAATAGTAACTGGAAGAAAATCTATTGATTAAACTTTTTCTTTTTTTTTTCAACCATGAATTTCCCCTGTACAGAATACCGCAAGATGGACCGATATGCACTACACAAGTGAAGGCAAGAGTGAGGGCGGCACTCACCTCCCTCATCACTGTACCAATCATGCCATTCCACGACCCATTCTTCTGAGGTGCTCCCCAGTACCCGTCTCCCTGTACCACGCTGTACCTGTAACATAAGTCTGCTGCAGCATACTGTACCTGTGATATAAGGACACCCTATCTGATAGAACCTCAGACTGGAATTCCACTGCCTGACAAGTTACAGGAGCCTCAGGACGGAAGTATGTAAAAGGCAATGAATCACCCAACACTCTGGTACACTCTAATACACTCTTAACGTCGAAAAATACATATTTCACCATGGTTATTATATCAGATTATGATTACTCTCTTCTCCAGTGATACCTGTACATTTACCTAAGAGGAAATCTATCTGCGAGGAACTCCCCTTATGTCTATACTGCTCTTATTACAGAGGGCGAAAAGGCGTTACAGAAACCGATAGACAGATAAGTAGAAAATGTGTAACATACTGTGAGCGACGCAGGAGGAGAGATCAACTCACGTGAAGTTGAGGGAGGAAGCCAGAGCGTCCAGCAGCAGAGCCATGGGACCCGTCACCTTAACTGACCCGTCGGTGGCTGAGTGCAAGTAGATGTGGGGTGGCCAGGTCTCTGCCGCCACCACCAAGTGTGGTGCTCGTGAGAACCTGTCAACACAAATTTCTTACTGCCACACACAACACACAACACACGAGAGGAGTGTAGGTGGGTCCTGTAGAACTTGCTACTCATTAGGGGCAGTGCGGATACATCAAACTGTAGACTAAGCCTTTTCTAGTGCTCAGTGGGTGGCACTGCACTCGATTATCTTAATTTCCCCAACTATAAAGTGAATTAGGGGTGGCCAGGGAGCAAACCAGTGACCTTAAGGACAGGAGACAAGTGCCGTGTCCACCAAACATGGGCGATTACATTGGTAATATAATCAAATATGATTATAAAAAAGTGATGTAATCGATAACAATCGTGATTACATGCATTTAATCGCGTTAGAATAGCTAAGTAGAGGTTATTAGACGATTTGTGCCATGACCAAAATTATTTGCCAATTGTGGGTTAAGAGTGAAGCGATTATGTTTTGAACTAAATGAAGAAATATGTCAATATTTCACGTAATGGAACCATTAGAGGTAAAGGTATAAATATTAAAGAGATTTCGCGTAGTAAGACCATTAGCGCTTTGTACTTGAAGATGACACAAATTCCTGGTAATGAAACCAGTAATGATCTTTTGCCAAATATAAAGTTAGTGTTTCGGAAAACTGCAAAATCAGATAAAAAACAATACTGCAATATTGATCTGGGAACAAATAAGTTAAGCTTAAACATACCAGCATAGGTATAATAATTACAGGTTGTCCTCAGCCCCGTGGACCACAGCTGAGTTATTGTCGCAACTTAAAAATATACTCTTGTGTATAGAGATGAACATATATTGTTAGTAGGTGAGCTGTATATTGTTGCTTTAAACAAAATGTGATTTGTCTTCACTGTTATGGGTAGAGAGAGTGGAGGAGGGGAGGAGACAAGCTGCATGAGAAATGAAGAAGACAACTAAGAGGCGTACAAGTACCTGAAACCGAGTGGGCGGCCGCTGGTGAGGGTGGCCTGAGCGACACTCTGCCAGGCGCCACCACCATCACCACCACCACCCCCATCACCATCACCTGTAACACAAAGCATTACTATACACTTACCTTACGTTACCCACATCACCACATATCGTGCTAGCCACGGTCTGGACTCAGAGATTCCGTACATTTGCTTTGTCCTCTAACTGATGCCAAATAAAAGCTTTTATAAATTTCACAACTTACCAGTTTTCTAGCCGCACGGTCAAACCTTTGTTATGACTTTTATTGGTCAGTGTTAGTACGCAAGAAAACCGGAGTACGCTGAAAAGACTCACATCTGTCTCGAGACGGAAATTGAACCCAGGACACAATAGTGATAAATATGCGCAATACCTCTACCATTCCCACCACTCCTCTTAGGTGTACCATGTCAACGTTTTGCCCCCTCACCGGTGTTATGCCAAGTTATGTAGTTAAATTAGGGTAACTAAAACGACCACACAGTTTAGGTTAACAAGTTACTTGTACGAAGTGATTAGGAGTTGTTTTGAACTGACCTGATGTGTACAGCGCCCCTGCTGCGTGCAGCACCACCCACAAGGTAACAGTCACAGACCGCATCACACCTGCAACAACATCACAGTTCCTTTTATATGTGCACATACTGTGTGCGTGTGTATAGAGAAGGGCTACAGAACACGGTCGTATATATGTATTTATAGAGGGGGGTTACACAGACGTCACACATCACCTAACAATATGAAGTGGTCAGGACAAACAAACAAGTTCAGACTAAAGAGGTGTATTTCTAACATAATTAGCAAGTAAATAATACCAGATACGATTGTTAGTAGAAATATTCCCAGAAGGTTTTCTATGACTTTATAAGTTTAGTAAAAAGCTGAAAATGTTGCCCGCACAAAATCCTTTAATCTAACAGGTAGTAATATCAACACACAGTATCCTGTTACAAGTAATATTTTCTATAATAACTAAACAACTTGTTTCTGAATGATCTTGCAATTGAATAACTTTTCAACGTCAGAAACTTGGTTTGTATAATTATTCCAGGACCTGAGATAATTACGAAAACAATATTGATAATCGATTCTTATATTTGCCTCACAAATAACTCATAAGCGCTTTAAATGAAGCGGTAATACTAATATTACCCTTCAGGCATTATAAACGTGGTAACTGATGGTGTTATTATGACAATATTATTAGAACAGAACCAAACTGGCAAGCAAAATTACTTTTATGGAAATGTTGGCAACCCTGACACCTTTGTAGCCATGTTAATACCATTGACACCTGTTTGTAGACATTTTGGTATCCCTGATACCTGTTTGTACCCATGTTGACACCATTGACACCTGTTTGTAGCCATGTTGACACCATTGACCCCTGTTTGTAGCCATGTTGACATTCTGACACCTGTTTGTGGCTTTGTTGACATTCTGACACCTGTTTGTAGTCATGTTGACATTCTGACACCTGTTTGTAGCTTTGTTGAAACCCTGACATCTGTCTATGGCTATGCTGGCTCCCCTGACATATAAGGACGTTCTTACATTTAAGGTGCTATAACATATAGGCGTGTTAAGGGGGCTCCATACCATATCATGGAAAGTTTACACCGTATCATACCAATGATACCATGAATAGTGTACACCGCTTCCCAGGCCATGCATGAACAAGACGAGTAAAAAATTTAAAAAATATAATAATTATAAAAATAGTTATTATTATTATCATTATTATTATTTGCTCGCAAATGTGTCCAATATTCAGGTTCCTAGCCTGAGATATAAGCAAGACATCAAATAAGAAAGAAAAACAGGATGGGGGTGGAAGGGCGGTGTACTAAACAAAGTAATGATTGAAAAGCTGGAAGAAAGAAAGAAAAAATATATACTGTATATATCTAATTAATCTAGCCATATAATTGGAGATGAAGGAATAATGCTAAGATATTAATAAATAAAATTGAGGATAGGAATCAATGAATGTAAAAGCTGTGGTCCCTAAAGAGATGTAAAACTGTGTTCATAGAGTCAGTCCGAAATCATTTGGAGCGGAGGATCGCGGTCGCCAACCCTCAGACATAAATAAAGCACCTTGACTGATTGACAAGGTAAGCCTTCTATACCGTATTTGGTGTCCTGGACATTCTCGAGAGATTATGTTTTAGATGAATAAGTCGGAACAAACAACTGAAACTATCTACTTCATTAAGGTGTACTGTACCTGATGATTTAACGTATCACTGTAAACCAAACAACACATTTATACACGTTAAATTATTCTCAGCTTTCAAGGTATATACTACATATATAAGTTTAAGCAACACTTACCACACTTGGGGAAGCTCTGGCTGTGTTGAGAAAACTCTCTCCAGGGCCATGTGTTCGCGAGGTCTGACTCACGACTGGCAAGGAGGACGCTATGTGCCATATTCAATACTCCACTGCACTAATCTCCTACGCAGATGACCTCACGTTAGCTTCCCAGCGTACACAACTATATCAGGCTACTACAGGCTTAACCTCAGCAACATCTTCTACCTTCGATATCCAGAAACTATTAAGGATTCATATTTCTCACAACACAAGAAAAGTTTCAACTAAAACAGTAAACACTAGCCCCCCTAGATTCTGAATTCAAACTTTTCCCATAAGAGAACTCTCCTTTACTAGAACTCCCTCCACATATAATGAAAAATATTCATTAAACAATAAAACGATACCCACCACACTGTTGACCATTATACAACAACTACACACTTCATAAAAGTATTCACACTACATAGTAAAACGATTCCCCTAACACACTTCACAGAAATAGTCATACTGCCCACAGACGTAAAGTATGACCACTACACACAATCAATCGAAGTGCAATTCTCATATCTAAACGTTTTCGGGTTTACTGGGACAATTGTACATCAGTTCACCTTCCATCATTAGTGAGATCTCAGAAGATAGGTTTAAGGACTAACTGGTAAAACTAATTAGAAAAAAAATCTAGAGAAGGTTATTACCTCAGGGTTCGCTGCTGCCTCCACTACTATTTGTTGCCATTTGGGACACCCTGACACCTATTTGTGGTCATGTTAGTACCCTTGACACCTGTTTGTAGCCAAGTTGACACTCTGACACCTGTTTGTAGTCATGTTAACACCCTGATACCTGTTTACAGCTATGTTGGCATCCCTGACACCTGTTTGTACCCATGGTAGTAACCGTGACACCTTTATGTAGCCAAGTTGACACCCTGACACCTGTTTGTAGTCTTGTTAACACCCTGGCACCTGTTTGTAGCCATTTTGACATCCTGACACCTGCTTGCAGGTATGTTGGCATCCGTGACACTTGTTTGTAGCCATGTTAACACCCTGGCACCTGTTTGTAGCCATGTTGATACCCTGACACCTGTTTGTAGTCATGTTGACACCCTGAGTGACAACTGCTTGTAGCTATGTTGGCATCCATGACACCTGTTGACAGTCATGTTAGCCTAAACCTCTGTAACAAAATATTTATATTTACAGATGTCAATGAGCTAGAGGATCACGTAAGCTTGAATTGGGTTAAGAAACATATTCAAGAGGATATAAATAAACCTGTAGGACAGCAAGACATTCTGTTGTAAGCATTAGCATTTATTTTTTATTTATTTTTTTAGGCGTTTATGAGTGTGATGCAAATGTATTCCTTGGGTGGTGGTAAATTATCGATTTCATGTTAATTGATGAGACCACATAATACATCTATCTTATACATGAGTACACACATTCATCAGATTATCTTTCAGTGTAGCCAAGAGATATGTTGCTAATGGTCATTTATTTCGAATTGTTTTTAGTTACGTGTTCTTTAATATCCTGGTATACCATCAACCAAGTGTAATGGTAGTATACACAAAAGCTCTTGGAAAAATCCAGGAATTTAATGGCTTTGAAACGCCTTTAGTTCCATAACGCCTTTCAGTGTCCACATCCTCTTCCGTCACGAGTAACTACCGTGTATTCACAGACTCACTATTGTATTCCCGATACATATAATTTGATAACGATTATATTATTGGTTCATTTTGCAATAGTGTTGTGTTGTGTGTGTGTGTTGTGTGTGTGTGTCAATAACCATGTGTCAGTCCTATATATTATACTGTAAGTTCTTCCTTGAGGTACAAATCACTAGAAAATTGTCACATTTTAAAATATCGGTATAATCCCCCGAGTCACTGTAAAGGTCCGGTCTTTGTTGAGGGAATTTCTCTTTTCTACTGTATGTAACTGCTGGCTAAGGATAACTAAACCTCAAAGAACAACACTTAAGACTCTCATTCCTATTTGAAATTGACCTTAAGGGGAAAAAGCTTAAGCGACAATCAGAAAAGAGTAAAGTTTGTTTGTTAAACCCAGTAAAATCACGAAGGATTATCTCATTGTTAACTTGAATGATTACCAATGACACTACAAATGTTGATATAATTCTGAAATCTATGTACAGTATACTAATACCCTCAAGTTATGCTTATTAACAGGATGATGATATAAACACACTTACCTGTACATGTAGATAAAGTATTTTGGGGAGTCTTTGAACACACTATTGGCGAACACTGGCTTAGTGGTAAAAGTGGTTTACGCTAGATAAGATAGGATATCTTTTCCACTACCTGAGGGACTCACTCATAAGTTTTTTTGTTTTTCAGCGTGAACACTCGTGTACAATACTGTCGTACAACTTCTACAACAAGAACAACCTTTATCATTTAGACAAGGCAACATACCCTTACCTGTACCGCTGACAGTTGCTACAACCTTCAGCATCACAACATGACGCACCTCTTACCACCACCACCACCTCGTGCAGTCATAGAGTTGGATTTGAACTATTTTTACAGGCTTTATATCCTCTCTGGCGTCTAATCCGGAATGCCTTACAGCAGCTGGAGAGCGAAGATAATTAATCTTTCATAAAGTTCCCCGAGAGAGTATGAGCCGTGACTTGTAAAAATGCTCTCACTTTACAATTACATGAGTAACATTTCTCCTGTGCGGGTGACCCTCCCTGGAGTCGACCACGGCGTCCGCTTGAGGGGTGAAAAATATTGATGCCACCTGCGACTCATCTGTCGTCTTTAAGCTGTAGCTCTCTGAAGGACGTAGCGTGTACGGGGGATGGGGGTGGTAGTGTGCGTGGAGAGGGGTGATGAAAGGTTTATATCAGTGGTTGAGAAGTTTGCCATGTTAAAATCTGATGTGCGAGATAAAACAGCGTAAATATTCATGAGATAATTAAAGTTTAAAGTTACAAGACGTACTGAATGAATGTTCAAGGTGCTTATTGTAGTGAACCTAATGGTGTAATTTATTGTTTGTGTAATATGCAGTTCGTAAGATCGATGATTTTTTTTTCATGTACTGTGTCTTAGGTCGGGTGATGACAATGGATATCAACACAGATGTGTAGTTACGACAACACAACACAACACAACACAACACTATCCTCTTATGGTAGAAATAAAACACTTTACTCTCTTAAGTTTTTTTTTATTGAAAGTAGTTGGATGTTTCCCTCATATGGTCACAAACACAAGCACTTGAAGAGGTTATATGTGTAGTACACGTGTAGCGTCTGAGTGTAGCAACTTGAGTACAGTACAACCAGATGGTGGTGTCAGCAGCGTCGTTGACCAATTCACTACGCTCTGCTTCTTAACACTAAACTTGTCTTTAATTATCATACTTATTAACGTCACTCTTGACCCTCACTTTCTACTATGCGTAAACACACACACACACACACAGGGAACGTGAGGTCGAGATTTGTGTTTTTCTTATCTTACCTTAGCACAGTGATATTGCCTTTCAGAAAGTTCATTAAAAAGGTTCACTTTAGCGGCGTATTCTGGTCAAAAAGTCGTAGGTTGAGGGTCTTGAGGTCATTGTGGTCACACCCCCGAGTCTTACGTCACTATCTTGATATAACCAGACCTAAGTCTTACATATCTTACTAAGTATTGTTAATGTTTATTAATGCGTCGGAATATTAAATGATGAGTGAATTAGTTTATAGCCCATGATTCTGTTCCTGTTATTTCACCCTGGTTAAAATCGATCCACGAATGCCAGAATAGTGGTGACTAAGTCAGTACATTGGTGAGAGGAATGTGTGGTGTGGAGGACAGCTTACCTTATAGCTGTGGTGTATGGGGGGGTGAAGGATAGCGTACTTGCCTGGGACACATACTTTTCGCTTCAGTTATAGTTTAGTAAACCTTCCTTGGTCTGACCAGAGTCTCACAGCTGTTTACCGAACCTGATAGTGAAGCACCTCACTCCACAGCGAGTTGTTGACCCATCAAACCGATTTTCAGATTAAATAACACTTTCTGTTAGGGCTTTACATAAGGAAAGTCAAGGTTTGGCATTATTATTAAGCATATGTGTGTGTGTGTGTGGAAAATTTCATGTGCTGGGAGACATATGTATCCCAATAAAGCTGAATTTTCATGTAAATTTGGGGCTCAAAGTTACCAAGACCTTGAATTTGAAGCCTGACACACACTATTGTATGTAAGTCTTTCACACACACACACACAAACACACACACACACACACACACACACTAATGATCATGCAAACTTTCAGCCCCTGAACTTACACAAGCCATCAGATATATCCAACACACCTGATTTGTGTACCTTAAATATTCTATAAACGTCTTGGCTCTGAAAAGTTCTCTTACGTTAATCCCTAATAATTTCTCGTCATTGTCAGACAACACACACACAAACCCTCCTGACAAACACCCTTAGCTGACGTCCTCCCGACAAACACCCTCAGCTGACGCCCTCCTGAAAAACATCTTTAACTGACGTCTTCCTGGCAAACACCCTAAGCTGATGCCCTCCTGACAAATACCCTTAACTGACGTCCTCCTGACAAACATCCTAGCTAACGTCCTCCTGACAAATACCCTTAGCTGACGTCCTCCTGACAAACACCCTAAGCTGATGCCCTCCTGACAACACTCTTAGCTGACGTCCTCCTGATAAACACCCTTACCTGACTTTCTCCTGATAAACACCCTTAGCTGACGTCCTCCTGATAAACACCTTTAGCTGACGTCTTCTTGATAAACTCCCTTAGTTGACGTACTCCCGGTAAACACCCTGAGCTGACGTCCTCCTGGCAAGCACCCTGAGCTGACGCTTCTTTTTAATAACATAACTTGTCTCTAAGAAAATACCGCCCTGTGTTTCCCTATGAAAGAGACAACTTTAAATTCCCCTCAAGGTTAAGGCAGGCTCTCTCTCTCCATCTGTGACAACAACAGACCAGGTTGTGTCCCTTTATAGTGATGATCTCTGAGTCTCCGTTAGGAAAGAGAACGTTGTCAAATTTACTCACATGAAACTCTCAGTTTGTCTGCCGCCACAAGAGTCGACAAAAAGCACTTCTTTCTTTTTTACTTTAATATACACATACTCGTATTGACGTATCAAAAAAGGGTATGTGTATTGTGTCTGTTCTACAAAGACAACCTCAACAAAGCTAACCTGTGTTTATACCAAATAGAATCATGCACATCATCTCCCAGGGATTACTTCTACAGTATATGTCACACTGAAAGAAAACATCCTTACTTTCCTCTATGATTAATACTCAGATGTGTACGTATTCAAAAAATACATTAAGATTTATCCTCACCAAAAATACATATCCCTCTCTCCCCCAACAAATAATACATTTATATGTACCGTAAAGCAAAATACATCCATGTTTACCCACACACTCGAAGGCCAAACGTCTGCTTTTACAGAGAATGTCTCCATACCTGACCCGTCAACCAATTTATGTAATAATGACCCCACAAATAGACCCTCTTAGATACCATTCTATGTATGCCTCTACAAATACACAAATACTTCCCGCACAAAACACCCACGATGTCAGTCCGGAGGACACCTCTATATCCTACATGGACGTCTTTACTACATCTCCCGTCCGTGGCTGAGTGGCGAGCATCCACCTCCTCCTCCCCCTATAGCACCTTCAGACGAGTGCCTTCCAGATTCCATCTCGGAGGAAGCAGAGGAGGAAAGTGTTGTGTTGGATCCCAGGGGGTCGAGGGAGCTCTGCACGGACATGGAGCGGTCGCCAGGGTAGCGACGGGTCCTGTTCGGAGACAGCTTGGCTGGGTCGATGCTGCTCGGATCGGCCTGTGGAAGGGGACGAAGAAGGGCGGTGCTACATCATGGTAGTGGTGAAGAAGTGCACAGTGCCGGGTGCTATCATGCGATGATCAGTGGTGAGGATAGAGACAATGAAACTGCTACCACGTGTTAGATCAAATGAAGATGGGACTATAGAGACACCGAGAGAATACTGAGGGGAGATAGTAGAACGTCATACTCGTAATGAAACGAGGCGTAATTATGACAAGTGAGGAGAGGAGTGTATAGGTAGGCAGCGAGAGAGGAGGGGGTCGCAGGGTGAAGAAGTGAGTGTTGGGCAACGGAGCATATGTCTCACTCTGTGGTTTAGAGGGTCACTCGTGTATCTATTCTACAAATATTTTTTTCTTCAACTGATAGAGAAATGATAATGGACTCAGGTTTGCTGCTGGTGAAGGGTGCAGCCACTACTCGCAGATATTGTCCATGGGGAGTACAGGAGTCGGTGAGGTGCGTTTTGCTGAGGAGGGAATCGACCAGAAACTAGTTCGACATTTAATTTCATCTAATTTATTGTTGCACATCAAATACAATCAGGCACAGAATCGAGTTACGATTAACAGTGATACATATACATCGACATAAAAAAACATTAAGAAAGTTAAACATTGTCAAATGTTTTAAAATGACCTAAACACGTAATAATAATTGCATGTACTACCAAGTTGGATTTTATGCTATGAATACTTGAAATGAAAGATGAAACTCCTACTTAATAATGAAGAGGCAAGGAGAGATGAGAGGTACGGTTACAGATGGATAAGTAGATGAAGATTTTGATAAAAAAAATGGATCAAGCTTCATACTCAGTTGGATTACGAAGTACATGTTGACTCGCATATCTCACTAAATGAACACGACCACACACAGCTGTCGAGGATCTTAATGCATTCTTATTTTTATCTCCGTACCGTTGTCACTTGCGGCCCCCTTCAACACACATTCTACAGCGTGTACTGTTACCAGTAGGAGGAAGCTTTGTTCCTGTCACCTTGTAACAGCTTAAGCAATTGACATGTTAGAAGTTGGCAAGACACTGTTTTTAGAGCCTGTGTGTGTGTGTGTGTGTGTGTGTGTAAGGAATAAGGACCAAAAATAAATGTAGTGCCAACTTTGAACCCGTAAGGTGACTGTAGCTGTTCAAAGATGGTATAACACTGATGTTTTCGCCAGTAAATTCACTAGATACGAACACACACACACACACACACACACACACACACACACACACACACACACACTCTACTTGCAATATCGTGTCAATTCTGAACTCATGTGGCTTCCTTTTGTGAAAAAATTATAATTTCAGTTTTTGTGTTGTGCTTCACCCGGTGTCTGGAGCAGTCTCCATGACCTTGTTTATACAGTCTCTACGCCGTACCACAACATACCTCCCGTTTCGTGTACATAATATGAATTTGAATCTATATATGAATCAGTACTTCTGTATTTCAACTGTTCCGTATATTGTGAGGTCATTACAACATAATTAAAGTCTTATGGGGAATAATGAAAACGCCATCACTATTAGAGTATGGGATGTGTCGCTATAACCATACCGAGCCCCTGAAGGCTTCATCAGTGTGATGTCATATACTCATATCTCTATATTTTGAAAATTACATAACTAAAGACTTTGTTCCCTGGATAACATACCAACTCTTTTTATTATATCATCTGCCCTTCAGAATAATGTTAACTCCTTCAATTCCTGCAATATTAGTTTTCTTCTTAATTAACAACGTCGCCCTCCTTACCCACAATTAAGTATTTCTTGCTTTGTATATCTAACTTCCCTTTCCCATACAGCTCAACTACACCTTTTGAAATTACACTCTCAACTGCTCTTGTTAGACTTGTTGTAACTTAGGGAAGAGGGAGTTAATAGCCTACTCTAAAAGAGTTGGTAGAGACAGAAGGCACAGCGCTACTAAACCGACTTAGTTTAGTGATAGACAGATGGCGAAGACTTAATTCACAAGGATATTTCTCTAGGGAACTAATATTCATTGGAAGAAGTAATCAAATAAAGAGATAAAGCAAAACATAAAAGAACCTCTGATCGTCAATTACAAATCTAGTAATATTAATTGTTGGCTCGAAGACATCAGTGAGGCTTCTTGAGTGGCTTAGCTGTGATCATGTAGATTGTAGACCTTTTACAAGATTCTGCCCTACACAGTAAATACAACTACCAAAAAGAGTTACATAAATATTTCTATTACATAAAAGCAGGTAGATCTAAGAAAGGTTATCGAATAAAGCCGCCAATGTTATTACGTATAGCGATCAGATGTTATCATGTCCTGCTGACAAACTTTATCAGGTAACTTCGTAAGACGTTAGCTAAAGTAAAGGGTGAAATCTCTTAAATGTAAGGAAAATTATCTAATAAAGCAATGGGTAGCGTCGCACTTGAAGGCTTCATACTAAACATAGTATGTGAGGATATCAAACTAGACATAGCACTTGAGGGTATCATACTAAACATAGTATTTGAGGGCACCATAATGAACACAGCACGAAATATAAGACGTCTCGGATCACCTGAACATTAGCACCCAATCCTCCCGAGTTTATTTCACCTGATGATTAAACACCTTAACTCTACCTGAAGGGTTAGGTTAAGTTAGGTTATGTTAGGATAGGTTATGTTGTTATGATATTTTATTTTGGGTTAGGTTAGGTTAAGTTAGGTTAAGTTAATTTTAAAGTAAAAGAAGTTGGGGTCTAATCTTCAGATTATTTGAAGTCTGTCACCAACATAAGCTTTATGCACTCTGGAGTTCATTGGCATACTATTCAACAATGCTTTACACACAACACGAGTGACATTAGAAAATAAGGCGACCATGTAGCGCCACGGTCTTGCAAACAAACTTCATGTGACAGTAAAACTGCGTCCTATTGGCATGGCGGCCCGTTAGGGACAGTGTGGACATAGCACACACTAAGCCTTCAGTACACAAGGAGGCAGCGTGACCGGCACTGCATTCGACCGCCTTTACTTTCCCAACTCGTGGAGTGGAAGTGCCTTCGGGCTCGAACTTGCTAAAGGTGACAGCTGTTTCTAATCAACCGTCACAGCAGTCATCATTTATGACCACATTTAACAGAAAACAAATTACTGTATCACTCTTATATTTTGGTTAAGTTTAGTTGTTTCGCATTGCATGCAGTTATAAATAAGTACCTTAATTCCCATTCACTTTACATTTATTCTAGAAAACAAATTCTTTAGGTTGCATAAGGATTATTTTATTAAGATTTTTTTTCATACTGTATTAAACATAAAACCCAAAAGATCAACACCATTCTTAAATAATTCTAATTGATTCTTATTTTGCAAATTTGGTTTACTGTTAGTAAGGAAATTATCAGTGTGAGAGGTGTGCCAAACTGTGGCTGATATATCTAGTGTAAGCGGGGTGACAAATACTCACTTTACATTAGAAGACCAAATAATTGTGGGCCGTCTATCTAACATTAACTAAAACATCCAAAATAGTATAAAAATTCCGCCGAGACTCTACACTACTCGATACATCCAGCAAACACCAGTTAGGGTGAACGTACAGATTTTTTGTGAATGAAGGCTCCGATTAAGGGGCAACTCAAAACTCAAAAATAGTCTCAAATTCATTGGAGCAGAGGGAAACTGACCTACCCAGCCTCGTGCGGAAATGAGGAAGAACGAAAACAAACAAGAATTTATAATAATTGACTTTAAACGCTATCAACGGGAGTGGATAAGAGAGGTAGGTCTCTTATTCAGTCGATTAGCAAGTGACGGGGGTGTCTGTGTTGAGGCTTTTTTTCTAAAACTTTCCTATGAACGAATGGGATCAACGGAGATATGTTGTTCCGAAACGAACAGCCTACAGCAAGGTTGTGTCATACCTGTGTAGGTTGTCATTTTGAGGTTAAATCTTTTTTCAAAGGAGTTCCATGTCAAGCCCAGATATATGTCCTTACCACACATGGTGTTCAGCGGCTGAACAACTGCACCCAACAAACTGTACAAATGCACCCAATCGACTTATTTCTAGACGACAAAACTTTTACATTAGGGTAAAAGATCGAAGATAGTAGCTAGCAGGAAGCTTAAAGGAGAGAAACAAGAACACAAATAAAGAAGTACAGTTGTGCCTCTCTTATAAAACTGCTTACGCATACGGAAATAGTTAACAAAGGTGAAGTGATATCAGATATGTAGTCATCAGCAAGTGATAAAATACATGAGGGTTATTTACAAATGTTTCCTTGCTGAATGACACATTGACAACAGGTACACATGTGAATATTAAAACTTGTGGATGATACAGGTGGTTGGCCAGGAGGAGTCTTTGTCACAATGAATCTCTCGGTGATGGAACCTAACCAGTGCCTCTATGTCACGAGCGATGGAAATGAATGAAGTCCCTTTATGAATAGGAATTTGTACACAATATTATGACTATCTCAATAGATTTAAGAGACCATGGTAGAGGTTCAAAGATGGCTCGGTACTTTTTTGGAGCTTGTATGTATGTATGTGTGTGTGTGTGTGTGTGTGTGTTCCTAGTTGGCACTGCAGTGATTATTGTCCCAGAAACACACTAGAAACCTTTCTTTACACACACACACGCACACTTAGAATAAAAAAACAGAATCGTACCACCATTGACCCCTAACATGATCCACCAAGAGGCAGCAGACGCATATTGGAGTGAACACACCTCAGCCGTGTGGTGAGTGGAGACTGAGTCACGTGTTAACAGTGGAGCAGGTGATAAATGGCTGAGGAACAGTGTAGGCCTGGTGTGTGAGAACCACACCTGTGTTCCGTTATCCCCTGGCATGTGAGGGCCACACCTGTGTTCCGTCACTGCCTGGTGTGTGAGGGCCACACCTGTGTTCCGTCACTACCTGGTGTGTGAGGGCCACACCTGTGTTCCGTCACTGCCTGGTGTGAGGGCAACACCTTTGTTCCGTCACTGCCTGGTGTGTGAAGGCCACACCTGTGTTCCGTCACTGCCTGGTGTGAGGGCCACACCTGTGTTCCGTTATCCCCAGGCATGTGAGGGCCACACCTGTGTTCCGTCACTGCCTGGTGTGTGAGGGCCACACCTGTGTTCCGTCACTGCCTGGTGTGTGAGGGCCACACCTGTGTTCCGTCATTGCCTGGTGTGTGAGGGCCACACCTGTGTTCCGTCACTGCCTGGTGTGAGGGCCACACCTGTGTTCCGTTACCCCCTGGCATGTGAGGGCCACACCTGTGTTCCGTCACTGCCTAGTGTGAGGGCCACACCTGTGTTCCGTCACTGCCTGGTGTGTGAGGGCCACACCTGTGTTCCGTCACTGCCAGGTGTGTGAGGGCCACACCTGTGTTCCGTTATCCCCTGACATGTGAGGGCCACACCTGCGTTCCGTTATCACCTGGTGTGACGGCCACACCTGTGTTCCGTTACCACCTGGCATGTGAGGGCCACACCTGTGCTACGTTACCACCTGGCATGTGAAGGCCACACCTGTGTTCCTTTACCGCCCGGTGTGCGAGGACTACACCTGTGAGGGCCACACCTGTGTCCCGCCACCCGTACACTTCCTTATACTGTAGTGACAATGGCGTTTCCTTTACACAGTGCTTGTACAGTATAATTATTTCAGTTGTACATGTTGTCTAGATACAAATTTGGTTTTCTATATACAGTACAGTATACTTCATCAAATATAATTCGTGTTTTTTTTTTCTTTTCAAACGTCAAAAACATTGGTATTATTTAAAGGATTATCTGAAACAAACTTCTTCCTTCAACAATTTGGACTAAACAAATATGACTTACATGTGATGACATTTATATAAATATTTTTTGTTGTGGAAATCAGTACATACAACCAGTTGTAACTTGATTCTGTGTGCTGTAAAGATGAGAAAGTGGAGAACTTAGTCTCTGGTCGCGGGAGGTGGGTTGGGGTCGACGGTGGCCTAGCGTGGGGCAGGCGGTGTGCTGGCCCACCTCACCCGCACACGTATTACCCACATGTTTCAAGGGGGGTCCGACTACAGGCAGTTGCAAGGGGAGGATGGAGGAGCAGTTCACAGTTCAACATCGTCAAGTAGGAGGATGTGCAGGAAGGAAAGATGAAAAAAAAAAGAGGAAATCATCAATATTGACAACTTTTCAGGAGTAATGATTTTAAAATACAGTCTACATGCTTCTAAACAGACTTACGTGTCAGTATGATAATTAAAGACTACTTACAAACAACTCTACCAAGGGCCGTGTCGCAGGCCACTACCAGAACACTACACCACAAGTTCTCACTCAGGTTTATCACGGGCTCCTTGTCAGGGTAAGCGCGTGGGCGTCCGAGGAGCTAAACAACACATTTTTCACCTTAAGACGAGCTGTGATAAGTCAAATTGGATGGAATTATAGAGATAAGCCTCTCCAGAGATAATTTATTTCTTAAAATTGGTTTGTTGATAAGGGAAATTGAATCAAACTTTAGGGATTTACTACAACAGGTTATTATTTACTTTTTTGGGTACGTACTAAAAGCTTCGTTTGAATTTTCTTCAGCACCAAATATTCTGGTAGTTAAAAAAGACGGTGATAGTACCAGGGAGTTTGGGTGATTCCTGTATCCACTAAAATCATGTTTGCTTGTGATGTTCATGCCATAAAAGTGAACTAAATTCTTGCAAACACGTTGAGAAAAAAGTGGGTTTTAACTCTGGAAGATAGTATGATGGCAAGTTACCTTCTCTCTAGGAAGTGAATGTCCAATGCACATTTTTTTTTTTTTAGTTTGTCCTGGTCTGCTGGAAGACACGATGTGAAGGTTGAAGGAGAAGGAATAAGTGAGGGAAATAAAAGGAGTATGAGGATTGAGGAAGGAGAAGACCGAGAGGGAGACTTAAGAAGGGTGAGTCAGCCTGGAGGAGTGTTTGGACTCAGTTGCGCAAGGATTAAGATACTGCACACGCGGATTAGCGAAGGTCAGCGGTCATACGATCTTAAGACAACAACTGCCAGCTCGTCGGGTGAATGAATGTCACTCTTACCACTCCATTAAATTGGAAATTAAGTCGTAGCTCCTGAGTTTCTATTGTCGACCTCCAGTGAAAGATGATGCAGTAAGCCACTCGCCCTGATAAGGAACGTGATTTACAGCTCACAGAAACAACTATTTATCTACAACTACAGCAACTACATAAGATTAATGTGTGTGTGTGTGTGTGTGTGTGTGTCCACTATCTGAACACCACACTGGGGCAAAACTGATACCAATTCTAAACTACGAATTAAGCCCGGATAATTATATTAAAACAGTGGGTTGGGTTAGGTTAGGGTTATATTGTGCTAGGGCTAGATTAAGTTAGGATAGATAACGGTTAGGTTATGATGAGGTCAGGTTAAGGTAGGTTATGTTCGGTTTCTGTTATGTTAGGTTAGGTTATGATTAGGTAAGGTTAACTTAGGTTATAATACGTTTAGGTTGTTGTATGGTTAGGTTAGGTTAGGCAATGGAGCTGCGAGACCATGGCGAACATCTACAATGTGATCACAAGCTGCCTATGACCTACACACACACTGTTTCTCTTCATCTGTGAGTGACAACACATGAGAATATTGCTTTCTGTCGCAGTTATCCCCGTAAAGGATTCGAACTTGCCTTATGAACACTGCCAATACTAAATGCTTCCACTGAACCCCCTGTCATTCAAATACTTAACAGAAATAACTGTAGCAGTGATGATATACATGGAAAATTCTTTGCTGATGACTGTTGGCGACTGTACGAAGTTTATATGTCCAGTGTCGGTACATTAGTTATTTATAAGATGGTGAGTACACAGACTTGAGGCACAGAAGACAGTGAGAGTTAGTCTCTTGAGTGTGTTTGTGTGGGAAAAAAAAAAAAAATTATATATATATATATATATATATATATATATATATATATATATATATATATATATATATATATATATATATATATATATATATATATATATATATATATATATATATATATATATATATATATATATATATATATATATTAAGAAATGTGTTTGTATGAGTAGAGTGTGGAGGAAAGCGGAGGTGGTAGCGGTGCCTCGTGCAGTAGCGGTGTTAATGAGTGCCACTGAGTGCCAACCTCTACATAACATCATCCGTAGCAAGCATGTGTTACCTCTAGCAAGACAGACTCAGCAGGTGTGATAATTATACTGTTACTGTGGCACATGCGTCACCATCTACTGAATAAACAACTCTGAAAGACTGTAAAGTTGGACCCTACCAATACTAGTTCACACGCTACTATGATAGAGTAATGAATGGAAGAAAACTAACTCCGATAAAAGTTACTGTATAAAGGCATTACTAGACGAGAGTCACAGCCAAGGATGTACTGTATACATAATATGGTCACTTGATAGAAATATATTTCACATATTCCATGATAAAAATTTGAAGTATCTGTTGAGACGGCACAGTACCACATGACACCGGCTGTAGCTTTAACCCCACCAACATAACTGTCTCCTCGTACGGAACAATTGTAATTAAGCACATAGCAAATTACAAAACATTTCAAAGGATATAATATACAAACTTTGTACATAAACATTTCTGAGAAAAGTACTACCAATATTTTGAACAATGGAAAATACTATACAGGGTCTTATCTACCACAAAGAGCTCATCTACCACAAAGAACTCATCTACCTTGCATATACAGTACACCTCAATAAACTACTACGTCATGAACATAAATAAATATACTTGTATGTGCTTATATATGCATATTAAATATAATATACATAATGTGTCTGTCTGTCTGTCTGTAGGTTTGTACGATTGCCCACCTGACAGCTTAAGGCGGGACTGTGGCTCGCCTAAAAGATTGTTATTTGAGTAAGGCTCAACTGAGAGAATGTCAATCGAGTAAGACTCGCCTGGTAGGCTGTCAGTCGAGTAAGTCTCGTCTGGTAGGCTGTCAGTCGAGTAAGACTCGCTTGGTAGGCTGTCAGCCGAGTAAGACTCGCTTGGTAGGCTGTCAGCCGAGTAAGACTCGCCTGGTAGGCGTCAGTCGAGTAAAACTCCCCTGGTTGGCTGTCAGTCGAGTTAGACTCACCTGGTAGGCTGTCAGTCGAGTAAGACTCACCTGGTAGGCAAGGGCGTTCATAATGATGTGGTAAGGCACGAGGCCCAGCGGGTGGATCTCCTTCATGAGAATGTTGGCCGGGATCTTGTAGAACTGAATGTACTCGAGGAAGTTCCCGATCACCTCCTTCAGGTCGGTGTTGGGCTGGTTGTCGCAGTGCTTCTTGGACCACATCAGACCAGCCTGTCAGAAAAAATACATATACACTCTCTTTTACCAGCTAAAAACTTTTAGCTTTCAGTATACAGTAATAACTTAATATGGTTTGTCTGGGAACATTAAAAATTCACCTGAAGCTTATTGGTATCACCTGGGAGTAGTGAGACTTATCTGGCACCAATTAGAATCACCTGGGGGTAGCGGACCTCACCTGGAACTTGGTGAACTCGTCAGCACGCAGCTCCTCCCTGGCCATGATGAGCCTGACCACGTGCTGCGGCAGGAGGGTGAAGGAGCCCAGATTGAGCACCTCGTTGCCATGCTCGTCCACAAATTCCAGCACCTGATGGAAACCTCAGGTGTCAGTGTCGAGTGGTCAGCTTTGTCGTAACTCAACGTTTTTCTGATACCAAGTTTTAATTTATGATACAATCAAATGTTATTCCTACAACTTATACATTTATCATATTCAAGTAACACACAAGTTATGTATCAATACCAAATAGCACTTGTATCACGACACTGTGTCTGATACATAGTTCTGAGTGATACAGTAAATGGTTCTCATAATCTAACCTTATTGTAAGTTCCTAACTACTTCCTACAAAGAATGTTCAAGTAACTTGCAATAGTTAATTCCATCTTTCTTTTCCTGGTATTTGTTCTAATATATTTAAAGTACTAAATTAGACATTTGACCTCCTGATGCGATTTTCAGTACTGATGAAGAAGCCGCAAGTCCAGAAAACTGTGAGGGCAAACTTTTTCGGAGTGAAAGTTGTGAACTCTTGGAACAATCTGCCAGAAAGTTTTGTGACGGCACCGAGTGTGAGCTCTTTCAAGACCAGACTTGACCAACACTGGAGCAGGTTCAGGTACATTCAGGAACCGGTGCATGCCCAGTACTTGCCAACAGTGCACAACAAAGACGTGACCGATCGCCCAAGCGGCTAACGAGCCGATCAGTGATGAAGAGGATAAAAGAAAAAGTAGAAGAAGTCTACTTAAGGGTCGTAAAGAATGGGCGTAAGAAATGGTCGTACTGATTGGTCGTATTCACTTAAAGGTTTATCAAAATTTCTGTATCGATAACGACCCCACAAACGCTCCCCTAACAGAGCTGGATGGATGTGTCCCTTCAGTGAAAAACTAACAAGAGATGCAACCCTCTCCCACCCCCATGAAAATATATAATAAACTCAAAGAGAATAATAAGGAATGGGCCTTAAGGAATTTACTGACCTAAAATTATTAAAGTCTGGGACTCTTGGAGTTCCATTTAATTCTCAAGAACTCTGAAGTCCAGCTCAAAGAGTTCGGAATACATCATGTTTTCACCTTTAAATATTGTCGCCGTAGTTATAAAAATAAATATGAGTCTTTATCAAAATTAAAGATAATCGGCCGATATCACCAGTAATAATTAAAATCTACATCGCTGTAAGTTTCGTTCCTTGGGCCGAGATGACACAGAGGGGGGAAGTTTTTAACACATCACAGTTAACAACACCAACAGGTCACCGACCATTCTCTGTCCCCCCCTCAGGTCCACATCCAGCAACCAGCCAAGAGGTGGTAGAGGTCCATAATGTTATTACAAACATGGCAGGTGTAAATAAGTCTTGCGACTTACGTGCCAAAAGAAAATTATTTGTCGAGTTATGGGCAAGATGGAATTTTTTATTCGATTATTCAGAATTTAAATGGAAGCTCAGACTTTAGAGCATCACCCAACTTGAGTCACACACGAGGCTTCACTTCTGTGTGTCTTGATTCAAAGTCGGACCACCGGGTTCCTTATACGCACAGCACAAAGAATTTTCAGGAACACCTCACTTAAAAACGTATGTTAGGAATTATAGTACGTCGACAAAAGTTAAAAATGAGGCAGGGAGTTTATGAGAGCACAATGTAAGGAACGTAAGGCAAGTTGGTGAGCGTACAGCACCTTGGGATGGTGTGGGCAGAGGGACTCACCTTCTGTACCATGGACTTGGTACACTTGTACTGGATGTATCGTTCAGCGGAGGCGAGGAGGGCACAGACGGTGTCCACGTTGATGCAGCACTGGACGAACCCGGAGCACCCCTTCCGTAGTTCGTCCAGCCCATAGTAGTCCGCCGCGTTCATCAGGCCTGTGGGGGAGGACCACCACACCTGTGAGTTGTGCAGCAGGTGTGTAGTGTGACAGGATGAGCAGTGTTACAGGGCGAACATTGTAACGTAACAGTGTTATGGTGGGAGGGTGGCCAGGGCAGGTATGGTCCTCACTACTGCGTCATGTCACTAACTCTCTCCGTGCTTCCGTAGAGACTCACCTCGATTACCCATCCCGTGAGGGGAGTCAAATAATATCACTGTGCTCATGAACTCATCAATTGCTCACTCCTAGTCTACCTGATATCCATTTATGTAAGCCGTCCAACACTGCGACACTGGACTATATACAGAGGTCATATTTAAGACAATGTGTTGATTAATTATCACTGGGGACAAGAAAGACTTCTTTTAAGACAATGAATAATAGTTAAAGTCTGGAGTTGCACCAAAATTAAGCGCCCCTGAACGTACATATAGCAAAAGACAGAATGACGGGTTAAGTAGGGAAGGATACATAATGGCATTCACCTTGGACACATTATGGTTCTCACCTAGGAGGACACATTATGGCATTCGCCGAGGAGGACACATGGTGGCATTCACCTAGGAGGACACATTATGGCACTCACCTAGGAGGACACATTGTGGCACTCACCTAGGACACATTGTGACACTTACCTAGGAGGACACATTATGGCACTCACCTAGGAGGACACATTATGACACTCACCTAGGAGGGTGCGGGGTTGGAGGGTGACACAGCCGGTGTGGATGTACTCAATCAACTGCCTGAAGACGTCTGGCTCGAACTCCTCCACAATCAGTGTCTGGTGGACGTTGCCTTGTGGCTGTTGAGGACGAATTGTGGGGGTCATGAACTGTGGGGTGTGTGGGGGTCATGAACTGTGGTGTGTGTGTGGGGGTCATGAACTGTGGTGTGTGTGGGGTCATGAAACGTGTGTGTGTGTGTGTGGGGTCATGAACTGTGGTGTGTGTGTGGAGGTCATGAACTGTGGTGTGTGTGGAGATCATGAACTGTGGTGTGTGTGTGGGGTCATGAACTGCGGTGTGTGTGAGGGGGGTCATGAACCGTGTCACTGGTGATGGTGTGAAAGACAAGAGCGTGTCGCTGGGGATGAAGAAGACAACATTTGGCATCTGAGTCACACTGGGTTGGCGAAGGTGTCAGGTGAATAATGTAAACAGATCACACCTGTCAGGGAGGGGGGAAACAATCTCTGGGGGGACTTAAAGGCTACAAATATCGACAAAAATGAGGATGAAAAGAAACTTGACAGCTAAACATAACAAAGCGAAATTATTATGAAACACTCTGGTATGTTTTGGTTTTAATGGGATTATGATGAAAGTCTTTTGTGGATATGGGAGAAGACGTGTAACTGGAGGTGCTCTCACTCACTGGTGGATCTCAACAAACTTGCTAACTCTTCAACAGTGGTTTGGTCTGAATAAATTACCTGAGAGATGTTGACCTAAGATTACCCCCTGTATTGTGTCCTCCCGATTTGTGAAGGACCTTTCTTGCCCTTCACTATTTACGGGGGGGGGGGGGATAATTCCACCACATGATTAATTTAAACCTCATCAGCTATGTAATTAACACTTTAACAGCATAATTTGAGGGTAAATGTGTCTTAGGTGGAACTATGTAGTAAAATTTTATCATATCTAAAATCGAGTATTTAGTTATTTCAGATAAACTGTTATTGATGTCTGCCCTGGTCTCAACTCTCTACCAGGACAGTCAACAGAGAGGACCCAACGAGAGATTAATCATAAGTTGAGTTGAGAACACCAAGTAGCGGTTGTTATGGTACGCCAGTGTTGTATGTCGTCAATACGGGTGTGAAGGACATCTGTCCCCGAACACCTGCTGTCTCTATAACTACTTCAGGAGAGATTATAAAACTGAGAACGGAACAAGTAATTAACACAAGAATCTCATAATTAATTGGTGCGAACAGAGGAAAGTAAATAAGGAAAAAACAATTATTATTTAAAAAGAAAAAACAAACAATTTTATTTATTTTCAGAATGGGAGATTTTTTTAGTTGTTTTCCGGGTTACAGTTAAGGCGAAAGGAGAGTCACCAAAAAATTCAGCACATTATTTATCATCTATTCAAATAAAAGAACTAACGTCAAGCCATGCACTAATGCCAGGGAAGTAATACAGGTCGTGCAACACTAAGGCAGATAACACGAGAGTTGGTAGTGAGTTACCAGACAGTTCACACGTGATTTAATGACAGGTCAAGGTCAGGTCACTGGACGGTCATCACTTACAGATCACATATACGCGTCAAAAACAGACCTCAGACAGATCAATTATATGTCAGAACTGTTCACAAACAGGTCAACAGACAACTCCTTAAAAGATTTTCACACAAGTCACCAACAGGTCACGCAGGAGTCACTAACAGGTCACACACAGGTCCCAACAGGTCTGACAGGTCATCATAGGTCAAAAACAGGTATCGGGCAGGTCATCAACATGTCACCGGCAGGTCAAAGACGACCCACACTAGGTCATGAAGGGATGAAAGCAAAAAATATTATTGACCAACATCACAAAGACGGGGGAGACCGCTAAACGACTTACATTTGGCCGAGATGTTTGCTCCTGAAGGCTGTGACCTCTAGTGAGGCAGGCATCTGTTAGCTTCAGATATGATAATCTTGTGTACGGGGTCGCATCTGAGCTGAATAAAATCGTTTGGCATTAGCCAAATAAAATATTAAAAGTGGCGTCCCCGTAGTTAAGGGGTTAAATCACCCTTTTCCCGTCCATCGTATAAATAAGGCAGATGAGGGCATCCTAATATCTATTGGTACGAGGGGTGTTTAAGTGTAGGCACCAGTCTGGTGGCCCGCCTTTTGACGTTTTCAATCAACTGACAGCCTTTAGCATATCTCGGCACCAAACAGAATGACAGTACTCCAGGCGGGGAACACCACACTACCAAGAAGCCTTATCTAGATACGTGTAAGAACTTCGTGCAAGTCCTACTGGTTTCTTCGTATGATTCACCTTCTTCGGTTGATTGCAGTGCCAGCCTCGCTACCTCCTCGTTTTCCGACAAAAGGCTACGTCCGTGAAGTGAAGAAAACTGAATTGTCGATGGTTTTGTTTTCATTCATAAGAAAGCGAAGTGAGTATTTAACAGGGGAAACTTAGCTCATACATGACAACTCTATCATTATGTCGCACCTCAAAATTTCCATCACTTGTAAACTTATCGCAGTTTTGTTCAAATTCATTTTATTCGAGTGACGCCTACAGTACAGTACAGTACGCGATGATTTATAATTTAGTGACTATAATCTTTCATATGGCTACTGTTTCCCCTGTCAACGTTTTGGTGGTGGCAGGACAACACAACATAATACATAACACTTTTTTTTTTAAAGCAAAACTACTGTGTGGGGGAGGCACTAACTAAGTCGGCAGAGAGGGAGACAAGACTGTCCGTGAGAGAGGGGCAGGCAGCCTACCTCGGGGATGGTGTCCAGCTTGTGCGTGTAGCCGGAACGCTGCAGACAAAACAACACAACACACACGTTAGCCTCGAGCTGTCCCATGCGTGGGGGGAGGGGGGGGGACTCTCAGATGACATACTGACACACACACACACACACAATATGACACACACATACACACAATGACTCCCACGCTGACACACATACACACAATGACTCGCACGCTGACACACATACACACAATGACTCCCACGCTGACACACATACACACAATGACTCGCACGCTGACACACATACACACAATGACTCCCACGCACATACACACAAAGACTCGCGCGCACACACACACACACACACACACACACACCTGTTGACGCATTTAGCAATGACTGAGACGATCAGATTATTATGTACCGCCACATTACTGTAGTTCAGTACATGAGGTGGCCAGCCTACCAACACCCACCAGAGCACGGCGGCGCAGGTGGCGGGTCCACTAAGTGAGGGTAAAGCAGCCCTCAGTGTCACACCTCATAAGGAAACATCACCTTTAACTTCACGAGAACTGAATCACTAAGAACAGTGGAATCGATGGAGTTTGCCCTTTCAACCACTTTTAAATAACAAGTGGAGGGAGGCGGTCACCAGACGCTACCTTTTACCTGACGACGCCTGCAGGATGGCAACGCTTTTATGATAAAACCTCGATAGATGGCAGTTTATACTAGATAAGCTATTTCTCGTGTCCATAGGTGGCATGATAAGGTGGACAACATTACTCAAAAACATGTGCGCGGTGGCCGAGTGGATACAGTATTCACCTCCTGTCTTAAGACTCATTGATTGGACCCCGGGGTAGCCCCAGTCAACCCGTCTGTAAGTGGGTACTTAACAGTCAGGGAAATGACAACTATGGAGTTCATTGCTGGACACATTCACTTCTTCTGCCCCAACGGTTTAGTACGGAGTATGCTGTGCCTCCACACTGTCCCCGTGGGCCGCCTGGCCTGTTGGTTCCAGTGAAAAAAAAAATCGAAAACAGCAGGAAACTGGGACCATAGTTGATTTATCACGACCACAACTTCTAGAGCTGACCACCGAACAGGGTAGGAAAACTCCTTTATATCTCAAAGTACAGTAACTGTCAACAGGTACGGTGGCCGCGTAGATATAGCGCTTGTTTACATTCCTAAGGTTAATCAGTTTACCCCCAGTGAACCTTCAGTCGACCCAGCTGTGAATGGAAACCTTGCTTTACGGTTTAGGGAGGAAGACTGTTGATTTGCAGTGCCGAGCACTGTCTCCTTCTGTACCCGAGGACTGAGTATCCAGGGGTCTGTATCCAGTATCCACATTGCCTCTATGGGCTCCTCTTTCAGTTCAATACGTGGAAGGATATTCCAGTGCTGAATAAATATGAAGCATAAATTATATTTAAGATAAAAAACTGCGTCCATATATGGCAAAAGTTCCGTTAACCTCCTCTTCTGTTATGACACGTTAGAAGCAACACTGTACAGTGAACTAAATAAAGCTACAGTTTCTGTGAGAGGGACAATTGAATTTGAAGAATGAGGAGGAAAGTTTGCGTCAGTAATAACATCAAGAGACACCCAGAGAGCGAGGTTATTGTTGTGTCCACATGAAGTCACCTGCCAGGCTTGGTGTGTATTTGTGATGTATGGTGTTGAAGATCAGTCATACGGGATGCTTACTAACCAGACATTATTCTTGTGGCTGATCAGACATGGTGCGGACTATAGTCAGCTACGGTGCTGACCGTTCAGACGTGGTGTTGAGAGAAGCAGTGGCCTCTCAACACGTGTTAAACATTCACACCTTGAGGACTGAGTACCCTTCGTTAAGGACCTGTGTGTGTGTGTGTGTGTGGAATGACACCTAGCCCTCGCGTGCGTATAGGGCTGGTAGGCGACAGTATTCACCACAGCCACACAACAAGATCTTTACGACCAAGCAGCAGCGCCCTTTCATCCACAACCAATCAGCAGCATTCTTCCATACACAACCATTCAGCAGCGTCATAACATCAAGTTACCAACATCGTACATCAGCAGATAGTCAACGTCAGCAGACAGACACTCGAACACCAGCAGACAGTCACCAGCAAGAGACTGTCATCACCAGCCTCTCATCGCACCAAAACTCCAAATACGGACTAAGAAGTTATATTAAACATCAGTAACTGTACATAGATGGTTAACCAATGGCCCGACATGTAAAATGAGCAAATCAAGACACAGTGTAAACATTTCTGGACATACTATAGACATGTAACAGATATGAATTCTTCAACAGATATGATATGACAACACTGACAAGCATGTAAAGGGGTCGGGAAGCGGCTGTTACAAGACTAACTGTTACTCTGGCATCAGTTCTTTTAAGGGAGTTATTTTTTGCGTATATTTATTGCTCGATCCTTAATTGCTGCGTAATCTTGATGTTATTAATCGAATACCTAAGGTAGCTTATGTAATTGTTTTTAAATACCTTTTTTTCATATTATTTGTAATGATTTTATTCAATATAGATTTATTACGCATATTCCATTTTGTCTTTGGCGTTATTGGTCAGATCAGGGATTCAAGGGATACTGTATTTAATTGTATGTGTAAGGAAAACGTGCACAGTGTGTCAAGGGACAGTGAATATAAACATGTACACAAAGTCAGGTATTTTAGGAGGATATGTATAGCTCCTCAACACATACTAATTTTTGTACATGTTTATATTAGCATGGCCCTTGAATACACTATAAACGTCTTCTTAACACAGACACACGGGTTCCAAAATAGTATCATGTCATCTTGAACCCCTAAAATGACGTCTGAATAGTGGCGTACCTCCTGAAATACCTGAAACTTAATATTAGTTAAGATGATTAACAACTACTTAAAAATTGATGATATCTCTCTCTCTCTCTCTCTCTGTACTAACTCCCTGCCTTCCTTGCTGTTGACCCTGCAGGTTCATCAGTGGTTCAGAGGATCTCTTGAGGAACAGTTTGATCTTCTTCTCCCTGCTCATTGGCTCCTTCTTCTTCTGTGGCGAGTACGAGTTATACAGCAGCTTGTGGAACACCCTGTAAACATGGAACAATGAGCACCAGAGCTTCTACAGCAGCTTGTGGAACATCCTGTGGACTTGGAACAATGAGTAGTTCATCTGTGAGCTTTGCATCACCTCGTCTAGCAAATCCACTGTTGAAAATAATCTAGAAATCTCACACAATCCTAAAAGCTGTAATTTGGAAACAATTTTGCAGGTGAACTCGAAGTAAACAGACAAGAACAAACAGGCATCAGTCGATACATTGTCTACCATGATGAAATGCATCAAGTAAAACATGTACTGTATATGGAGCAAGTTAGTAGACCACAAGATGTTATAACCGCTAGGTTAAGATGAGGATAAAAGTACCTTAAGCAATGTGTGTCGCATGCAGATGTGAACAAAACAAAATGTACAGTGTATGACCAAAAATATAGCCACACACTCGAACACTACCTCCTAGACTGAGAAAATAGGTCTTTTTAAGGACAGGTTCGAAAATATTGGCGTTTGTACAGTGGCACAGCATCTCGTCTCTGACGGCATGATGGTTAATATATTCAAACGGTATTCACGTTTTGCACTTTACAGATAAGCCAGCTCCTATATAAGGAACTAGATATAAAATGTACTGAAAATGTTCCATCAGTTAATACCACAGTATACTGACCACTGGTACCTGATAACCACTCTTTGTGACTTCTGCTCCTCAATCCTGTTTGCGCTGCCGCACACAGGATGAGTATGGGGTGTACAGTAAGCTAGCTGTTGTCTGCACCAAAATTCAAAACTCAAATTCGCCTGTGTCACCACCTGTATCACCACCTGTTGCACCATCTGTTAAAGACCCACCTGCTGCGGGCGGCCAGCACAGCCTTCACTGCACAGACAGGTTCGCGCGTGTCTCCCACGAGGAAGGTCACGTCACACAGTTCAGGCATGGACGCGAGGAACTTCATGTCCTCCGCCAGTCCCGTCTTGTTCTCAAAGGTGGAGAAGTCCGGCTCGTCGTTCAACACCCCGGCCATGGCGATCGCTGTCTCCAGCATGCTGTACCTGTAGGTGACCTGCTGTTAACATATGGATGGTAGAATAATTGTACATCTTAATTAATATGAATATTGGATTTTGTGAACATTCGGATCTATCTCCGCCAAGCTTACCGATAAGTTCTTTTACCATACGATCATTCGTGGGCTCACGGTTGGTCGATATGTGTAACACTTCTGTGACAATGAATTTAATTACTCTTTTCAATCACGGTTTATCATACAGTGCAGCACTATATTTATCAAGAATTAAAATACTCTCTTTACTACAGTAATTTGCTGAAGAATAGGAAGATATAAGACACGTTCAATGTACACCTCACCCATGTCATGTCATGCACGAGCAATGGACATCGTTCCCTATGCCTTGACATAAACGAGTCAAAAACTCAAAATAAACTTTTCCCGAAGTACCTCGTCTTAGCAAACATCTAACACCTCTCCTAACATCTTAGCCAACACCTAAAGTCTTCCCTAACTGCAAGTCAATGAAAAACATATACTGCACATACTGTATATACCAAGGTCTATAGAACACTAGGTTAGCTACCAGTGAAAGAAAATCATCCTTTTCCGCCCATGGCGTCACTTGGCCTCCAGTCAGGCAGCCAAAGCCACTACAGTACTCACTGACTCTTTATGTTGTAGCCTTGCTTCTTGCCTTTTGCAGGTCAACAGAGTGGGGAACCAAAGTGTGAAAGCATGACCAACAAGTGTGTAGTGTTCGGTTGCTTCACTTACGTCAGCCATAAATGAAATTCACCTCTACCAGAGGCAAAACTCTTAGTGCAGCTAACGCACGGATATGCAGATTATACATTGAGTCAAGTGATTTCCAGACACTATTAGGCCAGCCAATTATTGGAGCTTTATTAAGAATGCAAGATTGTGCTCTTAACAACACTATACAGTTACCGATTTCAAAATATGAGAAACCACTTTAACTGTAATGTAACTAATGTTACTAAAATGTGATTTAAGAAGTAATGTGCAACAAGATTCAAATCCATATATTGCGTAATAATGTATTATTAAACATGATAACGAGCGACTGTTCTTGGTTGGAAGCATACAAATTGGCGCAAAATCTACACAAAATAGGTCTTCCTGCCTCTTAGTGCCAAACCCCAATATCCTATACTTTACAGTATCTATTATGGGGTATTGTAACACTGTTCTGTGTTTACCTTAATAAACAGGTTAAAGATGAAGTAGGGTATTTGCATATGTAGGGTGCAAATGATCCCAACCTAATCTTATAGCCTGATAATAACGCCACATCCATCATAGATTAAAAGATAGGATATGTTCTGTTTAAGAGTTGGAAAAGGGGCGTAAAAAGACTTCTTTAAAATATTGAGTCGGGTTGTGTCATACCGGCACTAGAGAAGGAATCAGAGGATTAAAGTAGCAATTAAGGAACAAGGGAAGTAAATTAAACCTAACAGTGATTTCTCTGATAATTCCTAATGATGGAAAATCTATCCAGATGCCACTTTGAGGGAAGTGTTTCAAAGACTGGAAGAGAAACCAAAAGTATGCTGGCTATGTATATAACCAACAATGTCTGCTAGTTGATGTAATTACGTTTTATGTTAGTTATCATATTTCCGGACGCGCGTTTTGATTCGGGAAGTACAGTACAGTAAGTTCACTACGAAAGGAGGGTCGCAAAGATGTCTAAAATGGCTAAGTAAGTTGTTAGTGTTTGGTATACTTTATAACCTTTTATTTTTTATCATTATCTGATGGATCATGTATACTATGTAATTATCTCTTTGTGACGCATTCATTGGCGTGTTGCCTTTATACTTTAATCAGTGGATGGTCCTTTATGTATACTACAGTGCAAGTAGTGCCACGGTCTCTCTCAGCAGTGGACACAGTCACGCCGGCACAGAATATCTTTTCCCACACTAGTGGTTTAAACTATGATCGCCCATAAGTTAAGGTCACAGTTATTCGACGAGGTTCCAGTTCTTAGTTTAGTACTGATTCTTACCTGAGGATGTCGTCTGACTGACTTCCGTTGACCTCGTCCAAGTATCGCTCTAAGGACTACCTCTCTACCTTAACTCCCTGACAAATCGACCTGCTGACTGGTTGAATTCATATGGTTCATATCTGATAGTCTCCCGCTTTGGATAAAATCAGTAAAAAAATAAGATCTAACTCACGTAAAATGTTTCCCTGTAGAAGAGCAATTATAGTCTGCAGCTGGTGTCAAAAATAATCATCAGTCTCAACTCTAACCATAAAGTTTTAGGACACTAGTGGCCGAAGTATTAAGAAATAACTTCCCAACTCATACTTTAGTCCAGGTTCAGTCGTCTCATTCCCCCACTCACTTTTACGTAGAAATATTAGTGTGAGCGTTGGCAGTAAAGAAATTATGATATTCGCCAAAGACAATCCACCTCACTCAACACCAACACCCATTTCATTTTCATTGACATTTAATTTGTTACTCAAGGCCATTTGCTGATTTTATGTCTTTTAAATGGCACTGGAACTACCAAATGCGCTGAACCATTGATTTCAATCGTTCAGTACATCTTGTTGTTATCTAGGCGTCCTATCCTTTTGTTTGACGTCGATTAAAGGAGAATATTGGTTAAGAATAATTCTCCGCTACTACCTTCCTCCTCCTCCTCCTCCTCCCCTACTACCCCTTTTCCTCCTTTTCTGTTACCCGTCCTTCCCCACTACTACCCGTCCTACTCCTCCTCCTCTTCTACCTCCCCTCCTCCTCTATCTCCCCCCTTCCTCCTCCTCCTCCTTCACTACTAACTCCCTCCCCTTCCTTCCTCCCTCCCCTCGTCCTCCCCCACTAACTCCCCTTCCTCCCTCCCCTCGTCCTCCCCCACTAACTCCCCTCCCCTACTCCTTCCGCACCGAGCCCCCCCACCGTGCAAAGGTAAAGGGGTACTTTACTGACCTGCGACCGTCATTCATGGCGTCTGGTGTGACGACGTTGGGAGCTGTACCGTCAAACATGTGGGAGTGTGGTGGCGTGGTGGGCGTGTGTGGGTGGTTATTTGGTGATGGTGGCAGGGCAGACGGGCGGGCGTGGGTCACATTGGTTGGGAAACACCGTGGTCCTACTGCTTTTGTTACGCCTTAACCCTCACCAGCATAGAGTACCACAGAGTGGCCCTCCTGACTCGCTGCTCACCATGCCTGCTGTAGCCATCACTCACTTTCCTCTCTCTCTGAAGTATCCAAGTTTTTAGTTTCCAGAGCAATGCTGTAGGTCAGACAGGCACCGCCGTTCCCTCACTTGTAGCACATATCCTCAGGGTGCGTTCACTTGTAAGCAGGATGCTAGACATTATCTCACGCACGATGTCCTCCGAGCTGTACTCCCGCGACTGTCTTTGTACGGTTATCCCTTACTCAACCACACTCATCACAACCACTGAAAGAATCAACCACTATCACAGACGCTCACTACGGATCGACTTGTCTCCAGCATTCGAACATCAACATCTCCCACAAAACTACACCTCGTCCGTTTTGGTAAGCCAAGAGAGAAGGTTCCCGCTACTTTCTGATACCGTGGGCGTGTGTGGCAGTTCCTTGACGCCACAACCCTCTGCCCGAAGCACTACCAAATCATCAGCCACCGTAAAAGTTGGGTTCGGGGTACATGAGCCTACAGTACATCCTAAAAATAGTTTCTACTCCCGAGGTCCACTTGTTGTTAAGAAATCGGACGGGTATGTATTGATCAGAGCAACAGGCTGCCACTGGTGACGCCCCGCGCACACGCAACCCAAGTATCCGTTTTCTGTAAGTTGCCACTTCACCAGGACGACAGGTATGATGTATCACAACATAATGGCTCTCTAATTATAAGGTGAACCCTAAATGAAGTCGTTTTTGTGTCACTCCCTGACGGTAGAGTAACGATGTTGAGCGGAATTCATCAGCTGGTGGGACGCTCTCGTGCCTCTTGGGGGAACTGGGTCACGCAGTAGCCACGAAATCTGTGAATGAATAACAAACACCAGTGTTAAGTCATGAACCTGTGGCAGAATTCTTAAAAGATCGTACGTTCAATATTCCACGTATATAACGGTACAGGATACGAACCTTATCGACTTAACAAATGCATTAATCCAAAATGGCATCAACATCTCACTGATAGTACTGTAACGAGACACGTTCACTTATTACCAGTTTGGGGAGAAAATTAACGGATCACCTGAAGATTAACCTAGTTTATTTCACCTGATGATTCAAGACCCTAACACTACCAAGGAGAACAGGTTAGATTAGGTTAGGTCAGATCAGCATTATGGTGGCTAATCTTAAGGGACTAATCTTCAGGTGACCAAAATTAACATTAGTCGTTACTGTGAGAGACCATACATTCTCCAGCCATACTATATCAACCTCCCACACTCATCCCGCTAACAGTTATTTCGAGGTCATATTCGGAAACATTTTGAAATACTTCGTCCAGAGAGGGGGAGAAAGTATGAAGGTTATGTAGGTTAATTTTTATCCACAAGCTGGTGCTGACTGACCGAAAAGAGATGAAATGTCTTTAAAGGGTCATGTCAGAGGTTCAGAGTTGTATGTGTGTGTGGAGGCATTTGAGTGTATGTAGTACGAAAACACATGGTCTCTTGCCCCACACACACACACACATACAACTCTGAACCTCTGACATGACTCATTAAAGACAGATAGACATGTGTACAAGAGTATCTGTTTGTTAAGCCTGTGACACTTCACTTCTTATTTCTGCTATTCTGCTGTACATGGCACACTAGCTACAACACACGGGTACATGACACTAGGCGGAGCTACAACACACGGGTACATGACACTAGGCGGAGCTACAACACACGGGTACATGACACACTGGGTGGTATTACAACACACTGGTACATGGCACACTAGGCGGAGCTACAACACACGGGTACATGACACTAGGCGGAGCTACAACACACGGGTACATGACACACTGGGTGGTATTACAACACACTGGTACATGGCACACTAGGCGGAGCTACAACACACGGGTACCTGACACTAAGCGGAGCTACAACACACGGGTACATGACACTAGGCGGAGCTACAACACACGGGGACTTAGAAACCTTCCATATCAGGATAGGTTAAAGAAACTTAACTTGCATTCCCTAGAAAGACGAAGAGTGCAGGGAGATATGATAGAAGTATTTAAGTGGGTGAAAGGAATCAATAAAGGGGATATAGATAAAGTTCTTATAATATCCGAGCAGGATAGGACTCGGAGCAACGGATTTAAGTTGGATAAGTTTAGGTTTAGGAGGGAGATAGGAAGGAACTGGTTCACAAATAGGGTGGTGGACGAGTGGAACAAGCTTAGCAACTTTGTAGTAAGTGCTGGAACTCTGGAAAGTTTCAAAAGGAGGCTAGATAGATTCATGGATGATAGAGAGTGGTAGTAACTCTCGACAGGAGCTGCCATGCACAGGCCAACCGGCCTATTGCAGACTCCTTATTTTCTTATGTTCTTATGTTATGACACTAGGTGGAGCTACAACACACGGGTACATGACACTAGGCGGAGCTACAACACACGGGTACATGACACTAGGTGGAGCTACATCACACGGGTACATGACACACTGGGTGGTATTACAACACACTGGTACATAATACATTACCCGTGACTCATAAACACGTACTGATAACGAGGTTTCTTGTTGGGTAAATTGCCCATTGTAAATAGTGGGACTCGGAAACTCTATATCCCGGACCTGGAACCGGAACTGAAACTAACCTAATGTAAAACAACCTAGTTTCAGCTAACGTGACCTACCGTAATAACCTAGCCAAACCTAACCGAATATATACTCGTCTAATTTTAGCTAAACGAACCTACCTTAACTATACCTAACCTGATTTCCCCAATCTAACCTATTATCTCTAATCTAGCCTAACGTAACCCAACCCAAATTTTACCAAACCCGCAGTTTTAGGATGAAGATTCGGGTCCGATTCCCTATCTGGATTCGGGAGTTAGCTTGGCATTATTTTAGTCTCCAGAAAGTAAGTCGTGTGTCAAGTGTCACTTCTGGCGCTGTCAAGTTAATAACTGGATGATCATTCTTACTATCCTAGAGTTGGCGCATTGATAAATTATCCTGGACCTCTGAGGTAACACCTTGTTAATGTCTCCTGGGCCTCGGAGGTAACACCTTGTTAATGTCTCCTGGACCTCTGAGGTAACACCTTGTTAATGTCTCCTGGACCTCGGAGGTAACACCTTGTTAATGTCTCCTGGACCTCGGAGGTAACACCTTGTTAATGTCTCCTGGACCTCGGAGGTGACACCTTGTTAATGTCTCCTGGACCTCGGAGGTGACACCTTGTTAATGTCTCCTGGACCTCGGAGGTGACACCTTATTAATGTCTCCTGGACCTCGGAGGTGACACCTTGCTCAATGTTTGCACAATTTACATCACAAGGAACAAGAGGTGATACTCGAAGTGCCACTTGAGATCCAAAGAAGCGTGTTCAGTGTTAGTGCCACTAGTGCCGGGAATGAAGGCTAAATATGGCTACCTACCGGACACCCAGGAAGTGCGGCCGTTTACATACGTCACATACTCTCCGGTATTTCCGTTCTGGACAAGGCTGTTAAGGTTCCACGAGCGACATATGAACAATAACTCTGGTTGTGAACGTCATCATCTCGCCCACCCATGGCCTACAAGCTGAATACCACCACAATTGTTGACAACTATCGTCTTTAGCTTTCACAGTATCAGCTTCTTAAGGTTGTGTTAATAACGCATGGAAGCTTGTTACGTTAGTATGAGAAGTATATAAATTATAAACGCCTCTGAAAGAACAGAAACAAGTGGCAACTGAAAAAAAACTCATTAGTGAAAAAAGTGGCAACTCGCACCGTTCACCTGCTAATGAATTGTAAAGCAACAGGAGCTGCAATCAGCGAGTCAGTAGTCGACAGCAAACGGGAGAACACCTGTGTCAGCCAGTTTGTGATATATGAAGAGTTCCACATACAGAATCAGTGACATGAGTGTTGCAGATTGGATATTACTATACTTTGTGTTCCTAATTTCCTCTACCACGGGAATGCAGGTATGCTTTCGATTCATCCGTTATTATTTGGTCTCGCTCAAAATTACTGATAACTTTCATAGTTACTCATGATAGAAGAGTTTTATTAATGTTTTATGAGAGGACAAAGTCCTTTAGGGTTGCTAAACATTGGTCTCGGAGGGGCTGCCGATGCATTGAGGCTATGGTATGTTGAGACTTCTCATAGAATGAGGCTTTTGATCTGTTGAAGCCTCCGGTATGTGGAGGTCCTTCGTAGCTTTAGACTCGTGTGTTGGTATTTCTGGTAGACTGTATTTAGGTTCTGCTGTGTTGATTATAGTACGTTGAGACCACAAATACGTGAAGGCTTACGACGCTTGGGGGCATTTGGTTAAACTTCTTTTGCACTGTTTCTGGTGCTTTGGGATTACTATTATATTTAGGTTTCCGCTTTGTGGAGACTTGTAATTTATCAAAACTTTCGTCACACTAAGGCCTCAAGTGTGTTATGGCTATACTGTAGTGTGATAGTAATAACAAAGCCGGGGGAAACGGAGTGAACTAAAACTTCAGAACTGAGCTCTGTATAACCTTAATTACCTACTGCAATGCATAAAGCTGTAGTGTTGGGCACTCATACAAAACCGGATGAACTTGGGGGTCGAACCAGCGTCTCTTGAGACAGGAGATGAGCGCTGTATCCACTCGGCAGACATACACACACACCCTAAAGCCTCAGACACTATATAGTATACTGTTTTCCATCCCTTTCAAGGTTTAGAATGTCTATGAAATCCTGCCTATCGCGTCTTGTCTTTAGAGTCTGCATTCCTAAAGCCTCCAGTCAACTTGGATAATCGAGACGATTTAGTTCACGAATAATTTAGTCGCCCAATGTTGCACCTTAATAGTTCTTTCTGGAGGTAAGATCTCCTCCACGCCTATATACAGCAGTCCAGTTTGTGAGATTTGGTAATAGGTCACCAAATATTAAGGATATTTGTAGGAAATATTTATCAGAATCAAAATTTTAAATAAAACGTAAAGTTGGGAGCTGCATGTGACTCCCTTTCGTTCACCACAATATAGAGTTCACAACCTCTAGTCTCAAGCAAGGTGCTACTTAATACATTTTTACGTTGCTTTTAAATGCATTCTTCTTCAGTTTAAACATTTAATTTTCCTTGAGTTTCTGCCGCTAGATATAAACAAGGGGGATTGAAGATTTAGTAACAGTTTCTCATTCAAAATAAGCTAATTCACCTGCTACAAGCACTTCCAGACCACTGCCAGGCAAAGGGTCAAGTTATAAGAGCAATAATAATGACGTGCTAAAAAATAAATAAAAATAAAATATATAAATAAATAACATTGTGAAGCAACAGCGGAAGTTGCATGACGTGTACCTAACAATGTGACCTATATTCACGTTAGTGTGTATGTATCGAGGGTCTGGGTCACTTATCACACACACAGAGATAGTCAACCCAGGGTCTGATAGTGTGTGAGTCGGTACTATTTTTAATAGTACTGACTCATACAACGAGCCGGTGGTGATATTGTAATACTACTGGTACTGACGCACACTGGGTAGCAGACACACACTGCCCCACACCAACACACAAAACCTACGAATGAACCCAGGTGTGTGTGTGTGTGTGTACATAACCCAGGTGTGTATGGATATGTACATATGCCAGCTATGTGTACATAAGCCAGGTGTGTGTGTATGTGTATAACCCAGGCGTGTGAATGTACATGACCCAAATGTACAGATTAATTAATTACATAATAAACTTATGGTGTAAGGAGTTTTGTAAATAATGAACTTGGGTCTAGAAAGTTTCACACACACACACACACACACATACATACATATACGGTCAGCAGGTTTTATTTGTGTCCAAAAGGAGAGACCGAACCTAACTTAATCTAACTCAACCAAAATTAACTAATATCAACCTTTATTTAACCTAATCTTCCTATAACCCAACTTAACCAAAAAATTATCCTAACGTAACTTAATCTAATCTACCCTTAACCTTACCAAACATACCCTAATTTAACCAAAACTAACCCTAACCTAACCTAAACTAACCTACCTTTCACACGGACCCCTCTTAACCATGGAAGCTAAGAATGAGCCTCACCTCCACAGATTCACCTGGCAGACACTGGGCAGTTGCTCCACCCTCAGTTGGAGTCCACTGTCTTCCCTCTCCACCCACGTGAGTCCCCCAAACCCACACCTGGAGTTAGTACCGCCCACACCTGTATTTAGTGCTGCACACACCTGTGGTTATTTTCGCCCACATCTGTATTTACTATTTAGTGTCGACCACACCTGTAGTAAGTGCCGCCACACACCAGCCTGTACTCAGTGCTGTACACACATGCAGTTCGTACCGCCCACACCTGTAGTTATTGTTGTCCACACCTGTAGTTAGTGCCGCCCACACCTGTAGTAAGTGCAGCCACACACTTGCCTGAACTCAGTGCCGTTCACAACTGTAGTTAGTACCACCCACACCTGCAGATATTCTTGCCCACATCTGTATTTAGTGCCGTCACACACCTGCCTGTGCTCAGCGCCGTACACACATGCAGTTAGTACCGTCCACACCCGTTACTACCGCCCACACCTGTAGTTAGTACAGTCACACATCTGCTTGCACTCAGTACCGTACATACATGTAGTTAGTACAGTCCACACCTGTTACTGCCGCCAATACCTGTAGTTAGTGCCACCACACACCTGCCTGTAGCCAGTGCCGTCCACACCTGTAGTTAGTGCAGGTTAATGTACAGTATCTGTAGAGTGAACGTGTTGGTGAATCATCCAGTCCCGTGTTCTCGAGCAATACGACTGTTTACCATGGAACGTTTTCAAAGACTGGTTAACTTCACATATCGGTGAAGCAAAACCAACAGGTAAAATAATATAATTAATATAAACTATTTACAATGCATACAAGAAACAATAATGACAAAATAGCTAAATAGGAAGTTTACTCAGCTCGAGAATTTAGCCATTGACAAAGCAATACGATTAAACCTACAATTAAATCAATTACATTATACAGTACTTAACCGAACAAGAGCAGGAACACTTATAAGTGAAGACAGTTCACACAATACAAATAATGTACTCACCACTATGGAGGAGAAGGAAGTGAGACCCACAGCCGGCAACCATACTGTCCACAATCTCGGGTGGTTTAAATTAAAATACTTAACCCAACACCAAACTTCGAATGAATGAGTCGAAGCATTAAAACAGTCCAGTATGGCGACTCTTGGCAGTCTTCACCACCTTTACACTTAACCAATAGATGGCGACTGTCTTAAACAGCACGCGGCATTTTCAAGCAAATCTAATCCATCTCGGCGGTCCTGATATCATTGTGAAAATTAATGTTTCTTGCTGTTCTCGTAAACCGGGGCATCATCGGGGACGAACGCCACCCACTCTTGTTTAGGTCTTCAGTATCGTCAACATAAGGACCAAATTCGCAGCTAGTTAAAAGAGAATAGACCAGACAAGAGATGCTGCCCCTCTTCCTATACACAAGCAATGGTTCAGCCGCGGTCTAGCATTTACAGTGATAAGTGAAGGTGCATTCTTTGGTATTTTTTTTTAACAATACTGCTATAATAACCTCAATGTACGTTAGTTTACATTGGTCTGGTTAAAATTATGTTAAGGTAAGCTGGGGCCAATCTTCAGGCGAGTACCGAGGTCCACCGTCACCTCAAGAACAGCTAATTAAAGTTCAGGTAGATTAAATTGAGCGAATCTTAAGGTGAGCACTTTGGAGAAAAGAATCCTCAGTTTGTCCACATTTAGTAATATGACTGTACATTAACAGTTTTAAGTGTCTTTATTGTGAAACAGTTGAAGCAGAAGTAGGAGAGCTAAGGAAGAAGGTTGTGAAAATATTCTTGAGCTCAGACGCAGGAAGGCCAAAGGTTTCGAGGCAACGGAGGAGGTGGATACGATAGCTATAAGATTTAACGATAGTACTGACGTGTAAGTTCTAGCTTAATTTGTCATCTACAGTGACGCCGAGGAGTTTGGTGGCATTCACAACCTGGAGTGTGTTGGGGCGCAGTATGATGGTGGGAGGTGAACCATGGTCGGAGGAGAGGTTAAGGTGTATAACCATGGTCTTCATATGGTTGATGTGTGATATAATGTTATAGTCTTGGGTATTATATGGTATTATTGTATTATGTGCCTCAAGTTAGAACACAAGATAAACTTGCACCACAGAAACTTAACCTGGAGAAATTAATCCCCTAACCTAATCTAACCTAACAAAAAGAGTGAGTGTGATTCTCTAAATCTGGGTAATGTTTCACTTTCTATTCATGAGTAATATTTACTTTCTACCGGTACACTTTTGTAACATTTTGTTGTGGTCACCCCCGGATGCAGCTGGCGAGTATCGTGTGTTACGCTGGTCGGAACGAAGTCGACGCTCCCTGCACCACGATCTTAAGTCTTCAGCCTCCACTGTCTCCCTCCAGCTACCCTTTCCTGATTCCCAGGTTGACCTCGTCCTCCAAAATGTCAATCTTGCAGCGCAGGACCTCCAACTGAGGTAGGTCCACCCTCCTCCTCTTACCAGGTAAGGTGTTAGAACGCAGGCGGGTTCAGTTAACGGACAATGTATAGAATTTACTCCATAAGATTACGTACGCTTCGTGTCTTCTCTTAATTGGTGCTACGAGAAGGTACACTGTTAAGATAGTCTCAGTGTATTATTGACGCTTGTGTGTATGTTATTTTGTGTGAGTGTATGTTTATGTCTTGGTTCAAGTCGACCATTCTTACATCTCCACTTACGGGGGACACTAGTCGTATGAACCAAGGATATACAGTATACATATACATATGAAATAATAACGACAGTAAAATACACAAATATTTACAGGTAAATACGAAATAATTTACAGAAAATAAAAGCTTGGTTTTACGAGAAAATACTATTCATATGTATGAGTAAATACTATACACATTTATGGGGACATATAAAATAACAGATTTACAGGATATTAAAAAAAATATTAACAGAAGAATTACAAAAAAATCCAAAAATACTATTACGCATTTACAAGGAGGTACAAGAAATACAAAAAAAACATATACCTACAGGAAAGTACACAACACATTGAGCTGCATTAACAAAAATATCAAAGTTTATTTGCCATACCTCCTCTTGAGTAACAGTAGTAACTCATCCTCCATCCGGGTCACTCTGGCAGTTTCCACGAGTTCCCGGGTCAGCAGGTGGAAGCAGACGACATCCCTGTTGACTGTTTCTACGCCGGCGGCTCCTCAACCACCTGGGCTGTCATCTCCACCTGTAGCGGCTTGGTGAGTGGATGTTGGCAATGAATGGCTGTTGGTGGTGAGTGGATGTTGATGGTGAGTGGATGTTGATGGTGATTGGATGTTGGTGGTGAGTGGATGTTGGTGGTGAGTGGATGTTGGTGGTGAGTAGCTGTTGGTGGTGAGTAGATGGTGGTGAGTGGATGTTGGTGGTGAGTGGATGTTGGTGGGTGGATGTTAATGGAGGTGAGTGAATGAAGATATTGGTGAGTGAATGAAGATAATGATGGGTCCTCGGAGTTTAGTAGCGTCACACTCTCTCTCCAGATGGGCGTGGTGGAGCGTAGCGGGAAGAGTTACCAGGTGGAGGAGGTGAGCCAGGAGGAGTATCAGCCGAAGTCTCGATACCGTAGGGGGACACGGGAGACTCTGGTGGTGATCTATCCGCTGAAGACGAACCTTGCCCACGAAACAGGTTTGACATTCTTTGTGTTGTCCAGTCAATCTTTTGTTTTGCCTATTGCCTTGTTGTTTTGGTCTCCTGTAAGAAGGCTAAGAGACTGTTCAACATCTTGTCACTATGCTGAAGTGAACAATATGAGGTGTATTACGACAACAAAGACCATTCAGAGTCAACAAAGACAACAGTCCCTTGTTTCTGTCAACAGTTCTCCCTCCTGTTCTACCGGACTTCGACGGAGACACGGGCTTCACCATCAGTACTGAGGAGTCTTTGGATACTGCTACTAAGGCACATGGAGGTGATGTAACGAAGTCTCACGACGAAACAGGGACGGAGATCGCCACGACGCCAGACGGAAGAGGAGATCGCGTACGTCGGCGGACAGATGAGAACACGTCATACACTGTGGAGCTGGCCGTATTTATGGACCTTGGGCTATTCTCGTACGTGAAAAAGCGTTACCCTAACAGCAACACCAACAAGAAGCTCATTGAGATTGTTATGACCCTCATTAATGCTGTAAGTTTATGCCTTGAAGTTGCTGTTTCTTTATTTTGTCATACCTTAGAAATATTCAGACACAATCCTTTTAGCAGCTCTCCTAATCGTATAAGTTTTTTTGTTTTATCGTTTACAAAGTGAAATGTGGAAGAGAGTATATTAAAGATCTAAGTCAGGTTGGGAGAATACTGATCCGCACTAAAATTACTGTAATGTACAACAAAGTGAACTAGACAGGCTTAATTAGGTCAATTGTTGTATAAATGTGAAGGAGAAAACCCAGAGTGAAAAATACACTTAAAACAAACCAATATATTTACAAAGAAAACTCACGCGCGAACATTACGAAGTAAAACACAATGGTGACTTAATTTAAACTCCTATTAAACATTCTAAATATTATTCCTAACAATAATAACAAGAATAACTTATCTGTTAAGTTGAATACAGGTCAGCCACATAAGTAAAGATAAATACTCAGACAACACCAAGAGAATTGGGGAAGCAGCTCAGACGTCAGGTGTAAAACTGACTTTCAGAAATCACCAATACCCGATTCACTGGAACTCTCCGTAATCCCTAGTAATCTCGACTAAGGATTCACGACAAAGTATTCCTTGAGCTTAAGCGACCAAATTTTCGTATTCATATAAGTTGTGTTTTTATCTAAACCTAAGAAGGCTTCTACTTTCACAACAGTGGAAGAGAAATTAGTTTGAGAGATTTTTTAATGCAAAGCAGCGTACAATTCTTACTATTAATATTGCATTAATACTGAAAGCGAGTCCAATAAGCATGACTCTGGTGGAGACTGTGGATACTGCACTCTGTACAGTTAAGCTTCTATAAGCAAGGTAGTTGAACTAATTTGTTATTATTTCTCCCTGACCGTATTGGTGTCTGCAGGTACACCGACTGTACTCTGACCCCTCGCTGGGAGACGCCAAGATCGGAATGCTGGTGAAGAGAGTTGAGGTCCTGGGCAGCAACAAACCCAATAGTGCGAAGGGCGACATCTACGAATACCTCAAGAACTTCTGTAGGTGGCAGGCCAAGTTAAACCCGCGGGTAAGTAATGACGAAAAAGTATAGTGGCGTAATAATTCCCAGGACACCCATCAATGTCTGGCATTTATTTGTGAGTCATTGGTGTTTGATGGTGAATGTTGCTGTTATTATAAAGAGATGAAATAACAACATGAAAAACCTTATAATACACAGAAATTTTTTAGTAAATACATATCAAAACCCCGCAATCGACCTCACCTACATGACCCTCAGAAGTGTCCAGGGGGTTTTGTTCACAGGCTAGTCTTCTTCCAAGCATTCCTGTATCTCGCCTATTTTATGACAAAGTGTCCTCTGGCCTGTACAGACTACGTCAAAGAGCTGGGATCATGCTCTTCTACTGTCTGGTCAAGACCTGTGGAACGTGAGGCCTTCCAAGAACTCGACGGTGGGGCTGGCGTACGTCGGGGGCATGTGCTCCCGCTCTTATTCCTGCACCGTCAACGAGGCTACCTCCCTGGCCGCCGCCTACATCATAGCCCATGAGCTGGGACACAGGTAAGTCCCCCCGGCGTCGTCGCATTACCTCTGACAGTGATGACGTTACTCGAATAATTGCTGTTTCCCTTGGTAACAGATGTAGTTACTGCTAGAACATGAAGCAAGTACAGTACCAATTTTTAGACTGTGTGTAGCTTTGAAGACAATGTGTGGGCTTGGAGAGTGTATGTAGCTTTGGAGAAGGTATGTAGGCCTGGAGACAGTGTGTAATCTTAGAACATTTCGAGTTCTGACCTCCTTGTCTTGTGTGCCACAGTTTCAACATGCGACACGACGGTACAGGGAAAGCCAGCATCTGCAAGAAGAACAACTTCATCATGTCTCCGGTGATGGCGTCAGGAGCCACCACTTGGTCCTCCTGCTCCAGCAACGTCCTTCACAACTTCCTCAACACTAAGTGAGTATAGACCTCTCACCGGAATCGACTAGCTATAACATATTTATCTCTCTTTCTGTCTTTGCCTCGCCAAACTAACCCAGTCTGACCCCAAACTAAACTCTAAGAACTTAACCCAATCTAACCTAACTTAACCTAAACTAACTTAACCTAGCGTAAATTAACCAGAACCTGTTCCCCCTACAGAGGCGAGTGTCTGAGCACCTCCAATACTCGCAAACTCGAGAACAACGACGAGAACCATCACGGTAAACTCCCCGGCAAGAGATTCAATGCCGACGAGCAGTGCCACTATATGTACGGCAGAGAATGGCGACACTTTACAAACTCTATGAAGCCTTTTAATGTAAGTTATCACACACACACAAATAGCCCAGTTGCATACACATCATTAAAGCGCATAATATACCTTAGCAAAATACCTGTGCACCGTATAATATTATAAAGATGTTATCTCAGGCTGTGTTGTGGTGTTCCCGAGTTCGTGTCAAGCTTCGTTGTGGTTTTCCCAGATATGTGGTCAAGCTGGACACGTCTCACGCTGGTACTAATTTGAATTCAGTTTTCTAAGTTAATAATGGTGTGTTGGTATCGCCTTTACCAGGATGTGTGTAAGGAGATCTGGTGCCGTAATGGTCGACTACTCAAGACACCCTCAGCCGCCGCTCTAGAAGGAACACTGTGTGGAGGTTCTAAGGTGAGTCATCCAACCCCGTACAGTTATACACGTAGTCCTTGTTGTGTGTTCTTTACCAAGACCATACCACTACCTCCATGCCGCCACTAACCCACACTCTAACATCCTCATTATCATACCACCATCCCCTTTGTGTGTGTGTGTGTGTGATACCCCTCTCTGACATATTCTACGTAATTGGTTCACTGCCACCCACTGGCTCACTCAACCCATTGGTTCACTCCATCCATTGGTTCACTCTACCCAATGATTCACTCCACCCTTTGGTTCACTTCATCCACTGGTTCACTCCACCTTATGATTCATTCCACCCTTTGGTTCACTCCACCCACTACTTGAACCATTTACTCACTCCATCCACTAGTTCACTCCACCCATTGGTTCACCCCACCATCTGCTGGTTCGCTCCACCCGTTTTTTACTAACTCACTTCTTCGGTCAATCTTTCCACCCCACTCATTCACTCACTCCACTATAAATCTGGGGAACCACGCCAGAACATCGACGTAGGGTCTCCCAGGCTGATAAGCTTAGTGGCAATTGTTGTCATTATATCAGAGTGGTTGGAGAGGACTACAGACACTGTACACCATAACAATGACTCTCTCGTGCAGCCAAAAATAATATGTTTAAGAAAAAGTTGAAAATTGAAGCAAGAGATAGTAAAAAAAAATCACCTTGAATGTACTAAACAATATACGGATAAACACAATACACACTGCTATAAGAACCACGTCTGGGGGCGGGCATATCATATTCTCAAGTGTTGTTATAAGTCAATTTTCTTTCAGGTGTGTAAGAGGGGGACGTGCGTTAAGGCTAAGAAAAAAGTCACAGATGATAAAGGTGGGAGTGGGAGAACCTCAAAATCCCTTAAACTAAGCACAGAGGAAATAAAGAATCAAGCTAAAAAGAAAAACAGCAAAAGAAAAACGAGTAAAAAATCGAAGAAACCAAAAACGGGAGAAACAAACAATCCTCAAAAACAAAATAAATCACAAACCTTAAATAGTGAGATGAGTCAGTTCGATGTACCCAAAAAGGGGGGAAAAGTGAAGAAAAAGAACAACAAAAAGAACACCATGAATATAAACAATGAAAATAAACACAAGAGCAAGACAGCGATTACCAAAAAAGACGTAATGACAGGTATTAAAGAGAAAAACACAATAAAGAAGACGAAGAAAACGCCCAAGAAAATTAGAAGAATAGAAACCCCAACACACATCGTCATCAAGGAGAGGATGAAGTACGTAGAGGGGAAAGGATGGAAGATAAAGATTATAAAGATAAAAAAGACACGGCGAATGATGGAGGAGGCGGGGAACCAAAACAGAAGTCCTACGGAAGCAAAATGTAATAATAACTGCATGACGGAAAAGAAAAAGAGTCAGATATCAAAAATTAAGAAGAAGACAAAGCAGAACGCTCGTAAGTCGACTATAAAGGGTCCTAAAACATCAAAGATAAGTAAAGCGTTCATAAAGGCGAGTGACCACTGCCAGCCTAGGAAGATCAAGTACGTGAACGGGAAGGGTTGGTGGGTAAAAATTCCCATTGACTGTATACAACCCACCGCTTACAATAAGCTCACTTGATTAACAGTACACTGTGTAGAGGTTTGAATGTTGTTTTAAATGCGATGCTAAGTATGCATGCTGTAAGATTTATTTCAGTGTGTGTTCACGATGCAATATTTACTTCGTAAGGCCTTCACCAATAACTTCGATTTATAATTATTTTGACTTACCACTTTACTATAGTAACCTTAAGTGAATTAACTTTTATTTGTGGTGAAATGGAGTAAATTTTACATGTGTCTACTGGTCACCCCATTACAAACTCCACAAGTTGTTTACTTGTGTCTGGAATAAGGCAGGGGATTCTCTTGAACCCCTCCTGCTGCTCTTCCAACTAATTCTCATATTTATTTTAGTTGTATCATGATAAATTCTAAAGAAACCTGTTAATTTAAAATGTTAATTAAAACTATTAATTTCATCTCAGTATGACATACATCAGTTTTACTGCAATTAGCCTATATTTATAATATTTTTGAGGTGGTTTTGACCATTGTGAACTTCGGGGGAATATTCTAAAGGTCGAAACACTTTACACTGTATCAGTTGGCCGCTCCCTCGCCCTTCCTGGGAATTTGTCAATGCCTTCAAAATGTTAGAACTGCCACCCAGGCTCACTCACTTTCCACTCAAGAAGAGTTTAAGCGTCACTCCGTGAGCCTGTCTATGGTTGGTCAAGGTAAGCGATGAAATAATGAGAATGGATGATCCAAACCCTTCCTTGCCATGAAACTATTTAATGGGAAGATAGAAAAAGTTCAGAATTAGCTATGGGAGGTAGAGGTCGCTCAACCTCACTCAGATAAAGGATCAGCCCATCACCAGTCTCGTGTTACAGTCCGGGTTAAATATAACACATACATCCCTATGATCTGAATAATTGTAAACTCGAGAATTTATTACATGCGAACTAAAGAAAAAATAGATAGATGATATAAGAGAAAACATGATTTATCCTAATGGTCTTCATGCAACCATCCGTGAACCAGGACTTGCTTGTTGGCCACCACTAGGGTTGACGGACACTCGTGTTGGTTAATCTCTGTATGCGTGCATGTACAAGGCTCCAAATGTGTATTAATATATAAATATGTGTATGTATTTCACAAATCATCTGAAAGTAACCATATGAAGGAAAGAGGTTCAATATATGCATAACACTCTCGGACACTTATCTTGTCACTGCTCGGTCATATCTGTGTAGTAGAACATGTCATCTTAAGTCACCTTGTTGAAGGAGGAAGAAAGCCGGTAGCTTGTTCGTTGTGTGTTTGCCTTCTATTGTCCAGTGCTAGTGGAGGAGGAAACTAGAGTACCCGGACATAACCTGCTATGTTCAGTAGTGTCACATTGGACAACGCCCTTTTCGCTTCCGAGCCGGAATCACACCCAGGTCGCTGTGACGAGGCAAGGTCTCTACCGCTCCTGTCCTGGTAGCTCTTAATTTCAATATTCGTGTGTAGAAGGTAATTATATATATACGTCCTCTGGGCCAGCCATAATAAATGTATTGTGGAGGTGGGGCGAGCCAAAGTGGACGGAATGATTCTGGTGGAGCTGCCTGCCATCCCCTATAATGATAATAATAATAATAATAATAATAATAATAATAATAATAATAATTCAGTCACTTGTCACACAAGTTTACAATTGAAGAAACATGTTTATAAGCTACGCAGTTATACAGTTTATCATGAATATAGACAATGTAAGTATACGGTAACGTAAGCCTGAGACAGTGTAGGTAAACGACATTGGTAAACAGTAAAACAACTTGACCAAGGATATAGCCGACAAAACTGTCAGGTGCTTTCCTCTTTTCTTCTATTTTCTCTTCTTTTCATTTTTCTTATATTTCTCATACATTTCTCTATATTCTTCTCTCTTGTATTGTTCATCCTTCGTTCTTTTTTCCTTTCTCTCTTGTATAGTTCTTTCATCTTTGTTCCCCTTTTCTCTTCTCTCTACCTTAGGTTTCTTCCTCTCTTTTCACTTCCCTTTGCTAGTATTTATAAGAGACCAGGCGAGGGAAAGTTAGGTCGCAGGTAGACAAACAAGTACTTACCTGTATGTCATCACACCTGCCTCTCTGCACTCAATCACAGTCCACACACTGGGGTAATAACATTCCACCATTCTCTGGCCGGGTCAAGGACGTGGCAGCCTTGTTATGAGGCCAAAAATTACATACCTGGCTGATCTAGGGTGCCTAACGTGTTTTTTGAAGCACTTACCGCAACCAAATTGGGTGCTGTGTAGATGAACGGATACAATACTCACCTCCTGTCCTTAGGGTTACTGATGAATGGGACCTAAATTTACATTTGGGAGTGTGAGGGCAGTCGAATGCAGTGCTGGTTACATTGCCTCCTGATGTACCAAAGAAATGTGTTTTCAGTTTGCTGTATCCTTACTGACCCTAAATTCGCCGAAAGACTGGAGTAACATTCGACAGTTCAACATGTCGTATTCCACTAATGAGCATTTAATAAATATTTGTAAAGTCACTTCCCTTCCTGCTACGCCCATCCCGCCTACTACAACCTCTACCCCGCCTACTACACCCTCTATCCCGTCTGCTACATCCTCTACCCCGCCCAGTAACCCATTATCCCGCCCGCTACACCCTCTATCCCGTCTGTTATATCCTCTATCCCGCCCACTAACACACTATCCCGCCCACTACACCCACTATACAGTACACCTCTTACTACACCCGCTACCCCTCCTGCTATATCCAATATCCCCCTGCTACATCCATTACCCCTCCCGTTAGACATATAGGAATATAGTCCCCGTTCAGAACAAGCCCAAGTAACCTAATTAAGTAAATAAGCGATTCACTTACCTCCTAACTTACACATTAAATAACTTATTAGGTGTATTAGACATGGATGAATTATTCTGGTTTGCGAATGCTATATTATAGATTATACCTTATGTCAGTGAGCTACAGCTGTACAAGAATACAAACCACGATTTTACCTTTTATATTACAACGTGTGTGTCTAACTATATGAATTTTGTACATGTCTAACGTGACTTGACTGATTTTGGGGTTCATAGGCACTGTAAAAGTCTTCTTTACACACACACACACACACGCGTGCGTTTCAAAACAGTAAGCCTAAGGCGATAAACGTGGACCCGTGACATGAACGTTTATTTATAATGACAAATATACTAAACACAGATGACTCCTGTGAACAATATATTTATTTACGTTGTGTGGGTAACACTGAACATAACATCATTCATCTTCGAGTCCGACTCCAACAGCCAGACAGACGACACTGGCGGATGTGGTAGCTGTGTCCGGATTACAATGATGTAAGGACCGTCCTTTACATACGGAATATGATCTGCTACTTCCTGTGTGTGTGTGTGTGTGTGTGTAGGGTGAAGAGAGGCATCATGTATATGTTAGGTAATGTGAGGCATCCATTTTCTGCCTCACAGCTACTCGCGCCCTCACCCATGACTTTTTTTTAAGGCGGTCGCCCCTCTGCTAGCGTAAGGAGTGGTGAAAACTGATTATTTTTATTATTTTTTTTTTTTTTTAGAGAAAGGAGGGGTGAAAGAAGAATAGGGGTGGGGGAAGGAAGTTATAGTTCGAAAATTGAAGAAATTTAGGAAGAGGTAAGAGAGGGCGGGCTGACCGCCTAACTAAGCTAATGATGTGTTAGGATTGTCATGGGTTAGTTATTGTCTGTCGGTACAGGCACTTGACATCCTACCCTATCCCATAGATGGGTGTTGGTGGACCTTGGTGGTGGTAGAGACGGTAGTGACGGCGGTGGGGCTGGTGGTGACGATGCTACTGTTGGTGTTGAGGTCGGGGTGATGGTGGTAGTTGTGCTGGGGTTGGTAGTAGGGGTGGGGGAGGGCCCATTACAGTGTCACACAACTGGTGATGCTCGGGTTTATAAGGTTCATTTTCACTTCACCCCGTTTGTTCCAAGTTAAACGATTTCATTGTTATGAATGATGGTACACGTAGGATGACCCACTTATTCTCGGCGCTGGACGCTGGAGAGAAATAATGGGACACACAAGTATATATTTTTTTTTAGTGCTTGAAAGTGTTGCAGTGTAGAGTTACAGCTGACAATATTACCATTAGTACCGTGATCGTGAAAAAGGCTTTAACTGATACATGTACTGCAATACACGTAATGATGATCTCTCTCTTAATCTTCTGTACTGATGATTCTATTTACACTAACACTATAATAAAAAATACATATATAATGATTATTTTTCTATGTATATATATATATATATATATATATATATATATATATATATATATATATATATATATATATATATATATATATATATATATATATATATATATATATATATATATATAATATATATAGTGTGTGTGTGCAAATAAATCACTGTACAGGTAGGTGCACGTGATCCATGTATATGCTGATAACTACATTGAAGAAAAGAAAATATGAAGTACAGAACACATTATATGTGCAAAGCCACTAATTGTATGTACAGTGATTTCGTTTACTACTATATCGGTTAACGAAATTTCGGTTAACGAACTGCCTTCCATAAGGATCTTCAATTCGGTTAACGAACAAAAATTCGGTTAACGAATTTCTTACGAACCGACCTCAACATGTTTTCGCTTGCACTGGCCGGGCAACCAGCTTTAGTATCAGTCCACCAATACATTAATCGGTTCTAGGGCTTAAATTCCTAACTATTTTAGTAAATATCAAGAAGTTTATACTATTCAATAATTTTAAAAGTTTAATATTAAATTTTTTAGTCATTTTAACAATTATTGAACATAATTGAAGGTAAAGTGACTAGTTTAATGCGCAGCATCCAGCCTCTTAACACAGCAAACAGGCGTTAGTCTCTCTGTTTTCACTGGAGGTAATATCTTGCTTGAGACTCTCTTCAACTAAACGCTTTTTTTCTGTGTTTCCAAGCAAATTATTGGTCATTTTGAAATATATTTTACATATTGACAATATATAATGCAGTACAGTGTTGATTTAAAGAAAATAATCTTGAAATACACCAAGAGAACTAAAATTTTATGGGTGAAATGGTGCCATGGGGTGACTTCTCTTCCACCCCAATGCCAGAGCCATGCATACCAACCCTCCCAGAACATCACGAGTTGCTGTAGCATTTCGAAAGTCATGAACCCATCCTGGGAGATACGGGTACTTTTTTTTAGATACCTTGTACTGTACAAACACTGTGTATACATTACATTTTTGAAACAGTAATGTAGATGTTCTCTAATCAGGAATCTGTACAAGGTATAGTTCTCCCACACACATAAACACATTTGCTGTATATTATCAGCTCTGTACAACCCGGTTAGTGTTTGGCAGCTTTGGCATCTTATCCTTGGTGAGGTGACTTACTTGACCCTGAACC